TATTATCTCAAAATCAATGACTTTGGAAGAAGCTTTCTAGTACCCGATTACTTCTGTACCTTTGTCTGTTTTTTCACCAGGTGGAAATTTGCGTCAGTCGGAAAAGGCATCTTTTCGCAATTACCTTATAGAGACGTCGAATGCCACATCGAAGATAATACCAACCATGATGAAGTGGAATGTAATCACGAAGAGGCTGATACCAGACTTGTGCTATTGGCACTTGAAGAGCAGACTGATCATTGTTGCGAAAGACACTGATGTGTTGGTGCTGTTGGTGTGGGCGTATTCTCAATACCATGTTACACATAAATGGTACCTGAAGTATGATGCTGAGAAATATGCAGACATTGGTTTACACTGTGATTTCCTTGGATCAGATATTTGCTCGGTGTGTCCCGCTTTTCACGCAATTACAGGCTGCGATACGACATCGTACTATCGAACTGGTAAGCTTCGTATCTTCAAGAAAGTTATTGCAGATAAAAGAAAGCTTGGTTTGCTTGAGTCACATGGGCAGGGCAGAAAGCTGGCCGAAGATGGTCTAAACAACGTCAGAGAGTTCGTGCGTTCGGTGATCTATTCAGGCAAAGATAATGAAGATTACGTGGAAACAAGAATTCGCTTGTACAAAAGCTTGAAAAACAAGTCGTCGATGTCTTTGCCCCCAGATCCCGATTCTGTTGTCCAAGTTATCAAACGAGCTCACTGCCAGGCTTATGTATGGTATCGTTGCGGGCAGAGGACCATTAATCAACTTGACTTGGAGGAATTTGGATGGAAGATTCAAGATGGAGTCAGGGGCGCAGTGGCTGGGGGGCAGGGGGCAGGGGGCAGAGGGGCAGCCGGCCCCCCCTGGCAAAAATTTTGTCGGATTGTCGGAAAATCCAACGTTTGTCGGAAAATTTGAAATATTAGACAAAATGTAAGGTTTTCATCGATCCTGTCCGAAAGGTCACATATTTTTAATCCTGTCGTAAAATAGGGCATGCTCAACCCTTCTTACTTATTTTCATTAGAGTATTTATCGGAATCATCGCATTGCTGAAATTTGTTAAGGAAATTAACGCTCTGGTCTCAGTTTTTTTATAAACTCCCATTTCCGACAGTTAAAATTCAACTCATTTCATTTCGAAATGAATTCGCTGGTGTTGTAGAAGATGCAAAAAGTTAATATTTCGCCATGACTTAGCAGAGGAAAGTTTCGTCGAGCGACGAATATGCAGAAAGAAAAAGATGCCAGGGGAAAATTGCATAGATGAATTAGAGGGAAATAGGGAATCCGTATATCATCGTGATAGTAGATACAGCTATCAGCTCAATGAATACAATATTCACGTCTCATAAGGCGATTTTGACAGATTTTGCCTTGCTCAACCCTGAATGTTTTCAAAAAACAATTGAAAGGCAGTTGTGTGCAGTGTAATTCAAAAAGGTTGCGTAGAATTACGGCCTGGATGACGAAATTATTCAGAGATGAGTACAGCTCTTTCGTCAATAATTACCGTAAATTTTGGAAAGTTGCAACCCTCTCCCGGCTGCAGGAGAAAGAGAAAACTTTTCAGTTCCATTCAGTTCTTCAGTTGATGATAAGTATAACCTGCAAAGTGCCTTTCCACAGCTGGTCCTTCTTTACAAGGTTCTCGTCACTTTGCCAATAGGTTCAACAAACTATGAAAGAGCTTTTTCAAAGCCGAGGATTGTAAAAAAAACGGCTACGGTCAACGATGCCCGCCTTTCCTCTCTGATAACAATCAACGTCGAAAGTGATATTTTACAGTCGATAGACTATGGTGACATCATCGATTTTTATGCTGCCACGCCTCTTTTGAGAAAGATGCTGCTTGAGTAACAGTTTATATAAATTTCAGTTAAAAGAAAACTATTCTTCTGGACGCGTTATATCTATTTAAGGTTTAGCATAAATAAATGCAAAGTAATTATGATGGGATTTAAAATTTGCCAAAAAAACTTTTTGCCATAAACAGCTATACACACTAACTTGACAGTTTATTGTCTAGTATAGCGAGAAGACTTGTAGGGTGTAAAGTTATAACTAGTTGCAGTTTTGTTTATAGCGATTTATATTTGGTAAGTTTTGTTAGAATAAAGGCTATTGTTGAACTTGGAGGTGTATAACGGACGATCCATTCGTTAACGATTTCCAGATCCATTCGTGATATTGTAGTATCAAGTGTTGCAGTATATGCAACAAGGGTAATCTTCAAGGAATGTATTGAGAAAAAATTTGTCGGAAAAATCATAGTTTTATCGAAAAATATTCAGCTTTGCCCCCCCAAAAAATTAACTCCCACTGCGCCCCTGATGGAGATGTGAAGCCGGTCTGGTTCGTTAGCAAACAAATTCCGCCATCAGTCAAAAGCATTCGTGGAAGGAAAGCAAAAGGTGGAAGTTTTGGTGATTACGACAGTTGTAATTCAGAAAAATGCCCCCCAAGAAAAACGGCTCGAAAGCAGGTTCGACAACGGAGAAGAAGAAAAAAAACAGGCTTAGATGATCTACTGCCGAACAAGCAAACTATATCCGATGAAGCAGAAGACAGCCCGATGGCAGAAGCAACGATTATCAACAGCGGAGAGGAAGGAGATAAAGAATCTGATACGAATGACTGTGTGGCAAGGGACATTCAAGTGACAAAAGTGAATGGGAAGTATCTGATTTTATGTCTAGCGAGGACTTTTTTGACGAGTGGCTACCTTAGACCATTTTTTATTGGTCAGGTATGTTTTTACATAGTTTGTTTCTATTACGGATCTTAGTGCTACCCGTAGGTGGGGCCGTAGGTGGGGCAAGTGTGATTCTTGCAACTCAGTGAATAGCCAAAATCACTAAAGAATGAAAATCTTCCTTTTTCTGTATATTCTTCAAATTGAATAAAATTAAACCAACAAGGAAATTTGAAATTCAAAAAAATCGGGGGGCAACATCAAATGAAAGAAGCTCAATAATTCATCTAAAGCCCACGATTTGTAGCAAAAATGTGCTTTAAGATAACTGTAATAGAAGCAGAAATCACACTTGTTATTCATTTTAGGCTCACTTTTGTCAATGCATCTGAGACAGACAAACATACCATTAGAATTGTACGACGTTACCCCCTGATTAACTGCAACTTCAAACGCCTATAACTTTGGAACCGTACGTTGTAGGGCTATGGTTCTTTTATAAAGTCAAAATAACTTTGAAAGAGCAATCCAAAAATGTATTTAGATTTAAAATTCGAAAAGTTTTATTTTTTTTCTGACCGTGACTTGTCGCTCGGTCAATTACGTCACTGCCACGTGACATGAACCAATTTTCCAAAATGTCCCAACTCGGAATCTTGATCCCTTATATATATACTTTCATTCTAAGCATTAAAATTTTTGGTTACCCAGATCCTTAGATTGTAGTGGAAAATTCCCTGCCTAATACGGCAAAAGCTACAACAAATGAGTACCCGACAATTAATTCAATTTCACGAGAGCTGTTCTTGCAATTTAGCTCTTTATCTTTGAAACCTCCTTTGTTTACATTTCAAGGCCTAAAGAATTTTTTTGATTGATAGCTTCGATTATTCTGACGTACATAAAAGGCTTCAAAACGTAAACAATACTTGCAAAAACTTTCCAAAGCGAAAACGAAAGTCTACTAAATCAAATCGAAAACGAAAGGTAACTTGCCGCAAAAACCAGATTATACCTTCAAAAGAATGAAAACGTTCTTTAGGATAACCAGAACAATCCACAAAATACCTTTTTTGATCATGTTTTATCCTTAATTCATTGCGATGAGGATTTTCAAAAGCGAGGAGTCAAAATTGTTCAGCTGCCAGAGATAGGGCAGTCACAAAAGTGGCCATTTTTACACCACGTACGCAGTTAGAATCATTTTGAAAATATGAAACCAGGGACCGCGAAGCAGTGGCGCGGGGGTAGGGGGGCCAGGGGGCCATGACCCCCCTGAATATGGGCGCAATTGGAGATAAGGGGGCGCCAAAATTGCTTGCTTGTAGTATTTGGCTAAGAACATCAAAATTGATCGTATACGGGTAGAACACTTCTCAGTAACTTGCTATGAACAATCTAACAAAAAGTGTGATTCTACAATCGGAGCACGTTGCGCTGCCATGACCCAATAAACATTTGTGTCATAGATTGCTCCTTGTTGTGGTCAACAGACGATGTGTAGATTTCTTGATTTCTTAAGTCCTGGCAAAATGACTAAACATTTCACCAAACATTTCACTCAACTTTTGTTTATTTAAAAGTTTAGTGAAGAGTCCAGTCGTGTTGAGTGTTGTTGAGCAAAGTTTGAGATCCTGGTAAAAAATGTTTAGTGTTTGCCACCAATCAAACCTTTGTTGTGATCGCGCAGGCGCTCTAGCTGTAGAAATCCAAAGGTTTTCGTCTGTTTTCGTCGGTTTTCCTGTCTCTACGTGACCCAAAAAGCCTTTATGAGACATCTTCTGCTAGCTCGTTGTACGCTACTATCTTCTTAAACAGTCAACTTTGTTGTTAATGTGCTAAAAAGTTTTTTCTTTCCCCGTCGCTTCAACCAATTCTTACTTTTATCCACTGCTTGTGCATGCAACAAAATAAACCAGCAAATTTGTTTAAGCAAATTTGTAAAGAAAAGCAAATTCCTATGCAAGATCCACAACAACCCAACAGCGTCATAGACAGATTGCAGTTCAAAAAAGTTTAGCCCCCTCAATCTGTAATATGCTCTGCGGTTTTCTTATGAAGGTGGGCTTTTATAAATACGAAATTTTCAGCGTTGATAACAGATGTTGTTACCAAGGGACTGTGCCCGGCTGATATGCATAAAAACGTAGACGGGGCAGATTAGTTCACAGGCAATACTATAATATGCGACATTGCGGGCCCACAACTAAGTTTCAAGTCGGGCAGCCTTGCACCTTGAAACGAAAGTTTGTCAAGAGATCCATCCTAAATCTCCCGTTCTACACATACTGTACAAGAACAGAAATGGGATACCTCGTGTGACAGATCTTGTCCTATATCTAGTTCCATGCGATCCGCAAGAATGGGAGCAACCAGACCATATTGACCATCCACTTACTGCACAATTTGATGGGGAGCATCTGCGCCTACGTCTACGTCTGCGCCAACCTTCGCTGTGATCAAAATTCTGCAAGAAAAGCAAGATGATCAGGATAGCAATTGCAAGCCTGGTCGCCATCTTTCTTTCTCCGAACCGTAAGTTAATTAGATTAAACTTTCCACCGATTTGGCCACAAACAAGGAGGATGTTGTCGACTGTTGTTTTTCAAGTCAATGCATTTGTCTTCTATTCGTCTGTTTAAACATGTGTGGCTATTTGCTTCCTTGTACGCTCACGTTGGAGCAAATGCTTTTCTAATTCTACATAGACAAGCACAAGTCGTTAGAAGCAACACTGTATGGGATGTATGGGTAACAGCCTGTGCTATGTAAAGTTCCGAGATGTGGTAAAAATCATTAAGAAATCACAGGGGCGGCTCGTGGGGCAAATTTTTGGTGGGGCTGATGAGGTAATATTCGAAATCTAAAGCCATAGACACGGAGCGCTAAGAATAATAAATAGCCTTTCCATTCTTTACTACCTCCAATCAACAAGGCTGTCATTATTTTGAAAGTTTTGATTGAAAAAAAACAAGTGCCACTATACTATTAATTATGTAAAATTTGAAATAAGTAAAGTAATAAACTATGTGAAATGTTGGTATGCTCAGCTTTATTTATTCAAGTCTGCTGGACCGTTTCTCTCTTCACAAAAAGGGGAGTTCTCGGGTGATGTCCATAAAAACATAGACAACTTGAATACGGTAGACGATGTCTTGACCCTGTAGACGATATCCTTTGCATTGCATATCATGGCAATTAAACCTTTGCATTGCATATCATGGCAAGAACAGAAAGTTCAAACTGTTAATTGATTAATTTTCATATGCCGTGAAGCTAAAATCGTTCAAGTTGAAAGCCTGCATGTTTATGCCATTAGAAGGCCTACGGCCTAGCCTTCCCATTTTGAGCTTATTTCAGGATCGGCAAAATTAATTCTGATAAAGACCTAACTCATTTCATTCTATTTCTGTAAACATTCCGTTCTATTTCAGGGGGCTGTAAAGAAAACTTAAGGAGAAAAAAATGATGGCTACTTTCGACTTATCTATGCAAAAGGCTTCGATAAATAGAATTTCATTAAGATTTGTTTTTCCATTTTCAGCACAGTTCTGGTTGATTTGCACCAACTTTTCGTTTTCCCGGGATTTGTAATTGCTTCTACCTAGCATCCGAAGATAGTTTTTAGGACACTGAGAAGCTTGTGCTTATCGAGCAGTGTCCTGGTCCTTCCTCTCGATGTGACCAAACCTCGTGATTCCCACACCTGGAATTGCAGAGAGCTGGCGACCCTCCTCACTCTGGGTGAGAGTTTGGTCATGCCAGGGACTCGAACCACGGATCCTTGGGTCTGTAGTTCTCATGCCTGGGCGTGTATGCGAGCCATTTTTGCTTCCGGACATTTATTGTTCTCAAAATGCATCTTCTTTCTCCAATTCAATCCAAGACATTATAATTTCTAATTTTAGCTTTCCACCTAATATTTAATCTTCAACGCCAAAACTAGATTTCACAAGCTCTCTGATCTGTAGAGGAGGACACTCCAAATAAGGGTTTTGATCATTATTTTCTTCAGATCGAAGCTGAGCCTTTCCGATAAAAACTCTCGTCTCTTGTTGGATGCTGCTTTTGCCATTTCTATTATTTTCTAACTTTCACTTCACATTTACCATTTTCGCTTACCATTCCAGCAAGATATTTAAATTGGCTGACTTGTTAAAATTCCGTTTCATTGATGCTGACTTTGACATCCGATGGCATCTTACCAACTTTCATTGTTTTTTTTCTTTACATTGATCTTCATGCCGTATCTTCATTTGAAGCATTCATAATTTGCTGTAATCCTGCTTCTGAGTTGCTTAGCCTAGCCTGATCATCTGCAAAGCGAATAAAATTTATCATGAGCCTCCTACAGTGTACCTATATTGATTCCTTCATTGCCATTTTTCTATGCCTCTCTTACTAATGCTTTATATAAATGTTAAAAAGGGTAGGTGACAGTTGGCATCCTTGTTTTACTTCTCCTCCCATCACTCCTGACTCAAATTCTCCTGCTGCTGTTATGACAGTTGCCTGTTGATACATGAACGAAATTTGACAATAGCGTACGAGATTTTTGGGATTTTTTTAAATTTTAATAGGGATTTCTAGATTTCTTGGTTTTTTTAAGGTTTTCAGGGGTTTTCATGGACGTTAAACATTCTTAAAGTGCCACTGAACTGAAAAAATCAAAACTTTTTCTATTGATGTTCTAAGTCAAGTCGGTGCTCCTGAATCCGATGCTGAAGTTCGCTCTTCGGAATTGTGAAGTGTTTTGAAGCTACAACGCTTCAAAGTTGCGATTTTCAAGACTTTTTGTGCGAAAATTTGTGCGCGGTCTGTGAGGAATTTCAGGAATGTGTGACGCATTAACGTTTATAAGTCGCGGAAGTGATGCGGGCTTCAGTACTGAAAGCTGTATTTCGAGTGCGATAAAAAACCAAAAAAATGTGAAGTTGATTGAAATAGTGCGATACTTGTGCTCTAAATATCACTAGCTATCTAACTACAGAACATGTGCAAGGTATTTTCTTGCGAAAATTTCGAGCCAAGAAGAAATAAGCAAACTTTTTGCGTGCAGTTTTTGCCAAGACTTCATGCCGATCATTTACCTTTTATGAATAATTGAGCGTGTCGAATAAGAATGCTCTTACAAACAGCTTTACAAATTATGAATAGAAGTGAGCAAATTGATCAAGAGAAAAATTTGCTCTATTATAGAACCAAACAAATTGCACATTTTTCGGCGCTTTTCCCACTTTCCAACTTGCGTTGCCACTGTCAAAGCATCAGTTATCCCCAGGGCCGTCAAGATGGGATAAGTTGCCCCAGAACCTCGTGGTCAGGGGGCCTCAAAAAGTAGAGAAGTTCATTTTAAATGGAATTGATCAAAAATATTTTAATCAATTATAGATATTTTTATAGATTATACAAATAGATATTTTTATAAATAGATAGATACAAATAGACATTATACATAGATTATACAAAAAGATATTTTTAAGCTTCTATTCATACCCCATCTTTTTGGCGTATCAAACTGCCTATCTCCATCAAGTTTCATGCTGGTATCACAATCTAATGGTTAAATTGTGACAATTACTGCTAAGAGGTTTGGAATCTAGTATCCCAGTCTATAAATAGCACAAAGGGGATTTTTCGGGGTCAATTCATATCCTATCTTTTTCAGCGTATCAAACTGCCTATTACTACCACGTTCCATGCTGGTTTCGCGATCTAATGGCTAAATTATGTCAATTACTGCTTAGAGGTTTGGAACCTAGTACCCCACTCTATAAATAGCACTAGGGGATATTTGTCAGCGTCTATTCACACCCCATCTTTTTCAGCGTATCAAACTGCCTATCTCTATCAGGTTTCATGCTTGTATCATATTTTACACAATTTGTAACTTTTTATCTTCTTACAGCCCTCACATGGCTGAATTGACTATATAAATCTGAATGCGTCACTCGCCCCAGCCTCTTTTCGCACGACCTACTCGCAAAAGAACCCCAGAAACCCCTATTTGTGGGCTCCAAATTAAAAAACTAAACTTTTTTTCGAAATCAGCGATGATTAGTCTACCAGAATCAACAATAAAAAAAATTTCATTTTTTTCAATTCAGTGGCACTTTAAATACCGTTAAAAATGTTTAAATGTATCGTAAACTAATCGTTAATCTTCTGAGTAACAGTACAACGATTAGAAAAGTTCTCAAGTGTGACGTCATAAAAAATTTGACGTTGTGCAGCTTGACGTCATAAAATTTATATTTCTAGAATAATTGAATTTTGATTGCATAACCTAAAAGAATACCATAAAATACCCAAGAAAAGCAAAATTGGTTAAATATATAACAATGGGTTATATATATAGCAATGGGCTATATATGCCAAATGAAGGATTAGAATTTTGCAAAAGGTCTGCAATGTTGCGAACAGAGACAAAATTACAGAGGTTTCTGCACTTAATGGAAGACTAGCCTTATCAAGAACAAAATTTTGAGACAAAATGAAATTCTTTCTACCTTCTACCTTACGTTGCTCCTGTAATTTCGAATCACCCTTTTTCTCCCAAAACAATATTGTAGCTGTATCATTTTCGCTTCAAGATCATGCATTCAACATTTAAGCTATTTTTCAAACATCACTTTTACTTGAAAACTATTTTTGTCCCGGATGATAGCTTGTGCTCGTCATCTCGCACCCAATTTGTGTGACGTCATCATTTGATAACTTGATAAAAATGTAATTTAAGGGATGAGACTACGACTTTGATAACAGAATCGTTTTTATTGTTATTGTTTGTATTGTGTTTTATTGTCAATACCATATTGTATTGTCATGTATTGTATCGTATGTATTGTTTTGTATTGTTATAGTTTGTATTGTATTGTTGTGTATGGTATTGAATTGTAAAGTGGATATTTTAAAATAGGGTGCTTCCCAACAATCTCAGTCCTCATATTTTGCTTCCTCCCTTCTCGGATTTTATCACCTTAGGAGCTGTTACTTTTGAATAAAAAGAAAAGGCACAGGGAAAACAACCAGAAAAGCGCCTATAGGTGCTAAAGTTGCTGAAGTTTGGGGTTTATATACCCTGGGTACCAAACAATATGTAAGACTACCCACTACGGCTGAAGATGTGCAAGAAAGCATTAGCAAGTTTTACTCTGCCCATGTATTCCCCCCGTGTTTAGGAGTTGTTGATGGAACCCATGTAGATATAAAGCAACCGGAAGAAAATTCAAAGGACTACATAAATCGAAAATCAAGGTATAGCTTGAACATTCAAGCTACGTGCAATTACAATTATTGTTTCACAGATGTATGTGTTCAGTGGCCTGGAAGCGTACATGATGCACAAGTCTTTGCTAACTCGGCTCTCAATAGAATGCTGCGTGATGGTGAAATTCCCTATGTGAATGAATATATTGAAGTGTCTTGAAACCCTCAGCAATGGATTTTCCAAGAGTTTCCATAACTCCCGATAAGGTTATCAGACTTTTTTATATTCATCATCTATCTCCCTCTGTTGCTTCAACACTTCCTTCTTTGAATCTAACTCTGCCGGGGGAGTCAGTGGAGGACGATGTTCGCTGAGGGCTGCGGAATCTTTACCATCTTTTAACCATGTTGTTGCGGGCGAAGCGCCCCAAATTTGCTTACATTCTTCAAAATATAATAAAATGACCCTGCCATATGAAACGCCATGACTGCCTTATGTTTTGCACTAAAATTGTGTTGTGTCACCTAATCATTGCCTTCTGTCACATTCTCATAGGACTATGACAATTAATCATTCAATTAGGTCATCATAGGAGTTCTTTGTTTGCATTTCATGGACCACCATGTGCTCCTTTCGTCCTGTGCTGTTATTTTGAGCAACGATCATGTCTTCTCTATGTTACGTTATGTCATTGTAGCATCCAAGTGTGCCCAAAAACCATTGCTTTATGTTGCAGTATCAATGAACTGTTCTATTTAATCATTACATTATACTATTTCACCATTATACTACTTCATCATTACATCATACTATTTCATCATTACATTATACTATTTCACCATTATACTACTTCATCATTACATTATACTATTTCATCATTACATTATACTATTTCACCATTATACTACTTCATCATTACATTATACTATTTCATCATTACATTATACTATTTCACCATTATACTACTTCATCATTACATTATACTATTTCACCATTACATTATACTATTTCATCATTATACTACTTCATAATTACATTATACTATTTCATCATTACATTATACTATTTCACCATTATACTACTTCATCATTACATTATACTATTTCATCATTACATTATACTATTTCACCATTATACTACTTCATCATTACATTATACTATTTCACCATTACATTATACTATTTCATCATTATACTACTTCATAATTACATTATACTATTTCACCATTATACTATTTTACCTTTGCAACAAATAACTTTGGCGGGAAAAGCACGTTTTCTAACAATCAAGATGGCGGACAATGCAGACTGTGCACGGCTCCAAGTTGCTCTTAGCAAAATTGGTCTTGGAGCTCTGATGGAAAGAGTTAGAGCCGAAAGAGTGGATTTTCATACACTCATCTTGGCGACCATACACGGTGCATTTAACACGAAGGTCCATAATGGATTTCCGACTTGTGAGGTTTCCCAACAATATCTAGTGTGATTTTCTCTTGCGAAAATTTTTCTTTCAACTGTGGCAATCCCAGGTTGTCGAGGATGATACTCATGGGACATTCCGCCATCTTGATTGTTAGAAAACGTGCGTTTCCCGCCAAAGTTATTTGTTGCAAAGGTAAAATAGTATAATGATGAAATAGTATAATGTAATGATGAAATAGTATAATGGTGAAATAGTATAATGTAATGATGAAGTAGTATAATGGTGAAATAGTATAATGTAATGGTGAAATAGTATAATGTAATGATGAAGTAGTATAATGGTGAAATAGTATAATGTAATATGAAATAGTATAATGTTAGATGAAGTAGTATACATGGTGAAAATAGTATAATGTAATGATGAAATAGTATATATGTAATGAATGAATAGTATAATGGTGAAATAGTATTAATGTAAGAGAAATAGTATAATTGTAATGTAATGAATAAGATATATGGTGAAGATTAGTAAATGGTGAAATAGTATAATGTAATGATGAAGTAGTATAATGGTGAAATAGTATAATGTAATGATGAAATAGTATAATGTAATGATGAAGTAGTATAATGGTGAAATAGTATAATGTAATGATGAAATAGTATAATGTAATGATGAAGTAGTATAATGGTGAAATAGTATAATGTAATGATGAAATAGTATAATGTAATGATGAAGTAGTATAATGGTGAAATAGTATAATGTAATGATGAAATAGTATGATGTAATGATGAAGTAGTATAATGGTGAAATAGTATAATGTAATGATTAAATAGAACAGTTCATTGATACTGCAACATAAAGCAATGGTTTTTGGGCACACTTGGATGCTACAATGACATAACGTAACATAGAGAAGACATGATCGTTGCTCAAAATAACAGCACAGGACGAAAGGAGCACATGGTGGTCCATGAAATGCAAACAAAGAACTCCTATGATGACCTAATTGAATGATTAATTGTCATAGTCCTATGAGAATGTGACAGAAGGCAATGATTAGGTGACACAACACAATTTTAGTGCATAACATAAGGCAGTCATGGCGTTCCATACTGCCATGTCAACTTTTCTTCCCTGAATCGACAGCAGCTCTATATTTTTGCCGAATCACCTTTAGCTTGGTTGCAACACTTTCTTTTGTTATTTGCCCATAATTGTGTGGGTAATTGCTGTCTGTATCTTCCATCTCTTGTTGCTTTCTTAGGTGCTCGGCCATCCTCAGGGGCGGACTGGCTAATTTTTTTGGCCCGGGCAAATTTTGATCAAACCGGCCCACAAAAACAGCAATTAAAAAACTCCTCGGAAAATGCAAGTAAATGTTAGTCTGTAAGGAAAACAAGTTTTTAAATTCAGAAATTGTGTGCATGGATGAATGCTGGTTAACAGAACATGTTAAATATGTCATTTGCTGACTAAATAGTAAATGAACAAAAAATTTAACTCATTGGTTTGACTTTCTTTCTAAATACAGTAACTTATATGTTGATAATGTGATCGTTCTAGATGTCATCTAACAGGTGTTTTTTTAAGAACATTAACATGAAGGACTCCAGGTTTGGCTGCGAAAAATTACCACGTAATCTGTTCATGATATATTTAAAGTGGATAAGCTTCTATCACACTCAACTTGTGACAAAAAATTTTCTAATCCACCGGAAAATCACAATGATTTTCAGCAGCCCAAAAATATCGATTTGTCAATTTCTGACCCCAAAAAGAAAAGATGGGCACCCCTGTTGGGGACCCGTGTCACTATTGCACTACAGAACCTAAAAGCCGTCCGTTTTTTGCTTCCTGTGGAAGGGTACAAAAAATCTGGGTGTCCACAGGAAAAGATATTTTACTAAAAATCGAGTTTTAGTTCGAAATTGCGAAAAGGAATTTGGCTGTAGACATTTCTCTACCTTTGAGAAAAAGGGGACCTGTGTCGCTATTGCACTACAGAACCTAAAAGCCGTGCGTTTTTTGCTTCCTGTGGAAGGGTACAAAAAATGTGGGTGTCCACAGGAAAAGATATTTTACTAAAAATCGAGTTTTAGTTCGAAATTGCGAAAAGGAATTTGGCTGTAGACATTTCTCTACCTTTGAGAAAAAGGGGACCTGTGTCGCTATTGCACTACAGAACCTAAAAGCCGTGCGTTTTTTGCTTCCTGTGGAAGGGTACAAAAAATGTGGGTGTCCACAGGAAAAGATATTTTACTAAAAATCGAGTTTTAGTTCGAAATTGCGAAAAGGAATTTGGCTGTAGACATTTCTCTACCTTTGAGAAAAAGGGGAACCCGTGTCACTATTGCACTACAGAACCTAAAAGCCGTGCGTTTTTTGCTTCCTGTGGAAGAGTACAAAAAATGTGGGTGTCCACAGGAAAAGATATTTTACTAAAAATCGAGTTTTAGTTCGAAATTGCGAAAAGGAATTTGGCTGTATACATTTCTCTACCTTTGAGAAAAAGGGGACCCGTGTCACTATTGCACTACAGGACTTAAAAGCCGTGCGTTTTTTGCTTCCTGTGGAAGGGTACAAAAAATGTGGGTGTCCACAGGAAAAGATATTTTACTAAAAATCGAGTTTTAGTTCGAAATTGCGAAAAGGAATTTGGCTGTAGTCATTTCTCTACCTTTGAGAAAAAGGGGACCCGTGTCACTATTGCACTACAGAACCTAAAAGCCATGCGTTTTTTGCTTCCTGTGGAAGGGTACAGAAAATGTGGGTGTCCACAGGAAAAGATATTTTACTAAAAATCGAGTTTTAGTTCGAATTTGCGAAAAGGAATTTGGCTGTAGACATTTCTCTACCTTTGAGAAAAAGGGGACCCGTGTCACTATTGCACTACAGAACCTAAAAGCCGTGCGTTTTTTGCTTCCTGTGGAAGGGTACAAAAAATGTGGGTTTCCACAGGAAAAGATATTTTACTAAAAATCGAGTTTTAGTTTGAAATTGCGAAAAGGAATTTGGCTGTATACATTTCTCTACCTTTGAGAAAAAGGGGACCCGTGTCACTATTGCACTACAGAACCTAAAAGCCGTGCGTTTTTTGCTTCCTGTGGAAGGGTACAAAAAATGTGGGTGTCCACAGGAAAAGATATTTTACTAAAAATCGAGTTTTAGTTCGAAATTGCGAAAAGGAATTTGGCTGTATACATTTCTCTACCTTTGAGAAAAAGGGGACCTGTGTCGCTATTGCACTACAGAACCTAAAAGCCGTGCGTTTTTTGCTTCCTGTGGAAGAGTACAAAAAATGTGGGTGTCCACAGGAAAAGATATTTTACTAAAAATCGAGTTTTAGTTCGAAATTGCGAAAAGGAATTTTGCTGTAGACATTTCTCTACCTTTGAGAAAAAGGGGACCTGTGTCGCTATTGCACTACAGAACCTAAAAGCCGTGCGTTTTTTGCTTCCTGTGGAAGGGTACAAAAAATGTGGGTGTCCACAGGAAAAGATATTTTACTAAAAATCGAGTTTTAGTTCGAAATTGCGAAAAGGAATTTGGCTGTAGACATTTCTCTACCTTTGAGAAAAAGGGGACCCGTGTCGCTATTGCACTACAGAACCTAAAAGCCGTGCGTTTTTTGCTTCCTGTGGAAGGGTACAAAAAATGTGGGTTTCCTTTTTATGGAATTGAAAGTCGGCAGGATATTTAATCAAGGTTTTACTTTTGTTCATAATGATGAATCATAGTTCGTGATTGGTTGCCAGCAGCAGGTGTCAAATGTTTACATCACATCCTTTGATGTTCTTTCCCGTGTTATCTTGTTGCGATACCAGATGAAGAACGCAGCATGACGCATAAAATTTGTTTGCGTCATGTACGACAAAGAAGGTTTGATGCGTTTCAGGCAAGAATTATTTTGCTCATTTACCTGACTATTGATACCTTTCAAGTCTAGGTACCTGTCCATGTTGTACCCTTCGCTGCACCCTAAAATAAAGAAGTGTAGTTTTTTTTATTCATTTTGAAACATGTTTTACCTGCTAATAGATAAACATATTCAGGACTAGACATATTTCGGATATAAACATATTCCGGATTAAATGTAAAAACTTTTAAGGCTATCTTCAGCAAGAAATATTTACCTGAATGGTTTTTCCAATGAAGCCTATCGACAAGAAACCTTGTCTCTTGGAAAAATGAAGGCTGTCGATTCAAGCAATATTCGTGCAAATTGCAAGCGTTGTCATAAATCACAACTTTTGGCGCTATGTGAAAAGAAGAAGATTTTAAATCTTTAGGCATACTTAGATAAATACAGAAATTAAAAAGAGAATACTGAAGTGGGTCAAATTTAATTATTTAGCTTGTTCATGCTTCAAAAAAGTATTAAAAATTTGAATTTAGACAAAATAGGAATTTTAACAAAATTACAATTTGAAAATATGAACGCTGTATAGACTTCAATTAAGAATTTGTACCGCACCTTTCTCAAAGTGGGTGAATAACACATTGAACGGAACTTCTGGTGATTCACTTGTTGTCATGACTTCAAATCCGTAACATATTTCTATTGAAAGATAACAAATGTCGTATCATTGCTAGAGAAATTATTTCCAAAAAGTATTTTTGTTCTTATCTTCTGTTGATGAGACTTGCATTGAATTAAAATAGCTGTTACAAAATGAACCGGACAGATATGGGCTGCAATTCGTGGAAGTGACTTGAGATAACAGACGGATTAATCTAGGATGAAACAATTTAACAACCAAATTGTCTCTGAAGGCCAGCAGAGTCAAAGAAGATTCCATGAAATTCAAAACTTTCCCGTGTTGGAGGGATGTGGCATGCCCCGTACACCCTAACCATAGTCCGCATTCGGGGTTGTCTGCGTCTGCGTGCCCCATCAGTTCTGTGTGCCCCAACTTGGGGGCATGCACCCTTGGAAAATTTCAAGGCGTCTTCTTTGTTTTTGCTGAATGGTAGACACATTATTTTGCTCTCGGAGGTATCCTTTTAGTGATGTATGATCTTGTGCTAATATATTTTCGTAATTTATACGATGGATGGAATAAAAAGAAAAATGAACATCCATAACATACCATGATTGCAAAACAAAGTGAATACCCCTGGCAATAAACTCGGGTGGCCGCGACTGGTCTTGGTGCAAACGTTTTGCTTTTTCGAAACCCGGTTTTGATCTATTTGGTAGCGTCCACGGTGTCGCTTCTGTGGCAGGTCAGGCCAATGTGCAATACTGGACGATGCTTCGTTTTTTTCTCTTGACACACGTAAGCTTTCAGCTTGATTTTTGGGCTGCCTCAAGAACGGGTTCCTGGATTTCTCAACCATCAGCTGGAGAACGCTTAAAAGTGGCTCTGGGCATTTGAAATCTTGCAGCGATGTGACAAGGTCATACAATACTGGAAATTTCCTTTTCATGATATCCAGTACCTTTCTATCAACAATCCCTCCTTCCGATACAAAATTACCCAAGCCATTCTGTAACTCTGAGTCCTGATGTATAATACCGGCAACAGGAGTGGCGACAGCAAGTGCTTCAACGAAGGGGGCCCATGCTTTCGGGCAACAGTATGGCTGCGATCTATGACCTTTGACTGCACTTTCCCAATAATCGTGATCCATGTCTGTGCATGAATGCTCAAGGTACTTTATTAATAAAAAAATCGAAGGATGCAAATCTTCCAACATTTCCAACATTTCGTCATACTCATCCATATTTAGGCGCTTGCTTTTCCTTCTTCTGTTGTCGACGTAGCGAAGCAAAAGAGAACGACAAGTGTTATTGCTTACCATTATTCTGTTTTCGAATTTTCTGAGAAAAGATGGATGATTTATTAGAGAACATGAAGTATTGCAAATTTTTAAACATGAATTTCAATATTATTTATAAAGTCCTATATTGATACAAAATTAAATCATATTAGTTAAATATAGTCTAAATGGAGGATATTTGAAGAAGGTTTCTCATGCTTAAAATTTGTTAGACTTATTATTATTTGATGCTAATGAACTTTGCTAGCCAAAGATTGCTCGTCAGGTTTAAAACCACTTCAGTTTAAAAATTTGAATAAGGAATTTGAATAACTTCAACATACGAATATCTAGGTATCACCGGCTCCTTTGTTTGCTCAACTTCGACAAGAAATGAGCGCCAATGCGTTAGTTCTTTCCGAAAAGAAAGGGATGTTGCATCCATTAAAACAATGTCTGAGGCGTTTTTACAAATTTCGCAGCCAAACCCTTGGTCGATATCAATGTCCAGCAATTCCAGGTAACTGTACCACGCATCTTTAAATTTGTTATATGAGAACGTGCTAATCTCACATGAAAGACCTTCGTCGCGTTTTTCCCGTACGTAAATCGTGTGGAAAACGTAGATAGGCATCCTAAGATTTCAAAAAAATTAAGAAAACCATTTGGGAAAACCGAAAAAATTTTTAAGAGGAGAAATTTAGCAAAGTTGTCAAATTGAAGAAAACTTCTAGGTCTTCTATAGAGAAGCTAAATTTGATAAGAGCAGATTGTAACTATTATGGAATAACAAGAACTTAGTAGTAAAAAGCACCTCGAATGCTGTTCCCTATAGATAAACAACCAAGACAAAATTTTCTTTATTCTACCTTAATACAACCAAAACGGAAGTGTTGTCAATTAAACATAACATCTCAATTGGTATATTGATATTATCTTGCTGTTCCAATGAAAGAATGAATCTTAAAAGCAACTATATTATTATTATTATTATTATGCATGTCACCAGACGATAGCTGGTTGTGGCAATTTCATGAAATTGTGTATCGTCTTAACATTTCTTCACTTACCGACCATGACGGAAGCTTATCATAAAACGCCTCAACAGTTTATGGCTGACCATATACGTCCCCATATTGAGAAGCCCATCCTCAAGTCCATCGTACTGGAAGTTCCATAGGCAAGCGTCGTTTGTACAATGTACTCTGTACAATAAGAAAGAAAATACTGCCAAATCAATCGTTTTCCGTCAAATCTTGGCCTTTATTGCTATGTTTAGAGAACTAGCAAACGAAGGAAAGGTTTGAAATCGTTGTTTATCACTGTTGAACGTAGTAACAATTCGTTCATAGGATACTATGTGTCAAATACAATGAAGTTTGCAAAGTTGAGCATTGGATAAAAACAATTATTACCTTCAGCTGAAACAATGCCAATGTCCATAAATACGGGCACATCACTTTGAAATAGCCAGTTTTCTTTGACAGGATCTTCCGTAGACCAGTAACTGCCACAAGATTTGCAACGGATCCCAGTGGGCAACGTTGGTTTTAAAACCAATTTGTCTTGGGAACGCTGCATAATCATGATTTCTTTTCCAGCGAGGCTGTTTAGCGGACTATAACAAAACGGAATTGCTTGATACGAGAGTGCTTTTCCATTATTTGCCTCTTCTGTAGGATATTCATCTTCCAAAGATTTTAGCAGTCTCGATGCATTCTCTGGAAGAAAGATTGAAGACTCAAGGCTCTTCAGAATCCGAATGTGTCCGCATCCAGTTGAATTTGGACAGTTCAAGCAGGAGAGATGATCTCGAACAACAGCAACTGCTCCAAAGTCATTCCTTTCTTGGTCCCAAACAACGACAGCTTCTTTGTTAGCAAGAATTGGATAAACTGGACATTCAGCTTTGGGACGAGCTTCTGGAAAAACGTATAAATTATTTTGGATTTAATTGAAAGCTTATCTCAAAGCAGATAACAGCTCCTTTCACTGAAGTTAAATTTGAAAACAAAACCTTAAAAGCAGAAAAATGTTTTATTCTGGAAACTGCCAGTTAAAAGACTGGTAAAGGCTCATCGTGTGTCTTTACAGCCGGCAACATTATATAAAAAAAGATTTCGGTGAGAGAAACAGGATGCAGGGTTTTCACAAAAATCCCAGAAAACAGCATCTAAAGGAATATAAAATTTCAAAACTACTCTATAGCTTAAAAATTAGATTTATTAGCTTTGGTTTGTACATTCAATATCAATAAAAACAAACATAGAATTATTATATACCGAATTTCAAAATATAAATGTGATTAGATGCGATGCTGCGAGATTGTGAATGAGTTCCATGTTATCAGCAAAGGTTATCCTCCATAAATGGCTGCCTAAGGTTGCTCCCTTTTAAAAGATGTACGATTTCTGTGCTTACATAAAAATGTGTATTGACAGCTTTCAAACTGCCGGTAGTGTATAATCAAAGCTTATCATGAAGTCGTACCTGAGGTGTTTGCATACGATTCCGGGTCCAAGCTGTTTCCTACATCAAAGTCTATCATTAGCTTTGAAGCAGCTTTCAAATGAATGCAGTGCGTGCAAGTGAAATCTAAAGAAATGCAGTGTAGTTGTGAGATGGTTGAAAATTGAATATTGGTTTCCAATTCTAGTAATGAGTTTTGAAACTTTGCAATTCTACTGAAGCTTTTAGGTTTAAATATCACAATGCCTTATCTTTTGCTGCTACTACGATTACAATTTGATAAAAATTATGCATTCAATAGCTCCTAACTCTTAATGTTCTTTAAAAAGTATAAATAGCTTCATTCTGAATAAGCTTACAGCGAAACGTCAACCAAGTTGTTTTTTATTGAGTATCTATACATATATATATATATCTATATATAATATATAATCACAAGGCAATCTATATATAATATATATACTTGCAATATAGATTTAGTCGCAAAAATAACACATTGTTGTTACCGGTTTCATCTGATCGTGCAGAATCTTCAGCCAATTCCAACACTCGAAATATATATATATCGAACAAAAGTAAGACGTAGGTGCTAGTAAAAATATATGCGAGATGACTGCCGACAAGTTTCGACCATAGTCCGTAATCATGGCAAACTAAATGTTACAGAATTTTGATTTCGTTGTTTATTGATTACTTGATGTGTGACTGGGGATGAAACAATCAAATTGAAAATGAACGAATGACAAAACAGGGTATAAAAGGGGTATTTATTTTTCAAAGTTTGGAAAAGGATGATTGATTATTTGGTTAAGGCCAAGTGGGGTTAGGGTTTTAAGTTTTTTATCCAGAAATCCTCTCTTTTTTCAAGGCGTGATCTTTAAATTTCTTTTTCGAATGGTATTGTTCTTAATTGCTCAATTATCTTTATATATCAAATCACTTGGCTTTGGAAAATATTCATCTTCACTTTTTTCAATTGTAAATGAAAAATTATTAAATAAACTTATGCCAGAAAAATTGAAACCCAAAATTGAGTACGATATTGTGCATAACAACGAAAACGAAGATTCCCAAACCTTCATTTGAGAAAATACCCATCAAGGCCAGATGACATTTATTTTACTTTTCCAACTCAAAGTCCTACTTAAGGTCCAACTCAAATAGGTTTGCGGGTTTGAAATTTAATAGGTGTTCAAGAAATCGCATTGTTTGCTTACCACTAGCTTCTAAAGGGACAGATTGGGAAAGAGAGCTGAGAAACTCCATTTGATTGTGCGTGCACTGACAAGCATAAATCCATTGCCAACCATCTGTAAATTCAACTGGCTTTCGAATAACGAACACAAATGACCTGACCTAGACCCAGATAAAACAAAAGGAAAAAATTAAAAGGCCATTCTTGACTTTTTGGAAATTAAGACGTCATTTTTGAAATGCATTTGCAATTCAACAACAACAGATGCAGTATTCTTAAGTACCCAAGATATTAAGGAACCCAGTATGCTAGCCAAACTGTCAAATAAAATGCCATACATAACCTCTTAGTATTGCAGGTTTGCACAAACCTCTAAAAGTTTTGTCAAATTTAGTTTCAGTTTTGAAGTTATAAGCAAAAGTATGCCAAATAGTAGAAACCAATTGTGATTGAGATTTCTTAAAATTTCCATTTCAATAACTTTGTCAAGACCTTTGATTGAAATAACAGATAAAGACTTTTACAACAAGAAGCCATTTAACTAGAGATTTGAGGTAGCTGAGGTTATTTTGATAATTGACCTTTCCTTAATTTTTTATGCTATAATATATTATGGCATAAAAGTGTAAATCGCATCTGTTCCACTTATCTGAAAAGCATTATGAAATTTGTAGGACATGAAAATTCCAGAGTACTGACTCCACAGAAAGTAGCCTCAGTTCCTTCTGAAAGTTGTTGAGAGGGTTCTATAAAATCAAGGATTTATCTAAAATCACACCCATTATACAATATGACCTCTGGATATTACCTTCAGTTTTCCTTGTTTCTCATCAATATCAGACAGGCAAAATGCTGTGTAATCTTCATTTGCTGGTGAAATTCCTTCATTTTGCACCAATTCATGGACATAATTGACAACCGGATCAAGTTCAAAGATTACCTAAAACCAAGATTACCCTGATAAAAACTTTACCAGGACCTGCCTCATTCGTTAAGTCAACTTGCCAAAACTCAATTGAAAGATTCACAATTAAATGTGGCTGATTGAACAAATTCTCATGCTGGCCTTGTGTTGAATGGATTACCCTTTTCTGAATAGTAGCCCATACTAACAAGATGATAATAATTGTTACTAATATTTTGAAACAATGAAGAAGGTAAACAGACTTGTATTGAAAATGGGTTCTTGGAATAAGTAAATAACCACCTACAAATTAAGAAATAGCCAGCAAATGTTTTATACCTATACTTCCATCCCTATAAGTCTCCTCATTCTTGAGTTTGCATCTAATTTAAGGCATTACATTGCTTTCAAAAGAGTTACAATGCAGCAAATAACAACATAATAGTGTCACAACATATGAATAAATTTCATAGAAGCACATGCAAGCTTTATATACAAAGCATCAACTAGTAACAGAATTTGTGAAAAATTCTTCATATACCATAAAAGCTCTATTAAGCCCCCAGGGGGCTTATTTATTTTTCCGGTTCTAGAAGGAGGCTTAAGGTTACGGTAAACGTTTTCTTGATGAAAACATCATTTTTTCGATTTTTTCACATTCAAGTAGCCGAACTTTCAAGGCACACAATGATACCAAATTTGAAACAAACAGAAATTTTGAAAGTGGAAAAAATCCCATGTAACCGAAGGTTTCCATAATTTCTTTATCAAAACTTTTAGTTGAGGCCTGAAAATCTCTTGACCTGTTAAGCCGATTATCGTTGCTTTGCGGTTGTGGTCGCATGTCTCATTTACAATATCGCATGGCACATCCATATATCCAATGTACGGCCGTGTTTATTTAAACAGGCTTATTGATCTTAAATCTTCAAGTGACTTGACCCGGATTACACTGTGGTTTACGAGTGTATCTTGCAAGTGCGATCAGTAAAATCCCGTTTTCTCCGGACTCGAAATTCCTCTACATGCAGGTACGAAAAAGCTATTATGTACCCAAGGAACCAATCGAATGGCTCGAAAATTTGCACACGGCCAGGGCAGACGTTGGGCAAACAAAGCGTGTCTCAAAATTTTTTTATTTTTGCTGGTCCGTCTTTTATACCCAAATACAGCTGCGGGAGGGTGGAACAATTATTTGCCAATTTTTGACAGGGTATAGTTTCAAGAAGAGGAGGAATTTAAAAAATCTGAGACACACTTTGGTAGCTTAGGACCTGCACTTCCTGCTGGTCTAAGTCAGATTTTGTTACCTCAAACACAAGGGTACATAATAGCTTTTGAAGGTGGTACACTTTTTGACCAGTAAATTCGCATGGAAAATAACATTTAACATTATTTGCCAAAATTTTTATCTGGCTAGATACGCCATAATCTTGTGCATCGAATGATATATAGTTTATCCAGATTCCTTGAGCCGTTTGGCCTTTAGGAAGGAAAAACCAATTTTCGTGTTCAAAACGTTTACCGTAACCTTAAAAGAAAGGGGGCTTGTAAGAAAGGGAGGCTTATTAATACTTCAATGTAAAAAATGTTATAAAAATGCCCTAGTGCAATATTATAATACTGTCCTCATCTTCCTGACCAGGATCAATTGATATCCCTTGGGACATCTTCTGAGGCCGCAATGGGTCATTTAATGTAATTTTGATGATGATGATGGTGATGAACAAATTTTGACGGACTTCTACGGTGCACAAGTAAATATTTAAATGGGCCGTATTTGGTGCACACAATCTTATGGTCATCACACCCTTCAAAAAACCCAGTTTGACATCAGGGGCTTAAGAAGAGGGGCTTAATATAGAGAGGGGGCTTAAAAGAGAGAGGGGCTTAATAGAGCTTTTACAGCATTAGATTTTCATCTAACAATTTAAACTATTTGAAAAAATGTTATTTCTAAAAATGAAAACAATCATTATGTATTTGAACTATAGTGGTGGTCTATATAAACAACACACCGCCTGTACAGTTATCTAAAAAACTTAAAATACATGGCAAGATATCCCTGACTTGGGAAAAAGCCAGAGTTGGGATTGTAAAATTTGGGTGTTAATCTAAAAGTGTTGAAATATATGTGGAAAGCACAGTAAATCAACTAGAAGCCAGTTGCACCTGGTCTTTTCCATGAAGTTTTGAGTAGGAAAATTTGGTTATCAAACCATTAACAAAGATATTTTACTAAAAGTTAAGGGACCATAGCCCTCTCTTGCCTTCTGATAACTCCACTACAAAGCTGCTCACCAAATACAAAAAAGGGATGCACATAGTTTTATTGAGTTGTGCTGATGTATGCCAGGGAAAGTTAAACTTACTTCATCGTCTCCATCATCACTTGCACTTACTTTGTAAAGGTGAAATTGGAGGGGATTCAGTGACACTGACCATTTCGTCATCATTTATTGAGTCACCTGTTTTACAAAACGAAACTGATTCCGCATGCTTAAAGTGATTCCGCATGATTTGCAGCAGTTTTTTGAAAATTAGCTTCTTGAGATGAATCAGCTAACGCTTCTCTCAAACTTCTATTTTCATCTTTGCGGGCATTTTCCCGTCGTCGCCGTTTATTTATTTTCCCCGAAATCTCCACCAACGAAGAAAGTTTTTCTTCCATAGCTGTTCTTCACGTTCTTGCAGTTCTTGGAGTAGCGTAGACTGCAGATTAGATAAAATGTTGCTGTTGGTGTCCTTGTTTAGTTTTGGCTGTTGTTCTTTAGTTGCTGCTGTTGTTTTTGTCCACAGTTGTGGACCAACCACCTCATTGGGACCAACAAATTTCGTGGCCAAATATACCTCAGTGTGAACACTTATCGTATTCACAGCGTATTCATATGAAAACGGATTAGTGTGAACGAACAGCGTTTTCATCAACGAAAACGGAGCGAAACGAATAGGGAGTAGTGCAGTGGCGGATTCAGACCAGGTTCCAAGAGTTCTGGAACCCTGTCAAATTTTCCTAAGACAAAAACACCAGTTTTCCCTTTACCTTCGAACAAATGGTAACGAGTCCCAACGGAGGTGGGTTCTTGTGCCGCTCTCTAAATTTGGTATTGTGAAAGGAAGGAATCATGCCGTATTCATGGTACTCTTTTGTAACAAATTATATTCCTCTAAAGAAAGGAACCCTGTCATAGCCAAGGCAACTCTTTGTACCATATTGTATTTTCTGAGAAAGGATCTCTGTTGTAGCCATGACAATCGATTGTCTTCGATTGTTTTTGCTACAAACAAAAGAACCCTCTTGGAACCCACCTCACGAACTCATTGGAACTTATTTAAACCGTTGACCATGATTTGCAAAGATTATAGAACTCTTGAAGACACATACACAATATATTTATTTTTATAGTAAGAACTTTATCAAGATATAATTAAAGACCTAATATAAGATGATTTCATATGTCATAACTTACACTTTTCGATAACTGGGTTTGTTTGCTATATATGATGAGAGGCTTTGTCCATCGTTATCCATTTTTGTCAATCTTAGTGAATATTTGCAAACTTGTCTTGTTTGTTTATTACTTGGTTATATTTATTGCATGAATTTCACTCAAATCTTGCAACACTCAGTAAGCTTATGTCCTGCTGTAACCAGCTAAAGGAATTTATTAAGGCCCTCTGTTTGACAAGAAATCAAAACCTTTCTTATAGAATTCATGATGACAATTTCTGCTGTGGTTTACAGAATTATTTTTCTTACTCGCCTCGGAATCATGATGAAATAATATATTATCTTGTTAAAACTAATTCTTGCAATTGTGAAGCAAAAATGGGCGTCGCCCAATTTTGGACGAAAGTTTGGCCGTTGCCAGAACAATATAGGACCACGCCCCTTTAGGAGCCCACTTTAATTTTTGTCCAGAATCGCCACTGGAGTAGTGTGAACATATATTCATTGATCTGATTAGATTTAGTCGGTTTGCAGCCGCGTATCGATGTCGGCAGTACGGGAATATCGATGACGTCATCTATAGTCATTTCCAAGAAAACAAATTGGAACAATAGGGTTCTGAAGAGGGGAAAAACCTGCTAAGGAGGAGAAAAAGCTTCATACCGTGGGAGATCTTTAACGGAGACCATACCAAGATACAAGAAAGTTTTGTTTTTAGTAAACTGGAAATGTATTATGCAGTGACTCGAATTGCTGTGTTTAAGAAATGAAGAAATCTGTGTTGCTTCGTTCGACGTTGGCTGTTGCTCTGATTGTCTTGTTTTCCAGACAAATCGACGCGTTGTCTGCTTATGGGTAAGTTGTGTAGCTTCAAATACTTTGGCACTGTGACTTTGGCGAATGTAAGTTGCAATTATCAGCTCAGCTGCCCCCAGTGATATAATATTGACGTCTTCCTATTAATTTAAAACACTGCTACCTAGTAAACGAGAGCATCGGCAAAGCCATATATATATATATATAGCCAAGTTTGGGAGGGTAAACGGTGTGAGTTTGTTTACTACGCGTGGCACGCTATCAGCCCGCGACTTGCGAGCCTAGAATCTGCAGGCTATTTTATTTCTTTCTTTATTTAAAGTTGGTACAATTTCTAGCTATGCATACTCAAGCTGATTAAAACCAACTAATTTAAATTATCAACGCTAGATATAATATATATCAAATATAACCGATGTTGCTAACGTATTCCTTGCAAAGATTACAAGTACAAGAACCTGGGTGGAATACTTAGATATGCTTGCAGCTACGTAATGTTTAATGCACTCTCACCTGACTGACGCGCAAAATCAATCAAGTCATTCTGCCCCGTGATGCCTTTTTCTACAATAGTGGCAGTAGTGTCGCCACAAAGTGGGCACGTCCAGCCTAGGTTTTCCCAGAGGACGATTTTCTAATTTCTCGATTGGGAGTTGACCAAATCAATTTCGATTTTTGTTCTTGAATAAAAGCACCCATTACGAAAAATGTTACTTGAGAAAATTGCTTTTCTAAACATTTAAAATTAAGAAAAGGTGTTTCCCACGTTTTCCAAGACTCTGAAGTGGTCGAAGAAATTTCTTTTGTCGAGTCGAGACACTAGTTTTTTCGGGCTGGCGACGCCACTGATGAGAGTCTGCACACCAGTTATGGAAATAAAGTTTGTGCATCGACCGCTAATCCCTCTTATGACAAGACATTTTTTGCCACTCCCCAGAAAAGTTTCGCTTTTGGTGCAGTGCGTGTGCATCGCATTTCTTGAAAGTGAAAGTCTGTTCCAACCACATTTTTGATGTTTACGAATGGTTGAAGCACAATGATAGTTGAAATCATCAATGATTCAACATTTTGCGCTGTTTATATACCGAAGGCCGCCGGTTCACACATGTTGAAATTGATTGACCATTTTAGCCAGTGAAATAAAGAGAAATTAATCAGGGATGACAGAAATAAAAAGAAATCAATGATGGATGACTGAAAGAAAAGATCAAAAGCTTTTTTATCAAAAGCTTTTGCCCATTTTTGTTTGAGGCTCTCTATTATTTTCACGGTCTAGTACCCACCGTATTAGTTTCACCATGGCCTATTGTTACATTTATGTTTTCGAGTTATTGCTATCATTTGGCTAAAGTACAAGTTTTTTCCAGGTCGAATGTGTGCAGTTATCGAGTGCCATATTCCCATCGATACACTGTGCAGGTCTCATATGGTGCTTACACTAGCTACAGAACATGTTGCAGCCACTTCCTCTGGTGTTGGAAAAAATGCACGCGTTACAGGTGAACAAAAAGTTATTTAATACAGAGGCGGGTCCAGACATTCGCAACGCTCGCACTGCAAATGTCAGATTTCCTCGTGACTTTTGTGTTAGTCTGTTGATATATTTTTTGTTTAAGCATTGTAATTATTGTACCAGAAACAACCAGATAATACAAAAATGTCCATGTCATAGTCAGGTAGGATATCTGCCCCAGTTGCTAAAATGTCATCTTCTACCTAGCATCCGAAGGTAGTTTTAGGACACAGAGAAGCTTATGCTTATCGAGCAGTGTCCTGGTGCTTCCTCTCGATGTGACCACACCTCGTGCTTCCCACGCCTGGAATTACAGAGAGCTGGCGACACCCCTCACTTTGGGTGAAAGTTTGCCAGGGACTACTAGAATCACGAACCCTTGAATCATGCCAGGGGCTACTAGAACCACGAACCCTTGGATCTGTATTCAGCGCCTCTGACAACTGAGCAATCCTCGCACACGTTTACTAAGAGATATTCTAGGAGGGGGAGGGGGGGGGCCTTCTACGCATAAATTCTCAATAGAGTACCATTAAGATGGCCTTTTTCTGGATGAATATTCCTGGCTAGAGAATTGTCAGAGGAAGATTCTACAGACAAGAAGAAAGGGCCACGCATAACGTAAAATTGCTTCAAAGAGCGCATTTCCAGCGAACTGGAATCACTCATCAGAGAAAATTTTCTGACTTAAAAGCCTTGAGTTCAGGACGCATACTTATCAATAGTTCAGCAAATTTCTAATTTTTCGCATACATAGTAATAAATGTTTTTGTTTGACTTATCAATTTGGTTTTTGTAGCTGCATAGACAAAGATTTCAGCTTTCAATTAATTTTTCAATAACTCGTAAATTTTTTTATCTCGGCTTCTACAAATAAAATGCTCGGACTTGCTGAATGGGGCCTTGTCTATGTTTGGGCTCGGGGGCTCTAAAATGTTAGTGCAGTCCTGGTCAGCCCATTGCTTTCGGTTTGTACTCAGTTTCGTACCCAGTTTTATTTTTGGGTTTGGCATCCTGAACTCTACAACTTACATGCGTGAGAGAAAAATCTGCACATGACATTTATCTAAGATCATGTTCAAGGTGCTTTTTGATTATAACTTACATTATTTTCAGTTTTAGCTAATTTTCACGTGGTTTTGTGGTTTTAAGAAAAATCATGCACGGTTTTACGGATTTTGCGAAAATTTCAGTCGGTTCTACGCAGGGGCGCCTACCCGGGAGGGCTGCAGGGTGCAAGCAGTACCCTTAAACAGTCGTTCCTAAGGAGAGATTAAAAAATTGTTGTCAATATTTGATGACTAGTATAACAAGCCTTGCTATGTTGATTCCCATTAGAGATTCAAACAAGTATGCCAGTCTTTGATAATGGAAATATACTTTCTCAGAAGACGACAATAACAAAAAAAGTCAACCGTTTCTTATACGATAGCTACTGACTCTTTTGTCCATCAACAGAAAAAGGATGTCACGATTAGTTTATGCCTTGACATAAAAACACGCTGAACTAAACAATTATTTGATTCACGTTTTTTTCTTGCGATTATTACTTTTCATTTTACACTTGCACTGATTCTGCAACCATGGAGACTAAGCAAACAATCAAAGTCTTACAGCAAGCCCATTTAAAGTTGCCATGATTTTCGTAAAACGAAAAATTCTACTCATGATAAGGCCTTCTTCGCACTCACTTGCATGGAGAATTTTGTCAACATTGTTTTGTGCCCATGTTTAGAATCTTTGTTTGCAAAGACCCTAGCTGTATGGGTGGAACATGCCAATAATTTTTTTTGCACCCATCCCCCCAACTCCAACCCCTCCACTTAATCGATTACGGTAGTGGAAAAATTCTTCCATTTGCCCTAAGCACCAACTTGTTTGCCCTTCTGCCTTGAATTTGTGCAGGCGCCCCTGGTTCTACGGTTTCCTGACCCCTCCCCCCAAACACTCCCTCATCAAGCCATAATTTATTTCATAATATTTTTTTCACTAAGATTGATGTTTTTGACGAAAAATTAGGTTTAAAGACATGTTGATCCGCTATTTTGATGACAGCATGAAATCTACATATATTGCCCACATTCTGTAAGAAGTATTATAGTGGTTTTCTTGTATCACTTTTCTTTGAATGATGTGCTTAAAACGATGGAATAGTAACATTTCAAAGATCCTGTCGAAAACTTTGTTGAAGTGTTGTCATCATTCACATGATGTCATTTGTAGAAATGCTATACGGTCTTAAAATGATCATTTGATTGTTTGTTAAGATAGAAGAATCACTATAAAAAAGTTATTTGAAAGAAACTTTCAATTTTGTAGATGGGTGAGGCGATACCGATACGAAGTGCGCTATACAATCAGGTATAATACCTATTATCGCTGCTGTCAGGGTTGGCGACAAGGAGCTGGATCCTCGAGCTGCCTAATCCGTAAGCAAAACACAATACATTTCTTAGGCCTACTTATAATGGCATTTCAATCGATTCTATTATCGATATAATCGATATAATCAACATACTTTCATATAAATTTAGCTTAGGAACCTAACCTCTGGAAATTCTGTCGATGGAATCCAAGCAGAGCTGATGCATTAGATTATAATTTAAGTTATTTTTGCTAAGGTATAATTTCGATAACTGCCTTTTCCCAAATTCCCCATAATACTGTAATTTTATTAGTGGCTCAAAATATTAAAATCACTGCAAAAGCAGAGTGCAGTGTGCTAAAATCCACCTTTGAAATCTACTGTCTAACCAGTATGGTTAACTCAACCAGGATTATGTGGTTTTATTTGTTTCCAGTCCTCCTTTTTGCAGAAAATTGCTACATCTATAGAAGTCCCTTCGCAATCTAATGTATTTTTTTCTTTCCTTATTAGCCATATGCAACAGTCCCGGATGTGTTCATGGGCATTGCATTCGACCAAACACATGCTCATGTCAGTCAGGATGGACTAACCCATCACAGGGGTGCAATGTGGGTGAGTAAGAAAACTCATGCATATTTGCTGTAGGCATATATCAATATAGTTCTAAAACATAAAGTTTCGAGATATTTGCAAAAATATTTTTTCATTCCGCATAGAATTTACAAATCTTTATAATCATGTGTCGTAGAATCGATCACCTCTATTAATCCTACTCGAATCTGTAATCCTTGGTGCCTGCAGTCATTGCAAGAGCGTAGATAGACATCCACAGGGTTTCATACTGGTCGTACCCAAAATCTGGTTTTTGGTCGTGCCCATCAATAGCTAGTTGTGCAAGACCTTGTCATAATAATGATAATATTTGAGTTAAAAATTCCAGCACACATATCACAAGGCTGCCCGTTTCTCAAGGCACGACTGCCTGCACCCTGCATCATTAGGGTCTTCTTGTCAGTACTGAAGACATTCGTGGATGTTGGTGTGATAGCAGAGTGATCTGAGTTGTGCATGTTAATGCTCCATGGGCGCCGCCAGGGGAGGCTTCAGCCCTCCCCCCATATTTTGCTCAAGCATGTTTTTGAGAAGATAAAAAGAATAAAAGAAAATAAATAAACGAAAAGAATAGTGCTATTTAACCTATTATTGCCTAGTTTCTAGGAATTAGACCGATGTCTGTGGGACTTCATAAAGTAATGAATTCCATATTAAGACTGGAATTAATCAACCTGAATAAAAGCATGCCTTAAAAATAGCAAAACGTTTTAAACGAGTAAGAAAACTAAATCAAGTTACTGCAAGAAATATTCTGAAATGTATTTTGAGCTAATCTGAAGGGCGCGGTTGCAAAATTTTCTACTCTCTTTGCTCACAGAAAACCCTCTTCTCTCAAATATACCTCCGACAACCCCTTTGCCGACCCTTCCAATGTAATGCTAGCAGAAAAAGTGCCCCAAAAAATCATAGGCATTTAATAGAGTGAAGCGTTTTAGTGCGTTTTCAAAAAGTTGGTTTTTTTGGTCTACCCCTCTCCCTCCTCCCCCCAACTTGAAACTTCTTGGCACCGCCCCTGTGCTCCAGTCCAATTTCATGTAAAACAGTTGTGGAGGAGAAAACTGCCTCCTGCCTGTGGAGGGAGCTTATCATTTACTTACTTTGACTTAGCCTATACGGAATCAATCAATTGGATCTTTTCGGTAGCTGGACAAGCTTTCGTTCACCTAAAAAGAGTCATGATGTTCAGACGTTGTGTAGCTTATCATTATCTCTTGACCCATAACCTCAAAGTAAGTATCCACTTGCGTCGTTGGTCCCTGGGAGACGTCAGTTTCATCTTAGCAATGAGGATACCTCATAATATGTAGCAAATGTGATGAAAAAACTGACCTCAAGAATATTAAAGAAAACATTTCTGTATTCACTGTTCAGTGCTTTTTGCCTGTGGCTAGTTAAATAATGCTGCATGGCTGTACCTCTTTAGCAGATGTTCTAATCCTTCTGTTTCAATTGTAATGTGAAAATGAATTTATCATTAAATTTAATTCAGTCAAGTTTACCTTTAAAGCAAAACTTTTGCCTCTTTTTTGAATGAAATTCTATTTTTTTATGTGTGCAGAACAAGTAGTGCTTGCAACTATTATATATTTGAAATCTGAGTCTACGGGTGTATTTTAGTCCCATTGTTGCAATAATTTGATTCAATTTTTGAAAAAGTTTGTTGTCAAACTTTATTATTCTGTGCACTGATATCTGGGACAATAATAACAAAAATAAAAAAGTTGCCAGTAACCCCCATCACACCTTGGGAAGAAAATGAATATCGAGTATCAGCGAGAGGCAAAGGAGACAAAAGCAGTTTTTATACATTTTAGTTAAAAGTAATACAGTGCCATGCAATTGCTATTTGTGCTCTTTAGATCACTGAAATACTTTTGGGTATGTCATTGCGTGGTAGTCCAGCTTCGCCACTGATGACGTCATGAAAATCTATCTTCAGACTTTTTGAATTCGGATCAGATAAACTGAAAGAGCATCATGGAATACCTCTGAATACGGGAAATCAGCTACATTTGCTAGAAATTTTCTGAGAAATGGCAACTTAAGTATCCAGCATTATTCTTGTCAAATCACTGCAAATTGGTCTCTGCTCATTGCTTTTTGAAACATGTCAATATAATAGAAATCCGGTAGCAAACTTCAAGTGGTTGATTTGCCATTTCTCAGGTTATACATTCTGTATATATGCATTTAGAACTTGTTTTTGTTAAAATGCATGGCTATAGAGACTAAGCCTTTGTTTCAGTCTTTAGCTTGAATTCTCTTCGCAACGTTTTTCACTCTGCAATAAATATGCAAAATAATATCCAATACAAAAACATTTGGGGGAGGGGATAAACCCCTCATTTGGGGCTATTAAGCACGATAGAGCCATTTGCTAGGTCTGTTTTGGCAGAAATTAGGACAAAAACTCCTCCACGAAAATATTTCTTGGATCAACTGTCTGGAACTTTGGAGATTGTGAAACTTTTTTCAATTTTAGATATCAACGAATGTGCAAATTCAAATGGAGGCTGCCAGCAACTATGCACAAACCTTCCCGGAACACACAGATGTGGATGTAACAGGGGGTACACGCTTGTTGGATCTACACGTTGTCAAGGTACCCCTTACAGGATCTTATTTTGCTACTAGAATTTAGACGAGGCTTTGTATGCAATGTAATTTTAAAACAAACAGGTTTGCTAACAGTGTTCACTGATCTCAAAAAACGACTGGATCGAGCTTCTCCAGGCCAGCATTGATTCAACATTGCAGCGTCCATCTTGAGACCTCGCCGTGTTGTATGAGACTAGAGAGCAATTATCTTGGTTTCAGTTCAACTTACTTTTTCATACCAAAATTCAAAGTAAACGTTGAAACAAAATCTTGCATCATTCGTAAGTGACGTTAAGCATTTTTGCCGTGGTATTAAGTTTATGTACCGAAGAATCCACTAATCACTTATTTTCCTTTCCTAGTTGTATCTTAGAATATTTAAGAATTTAATTATTAATGCACAATTTAAGGCGCAGCACTTTGTGTGCGCCGTTTTAACAAATGGCAGCCCAAAGCTTTAGGCGCGAGAGGTCTCAAGATGGAGAGACTCCATCGGCTTTCTCGTGCTGATGTAGGAGAACAATAAGTTGTTAGATCCAATTTTTTTTTGAGATCAGTGACAGTGTTAAGGGTTGTGACCGTGAAAATTCCTCTTATCTCTAAGTAAGAGTTTGCTTCTGGTAAAGAAATCTTTGAGTTGTGAATCCTTAAAGATTCAGTTTTGCCACCCATAATTATTAGCCTAATAACTTTATAGCTCTTTGAGTTCTAGTGTCAAAATTTTATTTGGCTCGTTTTCAGATGTCAACGAATGTGCTACTTCACATCGACTGTGCAGCTGCGATGACCAACCGAACAATCCATCATGCATTGCGTCTTGTAGCAATACATTGGGAAGTTATCGTTGTACTTGCTCGGCTGGCTATCAGTTACTTCATCATGGGCGATGTGTCGGTAAGAATTCAATGCTTTTGCCTGTCGGTCCAACAGGCATGGCACCACTGGCAGAGCCCCCCTTTTTTAGAGATAAAAACTGTTTGAACGTCTTTTATATTATTTTTAAAACAGAGCATGAAATAAAATAGAACAAACTGTTTAGATACTGCTTTTTGTTATTTGATTCTATTTACTAACTTATTTGGGTGCATTTCTCTTATTTGTTTATTATTTTCATCAATTCAGTAGAGAACTTTATGGATCTTTGCAATGTTTGCATTTTGGATTTGTAAACATGGCCAACTGAAAATACTCGAGATAAAAAAGATATCTTAATTAAGGAAGTAAAATTCTCTCAATCATGAATCAATACAATAGCTTCTCGTTATTTCCATCGATGTGCACTCTGAGCCACAGGTCACACTTTCTTTCTTACCCCCAACGCATGAAGCCTCCCCTCCTAAATCTTTCCTAAAAATCAATAATCTATGCTTTTCTTAGAATCGTCAAGTGGTCTTTTCTGCTATTCTGAGCGGTACAATAATTTTTCAAACTTTTGTCTGGGAGATGCATTTTTAGCCATTTTAGAAGGATTAATTTAAAAAGATTTCTTGCGCGTCGGACCAAACCATGGTTGGCCCTCCCATGTCATTAAATTTTATTCTTAGCCCCCCCCCCCCCCCCCCGTTTCAGTTTTGCAGAACCGTCTCTGTCCCAGTTAGCTCCTCTTCTGGATACAGACCAGGCTTAATACTAACAAGTGATGGATTGTGATTAGGTTAAAAACAGATGGAAAGTTAATTCCATATGTTAAAAACTTCATTAAACTTGCTTCTTTTGTCAAAATGTTATTTCGTTTTCAATTTCATTTGGAAAATCATATCTTTATTGATTCATTCAAAAATATAGTTTAGAAAATGGCCTAAAAACAACAACTTTGAATATTTCGTCAAACATTGTCTTTTTATGCTGTAGATGTCAACGAGTGCATGGCAAACAACGGGCAGTGTTCTCATACTTGCAGCAACTATCCTGGAACACATAGATGCTCCTGTCACAGCGGATACCAGCTCAACACCGACGGAAGATCATGTTCAGGTACGCGTCTTAGACTAGGTTTATATCTCATAAGGATATTCATCTTTCAATATTAAGGCTTCCTTCTCATGTACTAAATCTTCAATTATTGGTAAATTATAGCTTGGCATTCTTCGATCTTTGAATTTGGCCTTTTTTAATTTGGTCCAACTTTTACGGTTGCAGACGTAAATGAATGTTCAACCAACAATGGTGGCTGCGACCACAGCTGCATCAACACTCCGGGTAGGTTCACTTGCCAGTGCCGATCAGGATATACTCTCGACCCCAATGGGCGAACATGCTCAGGTAGGTATATCTTTTCAATAATTTACTTAATTGTTTAACTTTCATTTAAATCAATTTAACAAAGTCATTGGTAGGTTTTTTATCGTGAGCCTAACCAATTTAACCTTCAAAAGCTGATTCCTCTATTCATAATTCTTTAATTCTGGTTGCTTTTTTCATCCATCGTGTAAAAATCTATGGACCAGGTCAGATCATAGAAGAGAAACCGATGTAATATGCCATAATACACCAAAGACTTAAAGATTAAACTTGATACCTCAAATTTTCGTCAAGGACCATTGTTTAGCTTTTGCTTTTGAAACTCTCCAAGCTCCCACTCGCCTTTCAAAAACGAATCTATTTGAAAAAGATATCCCACGTCATCAAACGAGAGCCTGGATTATGCAGGAATGATCTAATGTGAATGTAATATTTACGTACGACCTCTTCTCCTTGAATTAATGGCTGATTTTTCAGTCAATTCAGGTTTAGGAATTTTTTTATAAGAAACTGGCTATAAGAATAGTGTCCTGGACAGTCAGAAAAAATTTAAGAACCTTCAGTACTCGAAGCATAAAAATTAAGAAACTATTAACTCGTTATAAAACTGAGAACAACGAATTTTGTAAAATCCAAGAATATGATTGCCCTGTTGGCCTAGAACCGTAACACAAGGGATAAAAATATACTCCTCACATCTAAATACAGCATCAGAACGGAAGCGAATCATCGTTCATGACATCATAATTAAAAAAGTCTTAAGAAACAACGAGTATTGAAATTTCCAGAATATTAAGAAACTGAAGCATTGCAAAAACTAGATACCGATGCCTTTTGTCACCTGTCATGTCGTAATGTTGTTATTTCTTATTTCTAGATGTTGACGAGTGTGGACTGCACTATCATGGATGCCAGCATAATTGCAACAATTTCCGTGGCGGTTTCTATTGCAGTTGTAGAATTGGTTATAAGCTAAACCACGACAATAGGACATGTAGTGGTGAGTTCGATTTAAAGCTTATCTAAATGACATGCAACTTGATTAAATAAAGAATATTTTAATAGATATTTATTAACCTTTCCAAATATATGTCTACATGTACTTCTATTTTCATTGGATTTCAGTGAAATGTCTTCGAGAGTATATTAAGTCGCCAAACAACATTCTAGTCCGACTGTTTTGACGTAAAGAATTATCGTGGTCCCTCAAGCCTGATCCGCTAGATTTTTAGCAGTGGAACTTGTTATCAAAATTCCTTATGTCAGTGTATTTATCCTTAAATAAAATTAAAGATTGATACTTGATAAAGCTGACCAATTTTCAGTTGCCCTTATTTACAAATACGACCTCTGAAACTAGTGTCTCCCCTCCAAGTAATTTGTAAACATTTTTCCAAATGTGAATTCTATTAAACTGATGCTATTAAAGTTAAAGAAAATTAATATACTATTTCAAATTCTTCAAGATCTATTGAAATAATCACTGTTAATTTCCTCTTTGTGTTTTTTCTAGATATCAATGAATGTACGGAATATCATCTTACTCGTGGTGGTCTAAATACTACAATATCTGGGTGTACACAAAACTGTCACAACGCCATTGGAACCTTCCAGTGTAGCTGCAATCCTGGATACAGACTAGCAACGGATGGTAAAACATGCCAAGGTACATGTAGTTTATGATTTGCAAAAATTATGTTGTATTTTAACGCTTTTTCTTGGGATGTCTCAAAAATATCTTGACTGAGAAATCTGGTATTTTTGGCCAGATATGAAGCTTGATCTGGAAAATAACGCCCCTACTCGTTTTACATGAACATTTATGGAATGGGGGAGTCACAATCCTATCCCAACTATCACCGTCGTCAGTTCGAATGTTTTGTAGGAAATTCCCTTGTCTTGTAAAATTATTAGGGGCTATCGTGACCATTCTTGTAACACTCGACCTTAATTCAATATAGTTCATTTATAGTAAACGCAGTGATACAGGATCCAAAGATGCTTAATATTTTCATCTCTCTCTTTTAATGTGTTTGTCATTTGCAGTTCAGTCATGACATTACATTTACATTAAGTGTGTTGGTTGTTGAGACTGTTAAGTTGTTCGAACAAATCTTAGAATTGTTTTGTAATTCCAACTATGATTCCCACATCACCATCAAACTCAAGATAGGTGACTGTCTTTAAACGTAGTTTTTCATTATTGTTTTAAGTTGAAACGGTGAAGCAGGGGCAGCAGCAGTTATTTTAACGTTAAATACTGTAATGGACCAAGAGGAGGACATTCTTCTGCGAGCCTTCGCCCGAATGCGCATGTGCTTCTGATGCAATGTTCTCATTGGTTCCGACAAACAGATAGGGCAATAGGCCTAAACAATGGGAAATCCTAAGACTGATCAGTTTATTTTGAAATATTTTAGGGAATTTAAATGGAAACTGTCGGATATTGAAGAGTGAACGCAGATAGTACACCATTTTGTTGTCTGCCTCGTGTTCAACTCTTCAATATCCGACAATGGCGACGAGGAAGGGATCTATAACTCGATAAAAATCTTTGAAGTTCTTGTCTCCAATTTCTATTGAGTTATAGATCCCATCCTCGTCGGCATTGTCGGATATTGAAGAGTGAACGCAGATAGTACACCATTTTGTTGTCTGCCTCGTGTTCAACTCTAACTTAGATTCCGGGGGGCCTGGGTCTTACATATATGATAATAATTATAACCATAAAACATTACAGAAACCATTAAAAAGATGATAAAATATTATAATAAAACTGTCTTGAAAGTTTTTTCCATGCGGTCTTGTTGTTCAGAAATATGGGGTTCTGGGGAATGTTATAGTATATGATGCGTTCAAATGCACCTTTTCAAAAATCTTACGGTATTTTGTTCCAGATATAAATGAATGTGCCGAAGGAAGTGACAAATGCCATCAAAAATGCATAAATACCGTAGGAAGTTATGATTGCCGATGTTTGCCAGGGTACAAAGAGAATGCTGATGGATATTCCTGCCAAGGTAGGCCACAATTTCCTGTGTCACATTTTATGAAAATTTACCAATATTTTTAGGTTGATCGTATGAGAAATAGTTGAATTGAATTGACATTGAAGAAAAGGCAATAATGAGATTATTGACAGGAACCAACAATTACAAAAGCTAACCTTAAAAACTCGTCTTACAATAGTGCAATGCTAAGTTGATGGATATACTATACTTTTTCAAATGCGTAAACAATGCTATACACACGAGTATTTATTGCCTCTTAGCTCTTCCCTGCATCCGTCATCCACCTGTAGTGAACGGTAGAGGAACGTGCTTCTTCGGGAGAACGAACGAAACCTGTCAATTTCGATGTCTGCCTGGTTTTCAGCTTCGAGGATCGCCGGAACGCCGTTGTCAAGCCAATCACACGTGGAGTGGATTTATGCCAATATGCACAAGTATGGTTGTTAACTGAAACTTGCTCTAAATGATATATCAAAGCTAATGCTATACGAAATTTCCTTATTGACAACAGGGATGGAAATAACGGCGTCCCAGGCTGTCAAAGTCTTACCCTTGTGCCTTTGTAACTGTATTTTGTTAGCTTATCTCCCACTAGGCGCCATCTTCACACCTTTTAAATACTGGGAAGGCATATCCCAAAAGAAGATTTTTGTAAATGTTGATTTGAAAAGCTGCATAATCTGACTCGGTCTAAATACGCCATGTTCATTGGAAAACGTTGCCCTTTTGGCATTTTGTGCAAGGCCCTAATGTGTTTGTGCCGGTCCATTTCTTGCATACCAAATTAATGTTGTTCCTTTTCGCTTTAAAGGCACTCACTTTAAAGCAGTGCTTTTAAAACCTGCTACATCAAGATTGGTGTTTTCCTTTTTCGTGTTTTTTGTATCGGCTGTCAAAAAGTACTTATGGAAAAATTTTTTCCCTAGCAACGCTCTACAGTTTGCATCTAAATTTTTTGTTCATAGGGAAGAACTGCGAGCCAATAGCACCCCCACCATATGGAGGCATTCAACTGCCGTGTTTCAGCTACTACCAAGCGATCTGTACACTTCAGTGTAGTCAAGGGTTTTACCCCACCGGTTCTACTCAGCTGACGTGCAGAGCGACTGCCAATAATACGATGTATTGGCTGAACAAAGCGACTGAGTGTAAAGGTACACTATTAATTTTTTCTGGCTTATTTCATTAAAAAATTTACAGTGAATTTTAGCTATATCAAGATGAGATTCGTGTAGAATTTGAAATGTTGAAAGGTGATAAGGAACTGGCATTACATTGAAATAAGCAGTATTTGTGCCATTTATAACCGCGTTTGAACAAATTAAAAAATGATAGGTTACATGAAAGTAGAATCTAATAAGACTTGTTAACTGTTTTATTCTCCAGTTATATTTTCAGACAATATTAGATTCTAACAATTTTGCTAAATGACAAAGGTGTTGAGCATTTAATATGTTTAGTAGTTTTTACAAAATTGGAAAAGAAACCTAAGGCTTGATTGTGAGATGATAGAAGAACATTATTGCGTTCATACCAAGGATTCTTGTAAACGTTTTGAGCCTTTAAAGTAACTTCTCTTAAACCTATTGCTCTAGGATAGAAATTTAATACGTATTTGTTTTTGACAGATATCAAAATATGTGCACCAAATCCTTGCAAACACGGAGGAATCTGCAATGCGATTGGTTTGAAGAAATACCAGTGCAACTGCCAACGAACTGGATACCAAGGGCCAAATTGTAACAGAGGCATTGTGACTTTGCCTCTGTTCCCAATAATGTACGTTAATAGAAACTACAGTTTTACTGTCAAAGCCAAGCCTGATATTGAACTGAGAATACTGCTAGCACCTTATGACGAAAACCTCTCGATTTATCCTAAAAAGCTAGTCTTCAATCAAGCGAAAAATTCCGCAAACTTCACTGTCCGAGCAACAATTGCCGGACCTTATGTCTTTTCTTACAAACTTTACGGCGATAATGCGGGTGTATTTGATGCACCGATGAACAGCATAGTATTTTTCCTAGAAACAAATAAGTCTATGGCAGTAAACATTATAAACGACGAAGGGATTCTTTCAAAGGGGTGTCATTCTCAGAGCTCGGTTGAAAAAAGAACTGATGGAACAAGGAAGGCAAGCTTGACTCTATATTCAACGGCTCCGTGGCAGCATCGACCAAACAGCGAATCAACAGATGGCATGGTCCTGATTGACGTAGAAGGCACTAGCGGTCTACCTACCTCACTTGTCGGCTCTACAATTACAATCGAAAGCTTGACTAACAATAACTTTGATGAATTTGTCAACAAATACAGAAGAATCAAAAAAATGAATGAGTCAGATGAAAGCAGAATTCCACAATGCATCTCTGTAAATCCTTCTAATGAGTATTTAGCTGAAGCTATTGAGCTGAACTCTTTCGCCAAGACCGTAGCTGAAGGGGTAAACAGGCGAACGCCATCCCTGTTAAATGTTTTTGTGGAAAAATCCGTTAAAATATTTGACCCAAAAGACCTCGTTGCAAACATTTACTCTGGAAATGAAGTCAAAAGGATTTTCACTAAATGCAGCAAAGTTCTGCTTGGTATTGACGAAAATAAAAAGTATTTTGCATTCTTGACGACACAGAGAGTCTTGCTGCATATTGCAGAGGAGGAGATTGATTTGAAGAGAGATGATGTTGTTTGCATCTTTGAGTCAATTAATGGCAACGAGACTTTAATTGGCTTCCCTGATTCAGCAAGCGAATCAGCTGTTTGGGAATCTTCAACAGGATTCGCAGGGATTATGAAAGGCATCCACATTTCAGCTGAAGACAAGAAGCAGATTTACCGTGTCTTTGGAGAATACTCTGCAGTACTATCTACCAATACATTCAAGATGGCCTTTAAACTCAATGGCGATATGCTAATGGATACGGATGAGGCATTTGAAGTATGATTTTGATTTATTTTTGCTTAAGGATTCGTTTCCATCCCTTGTTTGTTTTAAATTATATCTACCAAATTTGTGTATACCGTATGATTTTAGCTGTAGGTTCAATTGACCTCTCTCTGAGCAAACTTGTTTTGTACTCAGAAAGAGCCTCCTCAAGAAACCAACGCTTTTATCATTGCCATGTGTTTAAATCGGCAATTCCCAATGCATTGCTTTCATGTCATTTCATATTTGATTGGTTCTAGTTTTTCGTTGATGGAGTTAAGTCAATCAAATCGATGTCAGCGAATGGAAAAATAGATTTGCATGTCGATGACAATTTTATGGGTGACATCGAGAGGACAACATTCAGCAGCAACGGCTCAGTTACATTTAATTCCACGGGTACCATTTGATTTATTCGTTATTTTCCTGTTTACTTATACGCAACGTAAAGATTACTGATAGAAAGGGAAATACTTGTTATATAAAGATGCGTTTAACTTGCAGGTCTAAAATAATTCTTAATTGATTTTCATAAGTTGACGACTTAAAGTCGCATTCTGTCTAATATTTCAATGCAGATTGAATGATTCGGTGCTAATTTGAAAGAATCTAATTGAATTTGATTTTGTTTTGTTTTCACAGTGCATCGTATTTTCATTTTATTAGTACCTCCCGCTAGCCTTCCAAAAGTATTCGAACGGTCAGGAAAGGTATTGGCCTAAGTTAAAAAAAGTTGTGGCATCATGTGAAAAAGTATAACTGAGTTTTGGCAGGAAAATAAAGCAAAAGAGTCAGAAAATAAACCATCAAACAAAGGAAAGTTTCTGTTTTGTGTGAACGCGTAGCACCAAATATTTTGCGTACCAAAAACTTTAATGCAACTGTGCTGTTCGTGGTCAAAGTTAAGTTAGCTCGTTAAGTTAGACGTCGTGACAAGAGATCGTATTAGAAATTTTGTAGATATGACGAAACCATAAATTAGTTAGCTCATAATCAATCTTTCTTCAAAAATTTACCTCTATGTTACAATTTTTTTCTTCAAGAATTTTAATACAAAACAATACATTTCAGGCTTATAATATGCTTTCAACAAAATGAAAAAATTTACCTTGAGATGCATCAGCAGCATTATGTCCTGATTTTTCACTTTTATGCTGGTGTAGTGGTTTTACTAGCACCCGTGTTTCTCTGCGTTTTGAACTTTTATCAATTTTTATTCTTCTAGATGAGGTTATGGGAAAACAAAAAGTTGTCCTCGAACTTGAGAATGTCTCTGGTAGGTCATCGCGCTATGTGATGGCAGGAAGAGTCAAGCTTGATAAGAATGTCCAAATGAAGTATATTATATGGGCTAAAGTCAGCGGTGGCTTGATCCTCGGTGCCGTGAATCTAACCAACAGTGACAACATACGCAGTGAAATGCATTCGCTCAATGCATCAATTGGACTTTCTCTTCAAGGTGCAATTACAGCGTACCCAGGCATGCATAGGATAATCAATGATGTTTTGAGAGACTTGTACCTTGCAGTCTCATCGTCGGAGAGCTTGTCTCGGTATTGTCATGAAACGAGAGGCAAAGAGGCTCTTAAATCGCTTACAGAACTCAAGAGGCAGCTTGAAAGGGTAGACAGACGACTACAAGTTCTGGTTTTGAAGCACAGCAATATGGTTGATTTTCTCGCATCAAAGCGTATTTTCGAGAAGGTTTTTACAACCTTTCATGTTTCGGTCGACAAAATGGAACAGTGGTTTAAAAAGCTCTTCAATCGAACGCGTGTTTCGCGATCCATTGAGGCCTGCTCTCTGTATTCTAAAGGAACTCTTTGCTTGGCCCATCTTTGCTTCAAGAACTGCCACATTGAGATATTGTATCAGATCCCGTCAAAAACGATAGCTGAGCGCTTTAACCTTGCACCAGATTATGAAAACGTGACAGCGGTCATAGGAAAACTTGAAACCGACGCGATGCTTGGAAATCATTTGGAAATTCCAAAAGGCAATCACATCGTCATCCTGATAAACAATACAAAAACATACTCAGGGTTTTTTAATGGATCCATGGAAATTTTTGGGCGCAGCACTAATGTTTCTGTTATATTCAAAGACAACAAACTTGAATTCTCAACCAAAGCAACACTTCCAGATGGCTCCTTGACAACAGTCCAAGTTGTTGCAGATATAAAAAATGTGATAAGTGGAGATGAGGTAGTTTTTAATATAAAAGGCTTCGTGGCAAACAATTCTATAATCATTGAAGATATAAACAAAGTTTTACACTCAAAGATTCATATGGTAGCGCAAGATGTGTCTGAAAGATTGGAAATATTAGAAAAAGCGGTGAATACGTCCAGGAAACACAAGAGTAAAGCAGATCTCAATGTGAAGAGGTTAGAAGAATTATTCAAGAAAAAAGCAGAAAGGGCCAATCAAGTTGAATCAGCATTAAATAGAACGAATTCTCAATACCAGAACATCAAGCTGGCTTTAAATGCGAGGCTAAAACATTATGAAAATGCTGTTGAAAATTACACGAAGACAATCGAGCAATGTGCACCAAAAGTGTGTTTAAAGAAATGTGTTCCAGGTTTGGTGACGAATATTTGTTATGAAGAGAGGTATGAGCATGTAACGACCCAAAGCTGCATGTTGCTTTCCAAACATTTGACAAGAACTGAAATGCAAGAAGTTTCCACTGAAAGATCCTACGTAAACTACTTCCCAAAATACAACTGCTGGACGCGCTGCCCACCTTTAACTGGCTTCTTCAAGAAGGTTTTTGGTAAACGAAAGCGCAGAGGTATCATTAGTTTCCTTGCGAAAAAAGCTTTGGAGAAGGTACTAAAAACAGGAGGAGAAAAGGTTTTCGAGTATCTAGGGGGAAAGGAAGGAGCAATGGGGGCAAAAATAGGTGCCATGTTGCCTGGTCCTTGGGGAATTGTTGGAATGCTGGTAGGCGGAGTTATAGGCAGTGCATTTGGCAGCTGTGAAAAACTTTGTAAGACAACAATGGTGCCCAGGGAAAATTTTTACATACATTACGAGTCAGTAAAGGTTACAAAAGTCATCGATTATAAGGAACGTCAGTGTGATGATGTCGTGATTCGGCAAAAGCTTGGTTACAAAGATGGTTTCGAATGCTCTAGCTATTCAAATTGCTCCGAAAATTTGGTGGATGTGGAGTGCGTCCAACGTAATTATCACTGTCGATCGCTCAGAGGAGTGCTTAAAGAGAAGATCAAGCATATATTAGGTGTTGGAGACCTGTTTGAGGACTATGAAAGATTGAGCTTGTTGATTGAGAATTTGGAAATGCAGCAAAGGATGGCGATCAAGGAACGACGTAATGTACATCAAAGCTTTCTCGCTGCAAAAGCAATCGCCTTCAATTCTAATTATACATATTTGTTATCAGTGAAGTCCTTGGAAAATTTGAATCATATTCTGGCAACAGAAATGCATATTCTAGAGTTTACAAAACGTTTCGGTAGCCATCCAGTTTCAGTTCAAAATGGCCATTACAAGTTTGTCACTTCAAAAGGAACTGTGGCAACAAACATGATTGCCTTGCAGATGAATGTCGTGAGAAAAGATGGGCCCAACTCTCTGGCTATAGCTTTAATAGACTTTAAACGGATGAATGTCAGCATAAGTGAAACAGTTAATGAAATTATTAAATTGATTCCAAATCTGAAAGCACGCAGAAGACGATCGGTTGGTTCAGATGCAGAAGTAAGTGTATCTGTGGATGAAATGTTTCGCAATGCGACCAAAACCAAATGCAAACTGATGGAAAGAAACATTTTATATTTGTTTGAGATTGCAAATATGTTTACCGTCGGTGTTCATCAATTTGAAAAGAGTAACCTAAGCATTCATAACGCAGAATTGTCAAAACAGAACTTCACCAGATCAACACAGGACATTTTAGCAAACACTTCAGTATGCCACGATAAAAACAGCAGTTCATGCTCCAGTGACTGGTTGGCCTCTCTTTACTCAAATACCACTCAAGACTCGAATCCACTCAACAGCACAGTGCTTTCTTGGGAAACGAAAAGAGCAAGTATAATTTCTAAATGCGATTTCTTCACTAGCAATCAAAACCTCTCTCACTGCGCAGGCGCCCTTGACTGTGTTCAAGCGTCTATCAAGGCCATAAACGAGGCGACGAATTATGACACATCAAGTGCTTCGAAAATAGCAAAGGGAGAAATACCGAAATGGAAGCCATATTTTCAAGCTCTTTTTGAAAATGACGAAATGGATGCTAAAGAGACTAAGACCTACTCCAACATGGTGATAAAATCAATTGAGATGTCTCAAGTTGCAAAAATCTATTGCGATTCTCCGCCGATCATCTTAGAAAACCTCCAAAACGAGGTTATCATCACGTCTGCATCAAACTTCGAACTGTCGATAAAGATAGATGTATCTTTGCATGACGTCACCTATACTTGGGAGAAAGATGGACGGGTTTTGCTAGAAGGAAACACCAACGTACTCAAGTATCAAAATGTCAATATGTCTGTCTCTGGCTCATACCTTTGTCGTGTTTCAAATAAATTTGGCAGCAGTGTAAGCAGCATTGCCAAAGTAGTTTACCAGGAGAAGCCCCGTATTATAAAGCACCCAGTCGACGTTAACACTACTATAAAAGAGGAACAATCTATAATTAGATTGGTATGTAATTTTACTGGAATCCCAGCACCAATGGTTGAGTGGTATTTCGTGGCTTTCAATAAAACAGAAAGGCCAAAGCCTCTCTACCAAAACAATACGCTGTTTTTGATGAATGCAACGAGGCCAGAACAGTCCGGGTTTTACTATTGCAATGCATCAAATGCTCAAGGATTTGCAGTAAGTCGTAATGCAATAGTTCACGTAAAAAGGTCAAAAATAGCTGAATTCAGTGTTGAAATATCATTTGTGGTAGAGTCGTTGAATCAAACGTACAATGCCAGCATGCAAAAAGCTGAAAATGTCACAAAAGATTCAATGGATAGGCTGCAATCGAACTCGACGGTTAGCGAAAATGAAGCTACCTCTGACGGTAATATGACAAATACTGCAATTACCAATTCAAGTGAAAGCACAATCAAACGCAAATCGGGAAGTTTCTCTACGCCAGTTCTACCTAGTTATCTTTCTGAGTATGACAAACATAGCCTAACTAAAGCTCTATCCAAGACAATGAATGTATCCAAGTCTCGACTGAGAAACATTGGGCTGCTGAGGGAGACGACTACGGAGGGAAAAGTCTCTGTAACAGTATTGGCTACAGATCTTAACCCATTGCTTGACATAAATACCGACTGGACAACGATTTCAGAGGACGTAGTAATGGCACGCAAAGGTCTTCTAGTTCTGCCCCTTTGGTTGCAGTTTTACTTCAGCAATATGTCTTCAATACTGGAAGTTGGAGCGATCAAAACATCTGTAAAAGCAGATACGGTTCAGTTCACGCTGCTAGAGCCGCTTTGCCCAGTCGGCTTTTCTATGCATTCAAATGGATTCATATGTGGTAGGTTATCAATGATTAGTATCATCTACTAATTTTTGTGCACTTTAACGTATTCCTGTGCCATTCTGAATGATCGTCGAAAAGAAGCATACTCAAGTATTTGTTCGATTAGTTTCGAAATTGGTAAAATGTAATCTAAATATAAAAAAACAAAGAATCCTAAATTATTATTTTGCTATATAATGTTTCACCTCTTTTTTCTATTTAACAATTTATTACAAAATCATTCTTTTCGTGCGTTTGAATGATCGCCATCCAAAATGGACGATGTTGACAAAACAGTTAGAACGATTGCAAATCAAATTAGTCTTGCTTTGTCCCACCTTGCTAAGTTACGATTTGATCCTGTTCTTTAGAGTCATGCGCTGCAGGCACAGCGTTTGTTCCTGGAGTAGGCTGCCAGCCATGTGAGACCGGCACATATCAACCAGAACAAGCGATGCTTGGATGCATTGCCTGCAAAGCTAATTATACGACCAGATCCAAAGGTTCGGTTTCTCCCGGTGACTGCGTCTTGAAAGGTATGTACTTTGCATCTTCTTACATTCTTTAAGCTGATTTAAGCAATGATGGCGTTAAACCGTTACAAGCAGCTTCGCTTTTGTGTGTCTAATTCAATTCTTGAAATTCTTCACACTTGGAATTTTAAACTATATAGTCATAACTTATCTGCTGGGAAAATCGGAGAGTCGGGCTTTAGAATTACAGGCATAAGGTCTGGTTTTTGATAAGATAGAACCAAGGAACATCTTTCAGGAATTCAAGCTACTACTATGTCACAAAAGCGGATGATAAATCGTTTTGGCATATGGGTGTGGAAGCTGTGCGTATAGAAAGCCTTCTTCTTGTAGCTAAGGCATTTAAACGATATTCGTGTGATTCGTTCCTCGTCTCCTAGCAGTACATCACAGAAAGGATGAAAACAGTTGCCATAAAGAGGCAGAGAGATTACTCCGCCAAATGCCATTTCATTTGAATTGCAGAGAATGCTTGAAGAGATTGTTGTCAAAAGAGACATTGAGTCTACCGTTTCTTATAAAAAAATGCGTGTATTAGGTATTTGTAAATTTTGTGATCTAAAACGTCTATGCATGAGAGTATTTTCTGATTTTAACTAAGGAGATAGGAGTTTCAACAATTTTTAGAGCGCGAACCTTTACAGAACCAGTATTTAAGGTTTCTGTCATGTCACTTAAGTGTTTTTGCATCAATTTTAGACCAACTACCAACAACAGCATTGCCTGATTCAAGCTCAAGCACGTTCAGCATAAAGCAAACGGAAGATCAACTGCATTTACAACCACGCCATTCAATGGAACAAAATCAGTTGCAGAGAGAGCGAAAGAAGGAGTTGATACCAAGAGAATTATGCTTATTGTAGGGATGACTTTTATGGGAGCGATTGTGATCATAATGATTCTATTTGGAATGTCAAAAGGTGAGCAATAGGATGTCTACGTTAATCATACTAATGTCTTGATAGAGTGTTGAAATTTCGATTTAATAAGTATATTCCCATTATCAGGGCCACCACCATAGCTCCTCAGCAGGGGAGGGGAATGGAGAGAAGGTTGCTAGATGTAAATCTGTCAAATAATGGGAGTAATAGAAGGTGCTGTAAGGGTTTGAAATGTAAAAACATTTTGAAAAAGATGAGGGTATTAAGTTCTGTGAATGGCTCAAGGTAATTGTAGAATTTCTAAAATTATATCATGTACATCGAATTTCAATCAAAATAACATTTAGACAATATATGCTGTTCAAGGTGGGTCTATTTTGGTGCTGAATTTGTGTATTGCAGTTGAATTTTGAATTCTAAAAACAAATTGAATCTAAAAAAATATTGAATACTCTACCTAAATTGGGTCTTTGATTATCGGGTCTGATTTACCATTGGCAGTATTCTAATCGTGTCTGAAAATAAACTAAGGCGTATAGAGTCTCTAAATGCGATGGGCCTTACAAATATTGGTCAAGCTTTACAAAAGTTACAAACATCACTACTCGTCATTTCAATGAAAAAGCATGATCTTGGATTCTGTATATTATAAGGAATCACGTGTCTCCAAACTTAAAAGTAAAATGACGACAAACAACAATGATAATAGTAATACCATATTGATATTTATGCAGCTTGGCTAGCTAGAATCAATGCCATAAATCAAGGACCTGAGTCCAGCGGCGTAACGGACCTGTTCAGGGCTTTGTAAAATACTTTTTTTCAGGGCTTCTTGCATAATGAGGTTTTCTTCAAAATCCTGGTCAAAATAAAATTATCAGCAAGAAAAGTTTAGGAAAATTCAGATAGTCATCCTGTCATCTTGTCCCATTAAGTCGACGCCGACTTTTGGTGCTGGTCATGATGTTCGCCCTCCACTTGTCCCGGCCCCTGATGACCTCCCGCAAATCTTTTAACGAGAGTTTCGTCACCGTCTTGATGTCATCCAGCCAACGTGCAGCTGGCCTGCCTATCCTTCGTTTCCCTTCACACATTCTGAGCATTAACGGCTTTACTAAACTGTTCTCTGTCCTCATAATGTGTCCGAAGTAAGGGACTTTTTGTTTCATAATTCTTGCTTCTAACCAGGGACGGACTTAGCGGGGTGGGGGGGGGGTTGTAGGGGGTGGAGCACTCCCCCCCAATATTTCTGTCTTCTTCAGTAAATTTGGTTCCATTCGGTAAAAACCATTTTTTTGGTAGTCAGCAGTAACAAATTAACGTCAAGATTTTACTTTATTTATCTCCTTAATATCAGTATTTATCTTTTTATCAGTAGCGTAGCAAGGGAAGCGGTATTTGAGAAAAGTACAATTCTGCAATAGGTTTTGTACCTTAAAGGGGGACTTTATATTTTAGACAATATTAAAACGTTTTTAAAGACTGCAAACGACTGTAAGAAATATTCTGAAATGTATTTCAAGCTAATCTGAAAGGCATCGTCGCAGAACTTTTCTGCTCGCTTCGCTCGCACAGGGACCCTCCTTTATAACTCTACAGAATGTTTAACAATTTATCTCACGTTATAGGATTTAAATAGAAAAGTCTTTCACGTTCTTTAGACAGTCCCAATAAAAAATAAACTAAAATGCTAAAGCTCTTCAATCTTTAAAAAAAATTGAATTCTGAAATGCTTGTCGGGGATTTTGCTCAAAGGAGAACGGAATTAGTTTAAAACATTTGAATCCTGTTTGTTATTTTTAGATATTTGATTAAAACTGTGGAGAATCAGTTTTTACACGTAGTGCTTCCTCGCCTTACACAATTCAGAATGTAAGCGTTAGATAAATTGTCAAGGAAATAGGCAGTTGTAGAATGGGGTCAGCCACAAAAAGCCAGATATGACGTTGAATAAAGCGAAATTGCCACGTAAAAAAGGCATAGCTTTTCCAAACGCTTTGGGGTGTTTCCCTAAATAAAAAGGGTGTGGTCAGCAAAAAAATTCTCTTCTTTGCTCCTTCAATCTTCCAAACCTGGCTACGCCACTGCTTCTTATCGTTTTTACCTTAAAGTTAGAAACGGAATTTTAAAAATGGGCGTTTCCATAATTTACCAGTGACCTGAAAGGTGTGGCAGCAAAATTAGTGTCTAACACCCCCTCAATCATTGTTGCTTAGATCCGCCACTGCTTCTAACGGACATATCGGCTGTATCTCCTCAAGAACTGATGTGTTTATTCGTCTCGCAGTGCAGGTTATTCTCAGCATCCGTCTGCAGCACCACATTTCGAAACTATCCAGCTTTTTCCGTTCTGCTTTCCTTATGGTCCACGATTCGCACCCGTACATAACAACAGGAAAAACCAACGCATTCACAACCCTATTTTTGGTATTGGTGGCTTTGTTATTGTCCTTCCAAATTTTTGTAAGGCCTGTCATTGCTGCCCTACCTAGACTCAATCGTCTTGTAATTTTCTCACGACACGTTCTATTATCCACGATTTTTTATTCCAAAAAATAAAGTTTTTGACGATTTCAATGTTTTCAACTCCCAGTTTGAGATTATCGATCTGTTCTGTTGCCAAAACTCGTCTTTTTCAAGTTCAGATATAATCACTTGTGTGAACGCATTTACCAGTTCTTCCTTTGGCTTTGCCATTAAGGTGGTTTCATCTGCATATCTAAGATTGTTAATCTGGTGATGGTATCGGCCTTCTTTACTTTCTTCAGTTTCAGATGAATGTCGGCCACAAGGAGTTCATGATCTGACCCACAGTCTGCTTCTGGAAGTGTTTTGGCTGATTGCACTGAACTTCGCCATCTTTTTTTCACCAGGATGTAATCATTCTGGTTTCGGTGGACTCCATAGGGTGTTGGCCATGCGTACAGTCTTCGCTTAGGCTGTTTGAACCAAGTTTTGGTTTTTACCATCTCGTTTGCGTCGTAGAACACTAGCATTCTTCTCTCCGGCATTATTCCTTTCACCTAAACCATACTTCCCTACAATTCTAGCAAATCCTTCTTCGCCTATTTTTACATTCCAATCTCTTGCGATGATAAGAACATATAATCATACCCAGGACCATCCAGATAGTAAAAAAAGGGGAAAGGTGTCATCACTTCGGCAACTGCCCACATTAAATGGACATATCTATCTACAGGTATTCATTCTGGCCAGTGTCGTTGAGCCAACTTTTTGTCTTCGATGGAAAAAGCCCACGTCAGAAATTTAAAATCGATGGGGCAAAAGTTTATGAATTGAGCCCGAATTTAGTGTAATTGTTGAAAATTTTCCTTCAGTTTAAAGTTTTTGCGCTCTTTTAAAAAAATGGATGCCGGAAGAATAAAAATGAATAAAAGAATTCTTCAAAAAATCTTTTGTTACGGGTGTTAAATTTTCCCTTGCCTCCGCCCCCCCCCCCACTTTCCAACCTGTATCGAAGCCATGCTAGAAAGTGATCCATTTATTTTAAAACTAGTTCTCATAAAGTTATGACGTTATTTTTTTCATTAAATTAATACTGACTTTCTGGCCATTAGGGGCGAGTAATGCTAGGGAAGGTTCGAGATCACAAAATCGCTTTGAAAATTGCTATGCGGCATACCCTTTGAAGTTACGTAAAACACAGGAAATATCAATAGGAAAACAAAAAAATGAAGGTTCTGACTTATCGAGTAGGAATGACTAATTAGCTGTTGGTTATTTTCAACAAATTACAACAAATTTCCAGATTGCAGAATTTGACCCCAACCCTATAAACCCATTTTGCCACACCCACATTCGCCGAATAACCGAATATTCGTTAAATTTTAAACCGAATAACCGAATAGGAATATCCGAAGTTTTGGAAAGTCCTACTTCTGACCACATAGTGTAAAGCTTCATTTAAAAAAATTGGCGTAATAATACTTTTTCTTTCAGTAACGATACAACGAGAGTTACGGCGAATCAAACCCACTTGACGCAGAATGCAAATGGACAATTGCCACGTTAGCTGTAGTGACAACTCAAAATCATTTTGGCCAACAAACCTATTCAAAAGTGATGCAGGCACGGCAATAGTTTAGCAAAGGCACTTCTCACAATTAAATTCGTTTTTTATTCGATTTTCCATGAATCATCATTACAACATAGATTGTCATTAAAACTAGAAATTTAGAGAACTGGGTTGAAATGACAAGGCCTTACTGATGGCAGGTATCTTTTATGCTGAATATCGGTGTCCCGTATCTATATATGGTCTAATATTACCATTATAACTTAAGTCAGAACTCCAGTATTAGATCAATTTAGGGCTACTGAAAGGCTACATCAAGATTATTTTTTCAACTCGCAGCTTTGATATATTATGCCCCAATAAAATCCATCCCCCCTCTCCAACTGTCAGTTTGGTTTGCACCACTGTGTTTTAATTTACTGTCCATCTGCACAGATGCATAAAAATCAACATTTTTTATTAAGAACGACGAACTTCGATTGTTTTTAATCAAATAACAAAAAAATTACATCATTGGCTCTATTTGTGCTCAAGTTGGTTATTCATTATATTAAAACGTAGACCCTTGCCCAGGCCCGTCATCACCCAATTTAGCAACCGCAGCCCCTTCATTTCCACGACTAAATTCCTTACCTCGCTTTCCTATCATATCACGTTCGTATAATTACATATCAGATACTTCAGCTACGTCAAGTTTCACCATTTGAATATGGTTTTCATTTGAATATAGCTCTCCGGTTAGCAATGGTAAATTTTTGAAGACGTTTATAATCATTTGAAAATGGTGAAGTCATACTTAACCATACCTAGGAGCATGATTACTTTTTCCACCCCGTAGATTCTCTTTTTGTCTTGCTTAATTTTTGACTTGTCTTTAATCATGTATTTAATTTCGTGTACAGTTTGACTTTAGGAGTGAGGATGTAGATGTTGTAATATAAAATTTAGCGTAAATAATGGTGTAGCATAAACTGTTGTTGTTTGTTATCATTATTATTGTATTGTCCTAGTCTCTTTAGAGACGGATGTTGGTTTTCAAGAACGCTTAGCTGCATCTTGTTGTTTTAAATTGATGGATTGATTAGATTTTCTTGCGAGTGTTGATCAAAATTTTTGTCAAAACCACTTTAAGGTGAATAAACTAAAAATAGTAAATTGAAAAGCCAAGAAGATTAAGAAAAAACAAAATTAAATCGTATTCGCAAGAACAGAAAATAATTGTCTAGGTTTACTTATGATTTTTGATTAACTTTTTGTCAATACGACTTTAGAATGAGTAAATCAAAAAACGCAATGCTGATGGAATGTTGGTAGGTGCGACCTTAACTTAGCCTTTTTGACGACCTTTACTTGGCCTACATATTTCTTTCCTGTGGTTCAAATCTGATTAACGTGTACCTTTCTTCGGTTAATGCTTTTGGCTTAAAGGCAATCTGTCACGATGTTGATAGGTTATAAGAACAAAGGGATTTTTATTGTTTCCAGTCCCCCTTTAATTTATCACATTATAAAAAATAGGGCGGAGCGCTGGAATCGTGTTTAGACTATTGTTCCAGCTATTGTTCTCGTTAACCAATCCGCAACGAGACAGATTGCCTTTAATCCCCCAAGCCTGATTAAATTTCTTAATGCGTCATGTCTGATGGTAGATTTACATGTAATGAGTGTCTGAAGTAGATTTACATCCTTGAGTTTCGGTTTCGAAAACTTTCCTTATTCAAGAGTATAAAAACCAGAAAGACAGAAGATCAAGATAGTTGCTGATTGAGACACTAGAAGAACACGCAGGTAAGTTAAGTTGATGTTTTCCTCAGCTGTTAATTTTTCCATATCATCTTGGCGTTTTGATGGAATTGTCTTCAGCTAAACTTCATGACAAGTCATTCTCACAAACTTGTTCGCAGATAAGGTACTTTACAGTAGATTGGGTGAACATTGTGCAAGCACTCTTTATTGGGGACTAACTATAAAATGTACCTATAACTTTTTGGTGCTGCATTATGACATATTTTTATAAGCAAAGTGCTTTAAAAAGAAGCGCTTTATGAAGTTACATCACAAAGGAATTTATACCTGTGAAAAAAGTGTTTAATGTCTGTTATATATTGATAACTATGTCGTTGCATCTTTTATTCAAAGTGCTCTCAAAGTTTGAAAACTTTGTATGGGCTCCAAAGTAGTTTATCTCGTTTCTATCACGTGACAATGAACACGGGCTGCTGTTAAAATACTTCTGTATTTGCTTACTGACTTGCATATTCTAACAATCATTTTGTGATTAAATTCTATTGGCTGATTTCACGGACACAAACATGGACCTATTGAAGCTTAAGATTCAAAACTGGTGAATATTTTCTAGGAACAATGTTTATATAAATTGCAATTTAATGAAAATGCTTCTATCAGTCAATTTTATGTTTTGTTAGGAAATTAAATGATGTTTAAGTAATTTAACAATACCAAAATAGCACAAAGGATCTATAACGAAATTTTAACAACTTTTAGCGGTACAAAACTTGAAAATGGCTTTGAAAAAGGCAAAAATTTCACAATATAAAAACTAAAAGTTTTTTGTCCGACACTTCTCAGAGTATTAAGCGTCAGGATAAGGATCCGAAGGAACACGATTGAAAATATATACCCAGTTGTAGATCGAAGTAGGCCAATCAGAAATAACGCAAACACGAAACCGGCATAGTTGACCAATCAGTGCCGCGAGCCTAAAGAAAAATTACCACTGGCCTATTTCCAAAGTCCAAGAGAAAAAACGAACTCCTTCTGTCTACACAATAGCGACTTTTTGGTTGGTATGTAGATCGTTTCCTAAACTGAATAGCCAAATTTCCTTGCAATTGTTTTCAGACTTTGTGTGATTGCAAGAAAAAGAAATAAAGAGCAGTAAAAGGCATCATGAGCGTACCTGGTGGATTTGGACCTGTGACTGCAGCTGATGAGAAAACGCAAAAGCTGATTAATGCGGTAAAAACGATGTGATTCATAGTTTCCAACGTTTAAACATTGCATCTTCTTACAATGGAAAAAGATCACGTGTTATTTCGATCTCAATAACCATCCTGCCGAAGAATCTGGATACTCGGTTACATTTTCTGAAAATGGCCAGCTTTGAAATTTTGCAAGTTTTCGTTCTATATTGAGCATGTTACTACCTTTGAGCTAGTTCACAACAACATCTTATTCTCTAATGATTTTTCCTCCTAGAGCATCTTACTATCAATCAATTTTCGCTTAGTTACAAGATTTATCGAGCCAACCTTACTTCCCGTGGAATTATTTTTCGGAAACAATTTGAACATGTCAAAAGCCAAATATTTTGTGCTTTGTAGACAGAAAGAGTAACATATCTCTTTAAGCAGCTGGATTATTTACTTCGCTGGATTATTATAATTCGTTTTCGACACTTATCTTAATGTTTAATACGTTAAAGAGGGTCTGGACGGAGAGCTTCATAATGTATAAGTGTAGCTTCATATTCATACCACCATTATTCTGCAATGTTTATTTTATCTCTTAGGTGAAGCCACAAGTCGAGGAAAAACTTGGCAAAGATTTCCAGGTTTACAAAGCTGTAACGTATAGAGAGCAGGTGGTGGCTGGATCTAATTACCTTGTGAAAGTAAGATTTTCGCAATTCTCTTAAGCCACATCAGGTTTTGATCTTTTCCATTTATGAGCTAATGCAAGCAATGACAGAAGGGATTCCACCAGGGAATCAAGCATGACCATATATAGACGATTTCTTACTGCATTCTGAACTTGCAACAGATCCATTTACATTTCATTCCGACAATCAAAATCGATTAGCTAACTCGAACAAGAAACCAAATGAAAACTGCATTATTTAGTCATCTCTTTATCCCCCTCTTATCTCTATGGCATAATTGTACATATTATTTTGTCTATTTTTTGTTGATAATTTTTTCTTGCCAAAAAAAAGGTTAAAAACACACTTCTTGCATTAAAAGATTAAGGCTAAGATGCTAGTTGGCTTCCTTTCAACATGAGTTTACCAAATTCGCAATATAGTATCTAGAGAAAGACCTACTGAAATAAAAAAACTTAAGCAGCATAAGAGAATCTAGCCTGAGTGCCAGCCCCTAAAGAGAATTCATTGCATCAAAAGATTTTTTAGAATCTTTTATTATTGACTATTTAATATTAGAAAATGGAAAATGTTGTTGTTATGTGGAAAAATGCACGCTAAGGCAATGCGCCTTGCATTCAATTGCTATGTAGAAATAAATTATATAATTTGAGATTGTTGATTGTTGTCCTCATTAATTTTCAAATTTCTCTACCGATCAATGACACGGAATTGAAATATGCTTTTATTAAACTAGTTGCACTTCTACAAATACCTTCTACGAATGCCTTCTACAATTTGTCCTGTCATTAAAGTTCTTTGATCTATTTAGCAATTCGGCTTCTTCAACATATTTTAGAGGGCTCTCTAGCTTTTTAGAGGATTAGCTATTTTCTATTCTTTTTTAGGTCAATGTTGGTAACGGAGATTACATCCATCTCCTTATTTTTGAAGATCTCCCATGCAGTGGCTCAAAGATAGTTTTGACAGGTATTGAAGTAGGAAAGACACCGGATGATGATCTCAGCCCTTTTGAGGGGTTTCGTGTCTAATCAATTCTCATTAGGATGGCTGAACTTATTGTAGTAATGGAGCCAGTATAGTTTATAAGAAAGTAAAATGCTTTGGCAAATGACGTTGTTGATGTTCAAAATCCTTTGTAGCATTGTAAGATTGAAACAACTTTGACTAGAGTCGTAAGGTTTTCCGCACTGCCCCAAGGTGTTTCTATGAGCAATCGAGCTACCAATATTGCATAACCTGTTTCAATTTCTGCTTTTGCAAGCGAAGCTTTAGATTTACCTTGTCACAGAATTAAATTGGGAAAATTCTTATTTGAGAATGTCCCAGAATATTCTTATTCTGTGCTCTTTTCCCACTATTATATTCTTCCGTAGAAGGGGCCAACTATCATATTAAGTAAGTCTCTTCTAACTTTTTTGGTTAGTTGATGTTCATTTACCAGAGGGAACTAATGAGTCGATTAGTCTATCAAACACAGCCCTCTAGATATCCAATTCTTGATTCTTTCTGGGTTTTTATGATCTAAGATCAATGATATCAGATCGAAATCTAAAACAGCCTTCAACCCCTGGCTGTACAAGTAGCTTCGAATAGCAGATTAACATTTTCTCTAACGATGGAAAATACGGTTTTAGAATATGCTTCTTGGAAATCCTGGAGTATTGGCCCTTAGAACATGAATGGTGCCAATTGTGATACAAAAATAGAAAATTAAATAAAAGTTACCCTTTATACTATATTAGAATTGGGTACAAGAGCCTGAGCCTCTATTTGGGCCTTCTTCTATCAATTTGATACGAAGACGAGAAAGAACTTCCTATTCTTTATAACAAACTGGGACGATTTGCGAAAGGCAAAAGACATAATTGACAATCAGGGCCGTAAATCCCGGGGGACGGGGGGGACGGGGGGGACTGGACCCCCCCCCCCAAAGATCTGGAGCAAAACGATTTTTCCAGAAATTATCATCATTTACTTTTAAAGAAAGGAATCCCCGGCAGCTGGGTTAGAACCTTACAAAGTTTCGCTGAGTTATTGCAACATACCTCAGCCACTATGTCATGGTGACTATTGCCAAGTGCAAGTCGACTATTGTAGATGGCTGTTTGCAGAGTGGTGTCGAGTCGGTGACGATGCCCATGGAGGGGAAATTAGCCCCAAATATTTTATCCACCGGTCTCCCCTTGAATAAGTCTCAAAAAGCATGTAAAAAAAAGAATCGTTTAAGTCGCCATAAATCTCGACAAACTCATATTACACATATTTTTATACACGCCTTTTTATAAAAACCCTTACTCAAAACCTAGGTCCTGTCGTTCCGAATTTCTGAACCTCTATTAGTCAGATTGAGGTACCAAGACATCCATAATAGCTCCTTAATTTTGACTGCACAGGAACAAGGAACAAGGCCAGAAGACAAAGAGGGCAAGAAGTAAAATTAATTTGCGTAATTTACGCTAATTGTTAATCTGCGTAAAAGTATCACGGCAACAAAGGAGTACTTTTGCATTTAATATAGAGAGAAATAATGACTAAACTCTTTATTGTTAGAATGCAATAAATTTTGCCCATCCTTGATTTTTTTAAGAAAATTTTCATTTGGAGCCCGAATATGTTCTTAGATACATCCTAATTGTTTTCGAATCCGATATGGTTTCAAGAAAAAAAACGCTTGCTCTCGAATAGAAAACACCTTATCTTTCTTTTCTCCAATGTCTGTCACTAAAGTTTAAGCATTTCCCCAATATCCGTCACTAGACTCTTCCCCTTCCCAATTTCTCCCAGAAACAATAGTCTCTGTTCTTCTGAGAAACGTCGATTTGCCTATCCTGAACGGTATAGTATTTTGTTAAACTTGGTCACGGAGATGCTTTTATAGCTATTTAGAAAGTATGATTTCAAAAATTTCCTTTCACGTCGGCCCAACCATGGTGGGTCCTCCTACATCACTGAACGTGGTTGAGGGGCAAACCGCGTTAATTTTATGATTCGTTAATTTCCTGTAATAAGGTATCCATTGGGTGTATAAAAATCTGCATGCTTCTTCAATGTTTCTTCTTTATTAAATGAATTCAAACAAATTCATACAAAAAGAATGGCTTGTTTCCATGTCTGTGTCCCTTCTGTCCGTGAAGTAGTCTACTCATGTTTTTAATCCATGTGTAGTGGACATCACCGTTCTCATTCTCTAGTAAGAGCAAGCTCACGTGTTTGGCTTTTTTCTCTTTTGTGATTTTAGATGGTGTAATTAGACATTTCTTACACTTTTTACTTTTCTTGTTGTTGGCATTATTATCATTGGCATCATCATCATCATCATCGTCATTCTCATAATCACCCTCACCATTATCATCATACAACCCATATATTTATTGATATGTTGTTGTTTGCCTCAAACTTTGCTAACATCGTTTCATTTCCAGGGTTTACAGGGAATGTTAGGCAGCTTGTGTTTAGCTCGTGTTCATATGGCTTATACTTGGTAACTCTTGCTGCATCCTTTTCCTGTGTATGTAGGGCTGCTAGGATTGACCACATGCAGCACTTTTCATCCGAGTTTTGCACGTTAACAATGGCATTTCTAGCTACAATCCACACAGGTGCTTTAAAAACCCTGCTGAGATACCACCACCAGCCATTGGTCTATAATCAAACATTTTCACTTGCATTCGACCAAATTTTTTGAATATCGATCCGCTTCCAATTTTAATAAATGTGTCAATGCTGTTATTCAAAGTTTCTCTGATTTTGATTGCTTGATTGTTAATGTCATTTGGTCATGTCTAAGAAGTCTGTAAACTTCAGTTCTAAATGTAATTGGTGGATCTGTTATTGTATCTTTTAACATTTTTTTGAACTCGACATCTAATGCGACATAGTATTTCGCTTCTTGATTATAATTTTGAAGTGCTTCTGTAATATTGTCTATGATGTTTCTTGTAACATCATGTAAGTTGTCAATATTTTCAATGTTTTTTATCGTGTATCCTAGGTTGTTTCCATCTACAGCTCCTGCTCTTGCATTTGGTCTAGCACCTCCAACAATTACATGATCATTGTGTATTGTCCGCATATGTTTGTGTAGATTTTGTGCTGTCAAAGAACTTTAAACAAATCCGTCATCGGTATTTGCCCTTTTTGGACTATCTTAAGCATCGCCCATTCCATCAATTCGATCATTAAAACTTCTCTTCATCTCTGCTCTTTTTCTGATGCTTGCTCTTTGTGATTCACTGTCAGAATGATTTTGCTGATTGTGTGTCTACTTATTTATCTTAGACATTCGAATATCACGTCAGCTGCGATGTTAAAATCAACCAATTAGAATCAGTTTTAGTTTCAGATTTTTGCTATTAGCCAACCAGAATCCGTTTTAATTTTGGATGTTCGAATATGATATCAACAATTCGATTATTGAGTCAACAATTCGAAATACTTCGTCAGCAATTCGAAAATAATACGTCAATTATTTGAATGGTTCCATTGCTTATCAAACTATTCCTATATAACTATATATGACTATATATTCGTAGGTATGTAGAGACAATGAAAATATGAACTGACTTTGCAACAAAGAAACTATTATGAAACTGAACAATTCTAACATTCTAAACTATAAATCAACTAAGCAACACTAAAACTATAATCAATTCTACCTAAACAATTCTAAAACTATTTCTAAACTAAAACTATTAATTAGCATTTAAAACTTGTATAATTTTTATTCATTTGTTTTTATGAGTTTTTATTTACAATTATCATTTGAAACTATGAATTAAAACTAGTTATTAACATTTTGAAATTATAAATAACTATTAACATTTTTTGAAATTATAAATAACTATTTACATTTTTATTGAACGGTCCGAATCGTACACTGCATGCCAGAATGGTCTTAGATTATCAAATGTATACGGTTGTTCCCCACCATCTTCATAATATAACAGCTTAGCTGCTGCTGGGCATGTGTCTGCATTTGCAGTCCATGACAACATACACGTGCCGTGATAATAGGTGTTACACATGCTGCATCAATATATGCACTCTCCAGGGTCCTCACTATGCCCCTCCATGCAGATGGGGCATTTTGCTTCGTCCACGAATACCTGTTCCCTAAAAGTGTCTATGCAGCGAAATTTTATGTCCTGCTTTTTTTTAAGAGTTATATTTTCCTATCTTTTCCGATACGTTTGACACCAAAAATTTTCATAATTTGACCAGCAAAAGTGTGTTTAATCAGATTAATCTTTAGTCTTTAGTCTCGCGGCACTGATTGGTCAACTACACCGGTCTTGTGCTTGCATTTTTCTGATTGGCCTATTTCGATCCACAACTGGGTATACATTTTCCATCGTGTTCTTTCGGAACCTTATTCTGACGTTTATGCTCTGAGGAGTGTCAGACGAAAAATCTTTTAGTATGTCGTAAAATGTTTGCTTTTTTCAAAGCCATTTTAAATGATCTTTCTATAACTGTAAACTACGAATAGTTTCTAAGTCCACTAAATAAGAGTTTTGCATGTCATATCTAGTAACACGGTTCATTAGCTGATTAAATCTCCATGAGAGGATATGTGTCAATTCAAAATCAAACCAATGTGTCATAATTATTTAAAAGTAAGCTTGGGAATTTAGCCTTTACTCTTCCTTTTGTCCAAATTAATGGGGTAAATATATTCTGGCCATCCTTAGAATGTCATATCTCAAAAAACTTCCTCACCATAAAATATGATGGGTGGTGGCTGGCTGCCTTCACTGAACCCCTTATCAATCTAAACAGTTTGCCCCCTAACCTTTATTGAAATTTTGCTGGCCCTTCCCGTGGTACCGAGGCTCTAATCTGAGCTGCCGCCCAACCAATCGATTTACCTGGCTGCTCAACCACTGAAGGATAAAACATCAGCTCTCATCATGTTCAAATTGCAAGATTACAACACAAGAACAACTTAGATATTTCATAGAGTCCCCTTTGTTAAAATTTTACGACTGCATCCCTGGACGTCGTACATGGGGCGCCGATTCCCCCTGTTCCTTACACCGGTGGCGTCGCTTGACCTTTGTAAAACTACGAAGTTTACAAGGCAGATAAAGATAATAAACCAGACTCCAGTTCGCGATAACGTTCTCTAAAGCAAGATTCTTCAGCAGGGATAGTATAAATTAACAGCAACCAACGATTACAACACAACGACTTCGTTTAACGACAACTTCGACAACCCTGCGTGTAAGCCCGTTCAAGTAGCTTGAGTTTCAACAAGCAGCGCATTTTCCCGCGACTTTGTCTACAGGAGCTGTGATAACATGCAAAATTTGTGAAAGAGAGGCTCCTTAAATATGTTTCATTTCGTTCCCTTTTCACTGCTGCTGCAACGGAAATAATATCTCATCAAGTTGTTTGTTTGTAAATGTGTAATCAAATCACTTAGTTAAACATAGTCATCTGAAAGATGTATGCCGCAAGAGTCATTCCATCAGAGCATAAGGATCTCATACACGATGTGTCATTCGATTTTTACGGTAGAAGAATGGCTACCTGTTCATCCGATCAAAGCGTCAAGGTGGGCCTAAATATTAAATATCATATAGAAGCTAAAAATCACTTTGAATCAATTTGATTGCAAAATCTCCTAAATTTTCTCGCTGACTTTTTAACTATAAATGTGTCAGACATTTTATTTTATTTGTTTCAACTTCTGAAAGATAAATGATTCTTGGTCAGCTTCTTGTGAATTTTTCGAAGCAGCAACGGATTGATGTTATCCCCACAAGTTTCTTTCAGATCTTCCATTGTCTTGAGAAGCCTTGGGTGCCAGTCTATTTAGACATTCAAACATCTCCATTGTCATCACCTTTTTGGGATGATTCACAGTTGGCAGTTTCAATGTCTGGCCCTTTCTTTTGATGATTGTTAAAACTCATTTCCAGATTCTTCCAAATTGTGACTTATGGTTTGTTGTCACATCAAGCATGATATTTCTGCAGCATAAAATCTTTAGTTTGTAGATACCTTAAATCCTCAAAAAAGCCCCCACACTCAAATAAGCTCCCCCTCAAATAACCCCCCACCTAAAAAATCATTTTTGCAAATAAGCCCACTCCTCGAATAAGCCCCCATGGGAAGCATAATTGCAGAATAATATCTTACTTCCTTTGACTGGAGACCAGAAAGCAGTAAAGCGACTTTTGTGATGATAAAAAATTATAATATTTGTTAGTTTTTTGTAAGAAAAGTAGAAAAATTATGTCGTTTTTATGTCGACCTTTGAGGAAAATACTAAACTTTGAAATAAGCCCTACCCCTTTGACTAAGCCCCCCTTTGAATAAGCCCCCCTTTGAATAAGCCCCCATCTGAAAATTCATTTTTGCAAATAAGCCCCCAGGGGCTTATTCGAGGATTTGCGGTAGTTTCTGCTACCCAAGGGTTAATGCTATGAGCCTACAGTTTTGTTCTTGACAAGACTACAGGGTGGAATCCCTGTGAAGCTCACGCTGGATATCTGTCAATTGATTAAAGAAAGACAACGAAAAACCCTTAGTATATGCCGGATAACTCTAGCATAAGCTACCACACTAGTTTTCCTAATGGCAAGACTTTCTCATGCTCTATCCATAACAGGCCATGCTGGGAATGGCGTGCGATCGCACGCCCACGCCTTGGCACACGCCTTCCGTTGCTCAGAAGTGCAGTTTATCGCACGCCTTAAATAATCTGCAAATAACACTTTATTCTAAAGTGACCAATATGGCCCAATGTAATTTTTTTATCATAATTCAACTATGAACGAACAGTGATAATCACGCAATCGTTTCTATTTGATTTCTACTTGACGAAAAATTTGGCGAATATTCTAATTTGCTTAAAGTTATGGTAAACGTTTTTTGAATGAAAACATCCACTTCTCGATTTCTTCAGATTCTAGTAGCCGGACTTTCAAGGCACACGATGATACCATATTTAAAACTAACAGAAGTTCTGAAAGTGGCGAAAAACCCCTGTAAACGAAGGTTTCCATAATTTCTTTATCAAAGTTTTGAGTTGAGGTCTGAAAATCGCTCGACCTTTTAGGCCGATAATCCTTGCTTTGCAGTTGTGGTCGCTTGTCTCATTTGCAATAACTGCAGTGGAATCACGATATAACGAACCCTGGATATAACGAACTTCCCGGTATAACGAACTAAATGCCTGGTCCCTTGGATTCTGCCTAACAAACTCCTTACAAATTCTCTCGGTATAACAAACCCCTGATATAACGAACTCTCGTTATCACGAACCATTTTTAGGTCCCTTCATCATAATAACCCTTGATATAACGAACTTTCATAAATTCTTCATCTGTTATTTTTGTTTATTTATTTTCGGTATTCATTTATCACTTTCTCTTGGGGAGAAATCTTTGCTTTGCCAATCTCTTGGTCCCAAGTTATAAAAGGAACATTAAGATTTTCATTTTCAATGACCAGCCAGTTGTATTATTTGAATTCAGATTGGCATTTTTGAGTTAAATGGTACATGTATGGCTGTACATGTGCACAGAGGTTGGAGATAGCCTAAACAAGCCCACCACAGGTTTTTTAGGCGTGAACTGCGAAAGGACCCCCAAAAAACATTATCTCTCGGTTTAACAAACTCCCGATATACGAACTATTTTCTGGTTTCCTTCCGAGTTCGTTATATTGGGATTCCACTGTAGTTACAACCCCATGGCACATGTAAGGCTTTGTTTATTTAAACAGGCTTATTGATCTTTAAGCTTTAAATGATTTGACCCAGATTACACTGTGGTTTAGGAGTGTATCTTGCAAGTGCGATCAGTAAAATCCCGTTTTCTCAGGACTCACAATTCCTCTATATACAGTTTACTTTATGTGCATTTTTCTAATCTGTATGCAAATACAAAACTCTTTAGAAACTTTTACTAATAAAATGTGGCCAAAAATGTTCCAAAATTAAGAGACTTTGAATTGTGAGCATTTAGCTACTGTAGCTTTCTTACAAAATATAAATGTGCAATTAACCATTTAATTCGTTCTAACACTAGTCAACAGATAAGTTTTCTTTATGGTGAAAACACAGTTAGAATTCTTAAATTTTGAGAACGAGATTGTCAGGAGAAGCAGACCAGAAGGATTTATAAACTGCAGGATTACATAATAATTAACCTACCTTATTGTTAATGTTTTTCTCTTTAATATGTTGGGTTTGACGTTAATAAAGCTTGTTTGATAAAATGTATCGATTGGACTAGCCTTGCTTATGTTTTCTTATGATAAAGTTATGTAGTCTAGTCCATATACAGCTGACTGTATTATTAAGTACTTTGGTGCAATAGCACACCATTGCACGCCTTGGCACCACAAGGAGTGCGATTCATTGCACCCCTGCCATTTTATTCCCAGCATGGCCTGCATAATGAAACCAAGATACTTGTATCAATATAATTGGAGTGAAATTACACTACCCTGGACTCACTGACCCAATGAATGGTTCTCTACACTTAGTGAGCAAAAGTATTGCACAAGTTGGAAAAATGATTTATGGTGACGGCGTTACAAAAAACTTGGCGATTGAAAATAAAACCACTTATATGAAGCCATCAGATGTCTTTTTATAGTTAAAAACTAATCAAACTAAACTTCAAACTGTTGGTAACACTTTCAATTTAAAGATTGAAAAAAGTCCTTTATAAAAGTACAAAATTTTAACTTTTTGCTGGACAGTCTCGCAGCCTTAGAGCCTTTGTGAGACTTACTAAAACTTTATTAAAAATTTTTGTAGCAGGTTCTATTAATCGCGACATGATAAGTTCAGGAAAACATTTGCAAGATCACATTTAGGTGTTGAAGTACCAAGTTGATCATTAATGGCCTTGTATTTGGTGGAAAGTGGCATATTTTAAGCCAATTTTTTTATGCTGACTCTTTTGCAGTTTTTGAGCCACTTGAGTGTGCCTGTTAATCACGGGAATTTTGGTCTTTTCATCCAATAAGAAGACAAAATGTTGTTTCAAGTAATTTACAGCATTATTTGTTCCCTTACCAACATAGCAGATGGTTGAAAAAGATGGGCTTGACGATTTGTGACACATTTAATTGTTCGAATTATGAAGCAATAAATCACAAAGCCGCTGCTGCGATTAGGCCCAATGCAGCTCCAAAATTTTTTGAGCAAAACGTTTAGCATACTCTCCAACAAAAGGGAGGAAAATGAGCAGTTCTAGATACCCAAGCATAAAAAGTATGTATTTTCGAGTTCAATTAATAAGATATTACAAATTGGTGCAAAGATAAGCTTTTTTAAAACAAATATTTCACAGGTACTTCAATCATCATGGCTCGATTTTTGTGTTTTTGCAAATGTCGATATTGTTTAGAAATAGGCAAAAATCAAGAATATTCTTGAATTTGCTGTTTTCAGTAGCAAACCTAAATACATTTTCCATTATTTTCCAACTTAAAATTCATCTTATAACTTTATGAAACTTTCTGCACAGTGGCCATTTGAATTTTGGTTTACTAAAAATGTTTGCTGCAGTGCCGCCATTTTGCTCTCAGCCTGTGCAATACTATTGCTCACTAAGTGTATTTAGATTGATAATCAAGATTACTTATCAATCAGAACTGGACCTCTCATAAGCAACATTTATATGATGAATATTGGCCTTAACTAATCTTAAAATTATCTTTGTAAACTAGGTATGGGATCAAGATGATGATGGAAACTGGCAATGTACTTCAGACTGGAAGGCAAGATATTATTAAAGGATATTTGTTATATTGTTACAAAAATATTTGTTACAGGATACTGCAGGTATATAATTGATGGGGACTGTCAAACATTCAGTTGAGTCCAGTTTGAACAATGAAATGTACCAACAAAAGGATGGTGTTGCAATGGGTAGCCCTTTGAGACCATCCTTTGCTAACATTTTTATAGACTTTCATGAAGAGCATTGGCTTTTTTCAATCTGTGGACAACAGATTAGGCCATTGTCAAAACAGAGGTTGAATGTTACATTTTTCAAAAGTCTGCAGCCCTTCAGTTTACTTTTGAAAAAGAAGAAAACAATTTCTTGTCATATCTAGACATTTTTGTTGCAAAGTCTGGCAATATTTATGGCAAACCCATATTAAACTCATTAAACATAAGTACCCAGGGGACTCCAAATTTGCTCCAAATCTAAACTACACATTGAAGTGGATAAACTGAAGACAATTTTTGGACAACGTCTCTCCAGAAGGTGCCATTTCTTCCTACCCTAGGGAAAATAGCAAGCTTTTGGGCCAACCAAACATTTGGATTTACTTACTACTTTATGACTTGAAAGTGAGATTAAACAGGCCATCAGACAATGTTTCCTTACTATCAATCCTCATATTGTTTACAGCACTAGGAGAGCTACCACCCAGTTATGAAAACTTACATGCAAGTGTGATTCTGGCTATGTAGAATGCACAACCCAAACAAGTGATTCTACTATCTGACAACATCTTTTATATAACCCAGATTGTGCCAACGTCTATTATGGTGACGTGTTTCAGATAATTGCCAGAGCCCGGTCGTCTTTACATTTAGTAGTTTTGCAATCAATCTACATACAAACCAAAAAACCGCAATTGTGTTGACAGAAGGAGTTTTTTTTCTCTCTTTTTAATTCCAGTGGTGATACTTCTAGAGGCATGCAGTAATGATTGGATAACTATAAAGGGTCTTGTGCTTGTGTTTTTGTGGTTGGGCAATTTGATCCACAAATTGATGTATATTTTCCATCTTGTTCTTTTGTACCCTTATTCACACATTTATACTTTTCTAGGTGTGTCAAACAAAAAAGCTTTTAGTATGTTAAAATTTTTGCTTTTTCAAAGCAATTTTCAAATTTTCTGACCATATCATTCTTGAACCAAGGATACGACTGGCCAACACTGTCGGATAAGAGTATATGACACTGACTTCTTTTTTACGGTTGTTTACATTGATCCATCACAATCATGATTTGGTCAGCATTTGGTAAGTTCAATGAAAGCAGTAACATATCTGTAATAGGCCTTTTCTAAAATACTTTTTCCGAATGAAACCTATTTTATTTACCTGCTAGATAATCCCAATACAATAAGATCTTTGCAATAGAATGCAGAAAGACACCAACATTTCGAACAGGGAAACATGGTAATAAAAGAAAGCCTCTCCTAGATGTCATTTCAAATGTTATAGTTTTGATGTACTGATATAATTAATTGATCATTTGCAACCTTCCTGTTTTCTTATTTTAGCATCTATGTTTCAGACCCATTCAGGCTCTGTGTGGAAAGTAACATGGGCTCACCCAGAATTTGGACAGGTTTTGGCTACTTGCTCCTTTGATAGGACTGTCTCTATTTGGGAAGAGCAAGGTAAAATCATATGTTTTTTACAGTGCAGCACCAATTGTGAATGCATGGACTGTTCCATGTTTTTCATTAAAAACAGTTTTTTACAAGATATGCGAGCACTTTTGAACAACAATTTTGGTTAGTGTTGCTTATCAGTCAAATGATTTTCGAGATAATTATCGTTTCTGAATGTCATTTGTCTGTGTGGCATGTGACTTTGTATTTTCTGTTTGCAGTGTGCAAGACGTTTTTAATTTTTTTTTCTTAGTTGGAGACTCTGGTGTCTATGCCTCCGGTCGCAGCCACTGGGTATGATCGTTTTCAGTTTAGTTAGAGCTAGCAAGTCATTTCATCATAGATTACAAGCCTACCTTGGAATCGCACTCGCAGGCGTTGGTACACACTTTCTCACACTGGGAAGTGCGTTATACGGCACGCCTGTTTTATAATTATTCTTTATGTTTTACCAAGCGTAGGAAACTAATAAGATGACGGAATGGTTTTGAATTGAGTTATTTACTTTGTTAAATCTGCAGTGCTTCCACTTTTTACTCGATCAGTTTCCCGAAAATGTCCTTCTATTTTCCTCAAATTCCTTCCAAAATGCCCTTTTATAAGATTTATATGGATTAATTGCTTTCATTCGTTATTTTCGCTTTCAACTTACTAAAGAAATTGTTCCTGGCGTCGCCTTGAACACACGAGCTTCATTAGCTTATTTTATTTTGTCTAGTTTGAAACTTTTCCTTGTTTAGATTCGAAACTTTCCTTTGTTGAGTTTTGAAACTTTCCTTTGTTGAGTTTTGACATTTTTCGAAACTTCTGAAGCGTTTAGAATTAGCGAGTAAAGACAATAGAGTTATTAAGTATGACGCCATTGAAATATACTTTTTGTACTACATTTCAGAATAGAACACCAAGAATTACTCTAACTATTAGTTAAATATGTTACAAATTGGGAGAGCTACATAATTCTGCTATTGTGGCATGGTTCATCAAAATTTTGAACAGAGAAAAAATTAGAGTGATTTGATGGGGACAGAGGCTGTGCTCAAATTGCCATATCTTAGCCAGTTTTAACACAAAAACACATTATGTAATCAAAGTTAGAAATTGTAAAAACAGCTTTGTGTCCAGTTATAACATTGAAGTTGCCAAGCCAGTTTACTAGCCACAGTTTGCTTAAACCTTGAAACACTTCCACTGTGATTAGCCTGCTTACTGGCTGACTTTTATTTATTCTTTCTAATTATGTATTTCCGAAGAAAAGGATAACTACTTCCAAGTGGAAGCACTGTTAAATTGAAGGCTGTAAAGTTCTTCACCATCTCAAATCTCACTGACAACTGCCCAGCGCAAAGTGTGCCCACCGTAAACTCCGATCTTTGGGCACGCTTTCAAAAGTCTTGACAAGGGTTATCACAGTCAAAGATACCCTACTTCAACTTAAAACACACCTTGATGAGTTCCCAATTTTTAATTCGAACTCTTTCTAAAGACATGATTGATAACATGACATGATCAACTACCAGACACATCTTTCTGATAAAAATAAATAAAAGCTAAAAACCTGACACACACTTATATTTTTTGTTAAAGTTGTGGCAGAACTGATGAAATGAGTCGCGAAATGAGATTTTATGGCTCCACATACTATGTAACTGAACTTCTGTAGAAATCGGGAAAAATATATCAAAGGCACTTCATCACGCTCCTACTACAGCCTAGGAGTGCAAAATACCAAATTTGTGCTAATTTATTCCCAGGAAGGCCTGGATTAACACTTTTGAATGTAGTTTTGCTTTTCAAGGTCCTGTATTTTCAGGCACCTTCCTGCCTCAGTAAAATATACGGAATGAAGCTACTTTGTATTCGATTTTATCTTTGCTGAAGCAATCTAAATAGACTTGAGTGAAAACTCATTTGCCCACCTTCTCACTCAATTCGACAATTTCTAGGTGCTCTTTTGTCTGTTTCCTGCAAGCGACTCGTTTATCAAGGATTGATTAGTAACCATATAAATAAAACCAAGATGAAATAAGATATTGGTCAAATAGGCCCTTCAGCATCCATCAGAATGCCTGCCTGACCCATCAAGAGCTTCTTGCCATTCCTCAATGGACTGCATTCATACTTGGCCTCAGATTTTTGCCATTTCCCAATCTGTTGATCCATGCCCTATTTTATTTTCCAGGTTCGTAGATCTGCTCTTGTTGATAGCAGAGCGTCTGTAACAGATGTCAAATTTGCACCAAAACACCTTGGGCTAATTGTCGTAAGTAACTTGTCCATAGTTCTATTTACACTATTTACATCTATTCACTTTTTATGTATTTCATAGTTCCACTTGTGTTTGAACCTGAGTTTCCAACATATTGAATTGTTTATCAACCGGATAGCCTATCAACCTTACTTAGAGTCTTGCTTTTTGTACTTTTATGAATGATCTTTTCCCTGATTCAAGCATTTCCACCCCACATTCCTAAACTAGGTCGGAAATCCGTCGCAGATATGAAGTGTGACTTGTTATAAATCCACCCCGCCTTGATACTAAAACAGTACATTGATTATAGCTTGATATTTTAAGTAGGTTATCTAATCTTGATCAGCATGACTGATACTGTACCTTTTTTGAATTCCAGTTCTCTATCACTGCCGACCCAATATAAATTTAGATGAAAATTATTTGTCATGGCATTAAGATATTAATCGAGTGCACGAGGCAAATTCGAGGTTATACAAGAAACTCTAAAAAATTATCATTGAAACCCTAATGCATTTTTTCAAGTTGATAATGTGGTTCATTTTATAAAGCTTCCATTGTGGAATGTTTCTAGGCAACGTGCTCAAAGGATGGCGTTATTCGAATCTACGAAGCGCCAGACATGATGAATCTAAGCCACTGGTCGCTGAAGGTCTGTTGAGTATTACTGTTTATCTTGACTTTTTTGATATTGTTAATTTATGTTGTAAATGTGAATAGTATCAACTTTTGAAGTTATTTGGGAACTGAAATTTCCTTGTAATAACGCAGCGATTTGTTTCGCTTCTTCTGCAAATGCTTTAACACACCCGATTGCGTTTAACGCTTTTGAAAATGGCACGAAGTACCGAAGGACGTTTCTCTACAAATAACTTGTACCAGCCATTCACGTGGTCACTTTTCGTCGCTTTAACAATCTTTATGTTTTTATTCAAGGATGAAATTCACACCAAAATGGCATGTAGCTGTTTATCATGGAGCCCTTCCAGGTATTATTTACTTCCTTTGCTTTTCATAGTTCTTCAATGACATTAATGTGATTTGTATTGTTATTGAAATATTTCAGTTTTGGTATGAAGGTCAAACATTTTCGAATACCACACATTCTATGTTACGAATCCAAAACAGATCCAAATCCTTTGCACAGTTTTTCATCTGTGTAAAGCGTGCATTTTAATTTCATTTCCGGTTGTCTTGAAGTTTGAGGTATAATCTCCTATGAAAATAAATTTTTTGTCCCAATGTTATTTTCTGTGCAATTTGCCATCTTCACACTGCTCTTTTCAACCGTATCTCAATGATTTAAACTGAACACATTTACTGATTACTATGACATCATTTTGTTTTACTTTAGAGTTCACCCAATAATGCTTGCGGTTGGTAGTGACGACAGCAGCAATAACACGGAACCAAAAACACATATATACCAGTTAAACGAGTATGTGTCCAAGCCTTATTTCATCATAGCCAGAAATTGACTATATGAACTTTGCAACACTATTTTAAAAGAATATGAAGGCTGGCTGTTCGAATCAAATTTTCTCTTTTCAATTACCATTCACGGTAGATTATAGCCTTATTACACATATCCCCTACACTTACAGTCTAATCTACGTGTTGATTCTCAAATATGGTCCTATTTTATTCACGATACCCATTAACAACTGGCTATGTTTATGCCATGTATACTGTTTGGTGGAATCTTTCCCCACGCTGTTGTAGTTTGAATGTGATGCAGTTCGTACAGTGATATATGTTGTTTCGTCTTATTCTAGCAAATGGCTAAAGATACCATCTATCACATCATCAACAGATCCAGTTCATGATGTAGCATTTGCTCCAAATGTTGGCAGGTAATGTCAAGGTGTTAAACTTTCCCCTCTTTTTTTTGGCTTTGAATTTTTTGATCCAGCAATCCAGAAGCCAATTTCAATGGGTTGTTTGAAGATCTTGTCACGTACTTTCTTAAAAGAAGCACTTAATAATTATAAAAGAGTGACACGCGTTGATATGTTCTTGCAATTTGCAAAGCGTTGCAGAACGAGTGATAACAGAATAGAATCTGCTATTGGCAATTCTTTGTTTATTCCGTAACTCATCATCAGATACCATCTTCTATAAGAAGGTTAGCTACCATGACCCTCCAACTATCCCTTAACCAGGGGTTTTTTTCAGTCCTAGAAAAGGCTTAAAAAAGAAGGGGGCTTATTAGAGAGTGTCCATTCTTAGTAATGCAAAGCTAGAAATATTATGAGAATGTTCTTTAGCATTTTTTGCTATAAAGATTTCATACTAATTTTTCAAATGCACCTAACTAGCAACTTTGAATGTCTTTATTAAAATTAATCAATCATATTGTCTTCAGGAACATACACAGCATTGTGTCAATCAATAAGGTTATTAGAGACATTAGAAGCACAACTGAAAGAGAAAGTCTTGACACTTCACCATATGAAAGTTTAGGGAGTAAAAACATTAAAAGCTATCACTTAATTTCACCATTCAGCGTTTTCTTTGTGTGACATTAGGGGATAAGGAGAGGAGAGATTAATAGAGGAGATGGCTTATTAGAGAGGTGGGCCATGTAGAGAGAGGGCTTGTTTCAAATTCATGCTTGATAAGCGGGCCTTATTAGAGACGGAGCTTAAAGAGAGAGGGGGCTTGATAGAGCGTTTGCGGTATATCATTTTCGCTATACTAGTCATTAACGTCTCACAAATCTTTTTTCTTGCTGAACCTATAATAATAGAGCTCTGTTTTTTGCGAGCGCAGGGTCGTCTGTTGGTTTTTCCTCTTTCCAATTATTTTGAGATAGTTGTAAGATTCGAATATGTTCTCCGTCGGATCTTGTCGATATGGACAGTGCCAAGTCTTCTGGCTGACAGAGTTCTTTTATAAGCAATATTGATTTATTCTTGTTTATCTTTAGGCCACATCATTTGCTAGCCATTGCTGGAAAAGATGTACAAATACTGGCCATCAGGCCCTCGTCGTGAGTTCCAATTGAGCCTTCTGTACTTCACAAACATCTGTGCATTTATCCGATCTACTCACTTGATCTAACTCAGACTTGTGTTTTCCCTTTAAGTGAACAGTAGTGGACAGAACCTTGCTATAGTGGACACCTTTGAAACCAGTGTAATTTCTGACACAGTTTAGTTAGTTAACGCTTGTGTGGAGTATCTTTCTACAATAGCTTTTATTACCAATTCTTTTTTGGAGTTTTCAATTATTGGGTGGTCTTTGCAAATGATTGCTTCGCTATATTGCATATCAATGTAACTATAGAACAAGTGGATCTTTTTAAGGCGTGATGTAACGAATGCTGGCATCCCAACAAAAATGGAAGGGAGCGTTGCGGCCGTTTTCAAAGATCACGACACACAGGTAGTTTAACAGCAATTTTTTTCAGTTGTTTCAATTGATATTGCTCCTAATATCTTGAAAATTGCTTTTGTAATTTCAGCTAACATTTTTACCATTTTCAAGGACATATTTAAATTTTAGTTTAGGTCCAATTAATAAGAATGTGTGGTATACAAAAAATATCTACGTAAATGATTTTTTCTTTATCTAAATGCATACTCTTTAGCTATTTTCAAGACTTTATTGATAAATGGCAAATGAACTTAAAACATTGGGTCTGGGTGCAAACTTCGACCATTTGCGTCATTTCGATTCATTTATAGATCTTTTAGGCAGCTTAGTTAAACTAAAATTTAATAAACTTTTGCAGCACCCTTTATCAATTTGCCACAGCCAAATACTTGTAGTCGAGCGATTTCTATCTTAGCACGTAAATGACTTCACAATACGGATTTCGAGCTAGAACTCTAAGATAGGTAAATCTATGGTACGAACCTAATCACAACTTGTCGTCGAATTACAGGTTTGGCGCGTGGAGTGGAACATCACTGGGACCATTTTAGCCTCCTCGGGTGACGATGGCTGTATTCGACTATGGAAAGGTAAAGTATTGTACAGTGTATTGCGTAACTGCTGTGTTAATCTAAATCAGTCGTTAAAAGAAGCCCTGTCTATATTATAGTCCGATCTTTTAAATTTGTTATGTAGTGATAGTGAATTACTACATCTTCAGTAAAATTGTGACGTTTCATCGTCATTCTCTGCTCTTTCCTGCTTTCTGTCAGCCTATTAATGATTTCCTACCAGCCAAGAATGCATTGTTCAATGGTTTTCGTTATGACATTGTCACATTGTTGTCTCAGTCGACAACGACCTGTCAAGTGTCATTTTAAGCTAAGAAAAATCATCCTTATCTGGATTATGACAATTTTTTCAAAATTTTTCGGTCTTTGGATTTTTGAGGTCTAATTTCAACTTGATGCTCGACTTTTGGTGACCGAAAAGTGTATTAACAAGAATGAAACAAATCAAATTTTTCCTGCAGTTGCCAGTTTTTTACCATAAGTAAAATTTCGTAAACGCTAATGGGTATTATTTAACAAGGATTGAAGAACATTGCCCTCGTTTAATCTGACCTTGTTTAATACATTCGTATGGTTTTTTAGCTAACTATCTAGACAACTGGAAGTGCATTGCAGAATTGAAAGGAGACGGAGCTCCACTCCCGGGGTCTAATATCAGGCGTCAAAGTGGACAGAACCAACAGGGACACAGAGAGCCTGGTCAGTTTAGTGCTGCTAATTTGGCCAACTTCAAGTCCCATCCGATGTGGTGAATCAGTATCTCTTTTAAGATTAGAAAATGTTGGTACCTGTAAATTGTTGTTGATAATTTCATGTTTTTGTTTTTTAAGCTGGACAATTCTGTATTTTCAGAAAAGAAATATTAAGATGGTTAGAAAAGTCACAATATGTTGCTCGAATCTGATATTTTGAAGTGCCAGAAAACCAACTCTTGCTATGAGAAACTGTTACCCACTGTTTATCACAAAAACTTCTTGAAAAAGTATTTTGTGTTTATATTTTATAAAAAAGCGTCTACCAGTTATCAATATTGGTATTTCCTCGGACATTAGACAGGACATCACATAAAGGGAATTCAGGACATTAGATAAGAAATTTAAATTTATGATTTGCAAATTGAAACTACATTCAAAGTTTATGTCAGTAATGGTTGCGCAAAGTTTTTCATATTTTTTTGTCCAGAGTAATAATCGTTTCTTACAAGCATCTTTCAATGTAGGTATTGGAAACGGGGACCTTGATTATCTTTAAAAATGGGGGGTCTTGCAGATCATTCATTTTTATAATATTGCATTAATATTTCCAGGAAATCAATAGCAATCAATTAAACAAAATGAATTATTTACCAATCAAGTACAATAACATGTTTTAGTACTATTATGCAAGTATTAGAAGTTCCATAATCCTGTCTCTGTTTGGATAACGTCAATTAGAGCTTGTACTTAGAGAGTATTGCGCATGCGATCCTGCTTGTTTAAAGACATCTAGTTTGTGCTTTTGCTATTCGAACAAACATCAATGAACATGAAATGATTCACTCGAAAGCGTCGATCACTCTCCACTGACTCTGTTCTTCCATACAGTCGATAGAATTGTCCTACGGCACTTTGTATTGCCATGTATTATAATCAGAGAGTTTAGAACACTTGCGCTAAACATAATTACTGCAGACCATTCATATAATGCGCTTATCACCAAACCTGGATCCTGGTTGAGTTTCATTCTATAATAGGTCCAAATCACATTCGTTATTATGAATGGAAGATAGCAGATGAGATATGTTGCCAAAACCAAGTGGATTGTCTTCACCGCCGACAGCTCTTTATCATATTTTCTTGTGTTTATTCCGAGGTTATTGGCATTTTGCAATCGTAACAAGGTACTTTTCTGGTGCTCTTTCAGAATTCTCATTGTTCTTTTGTTTAAACAAATTAAAGATAACAACAAAGAAATGTTACCTATCGTGACTACTAGCTGCACGTAGAAAAATGTTTGAGTGACGCAAAATATGGCAAATAAAAGCGCCAACAGTAAGCAAATCATTATGATGATCCTTAATCGAAACCCGTTCATCAGCGTCTGGTATTGAGTTGGCTTCGCCACGTGGAGGTATCGATCAGCGGAGATGCAAATCATCATTAACACTGAAATGTATTCGCAAAATAATATAATAAATTCAAATATTTTCATAACGAGACATTTCTGTTGGTCACCCAGGATAAAAAAAACTCCAAGTGTTGGTAACGCGGAGAGACCCAAACACAGGTCGAAAAATGTCATTACCAAAATATATTTATGCGAAAGGCTCCGAAATAGTTTTGATTTATACAGAGCAAAAATCAGAAGAATATTGCTTACAATATTAAAAAAGGCCAATAGTATTGATATTAACCCAATTGCAAATTCGTTAACTCCGCCAGTAACCATTGGCATCTGCATCAAGCAAACAGCAACTCCGTCCTTATCGATCTTCATGCTTCTATCGATAATTTTTCTTCTGACGAGAAAGTGAAATTTCCTTCGTTCTTGTCTGCTCCTGTCCAATGTGAGATATTTTTGTATTTTTCGATCTCAAAAGCATTGACCTATAATTCTCGTGTTAATGTAATTAAATTATATGTCAAACACGTTTTGTTTTTACCTTTCAATTTTTATCCTTGAAGTGCTCATTTCATTTACATAAAAAGCAAATTAGCTCGGTGAAGGCAATGAAAACCATAGAAAAGTCATCAAAAAATAGGAAATTTTATTGAATAATTGTAAATAATGATAACGAGACGTTGTGATTGAAATGCTGAAGTTTCTGCGCTTTGTTTGCCGACATTTTGCCGTGGTAATAATTTGCAAATTTTATCAGCAAATATTACTGCAAAATCTGTGTTTATCAGTTGGCAGTGAAATAATTTTGATTATTTTGGAATAATTAAATTTATAATTAAAACTTCCATCTGCTTTTTCAGTGTTAAAGTCCTTGGTGTATGTTTTGAGTTAGAATTGTTAAAATCCTGTCTTCGTCATAAAACGTTTGTCTTTCAACAAACCTTTTCTTATTTAAGCCAGTATTTTTCAGATAACATTAACATATACTGTTTTATTATTATCTTTATAATGTTTCCAAAATGTTTTTTCTCTATTTTGAAAATATCGAATTTTTTTGGATCCCTCTTCTGCTGGCACTTCTTTAAGAAAATCATTTTAGCGCCAAGAATTCATTTTTGTTCAAGAAACTTAAAATATCTATATTTTTAAATTGTTCTTTTCAAATTCTTTCCAAAACATTTTTGAACCGCCTTCTTTGAATTTTGCCCTTGAATTCTCATGGTGATATTTTGCAGAAATGTGCATGAGACGTTGTTGATCCCAATAGCGGTTTTTTCGTGCTTATGTCTATCTACATACGCCATTGGTAACATTCTCAATAGGCAAGCGGCATTGATTGGTCAACCTCAACAGTCTTATGCTCGTGTTTCTGATTGGCCTATTTCGATCCACAACTGGGTTTATATATTTCCTAACGTAGAGTTTTCGGTCTATGTTCTGACGTTTTGAACTCTGAAGAGTGTCAGACGGAAAGCTTTAGTTTATTAAATGTTTGCTTTTTTCAAAGCAATTTTCAAGGTCGTTGATCTTTACTGAAGGAATTTTAACAAGAAAAACTTCGGAAACTTTCAGTTTTCATTAAAAATTGTACTTTTAAAATTCAAGAACACGTCCCTAAATTAGGTCTTTAATTCAAAACACCCAAACGCCTGATTTTCGTAGGTATTGTGAAATCAAAGACCAAGTAACAGAAAAGGCCGGAGGCCCATTGCAGTAACCCCCGTCCCCCAATCAAAATTAGTGGAATAAGTAAAATGCGTTTTTGTGAAAAATGGCTATGGTTACACTCATTTATCAGGGCTGGCCCTCCAAACAAAAAATCTTGCCTCGGTACTTGTGTGTAATGAGAACAAAATTGAGAGCATAAACAAAGAACAGAAACGAAAGATAATGAGTAAAAAAAGGATACTCTAAAAAATTGAACTTATGTATGTATAAAAAATGTGTTATTCGCCAATTTCAAAATGAACTCATTATTAAAATGCGTTGTGTTTATCGAACCAATATTAAAAATACGAAACCGAAAATTGATGATGAATATATATATTTGACATTGTCTAATATTCAAAGAGGTCTGTATATGTTTTATTTATTTGTTATAGGAAATATCAAAGGCTAACATTAAAAAAGCTATTGAAAAGTACAGTTTTGCTTAGAAGAAATTGAAACGCAGAAAAGTTTGGAAAGATCTTTGAAGTTTCTCAAAAAAGATTTCTAGACAAAAAGCGACATCAAAACTTGTGGCTCTGGCAGCCTTGGAAAGAAATCAAGGCCTAAATTACTTCATAGTAACATAGGTATAAAGAAAACTACAACCGCAAAAGCTGTCATCGTTGCTGCAGTATTGGTAGATGCCGATGATGGCTGTGGACTCGGACTGGCGGATGGCTGCGGACTTTGGCTGGAGGATGGCTGCGGATTTAGACTGGCGGACGGCTGTGGACTCGGACTTGCTGACGGCTGCGGACTCGGCGGCGGACTTGGACTCGCAAACATGATGCGGTCCTCTTCGCCAATGATTACAGGTGACTCAGTTTTGATGTAATCGGCGACCATTGTAGATGCTACGTTTCCAGGATGACGTTTCATGGTATGATTCACGAATACCTGATAGTTGTCTCCACCATCGGCAATAAATGAAGATAATATCACCTAGAAAGAGATGAAGTATAAGAAAGAAGGCAACGAAGGGTTTTGCTGGAGAGTAGAGGAGATTTGGGAAGGTATTGTAGAGAGACGGTTGTTAAAGGAAGGTTATTTGAAGGGAATATTATAATGGCAATCAAAATGCTGTAAATTTACTCTTTTTTTCAACCAAAAGTGGAGATTTAAGATTCAACTTTTGCTAGTATTTTTATTTTGTAACTAACGTATTTCCAAAAAGAAAAATTGATGAATTTGAGTGTTAAGTGTTAAAAGTACCTTGTAAACTGTTGTCTTATTGATTGGCTCATATTTTGGCACCCTGCATTGGGCGCATCTCACACGGCATCCAGCAACTCTGCTTCCTTCTGGCTTACTCATGTCATAGGTAACACGAATACCTGGATGAATAAACGCTCATGTTAATTTACTTCTTATGTAAGGCTTTTGCCGTCGCTACGGGGGTATCAGGGGTGTTACCCCTCTTATCAGCCCTAAGAGGGGGATCCTCATCATTGTCAAATTGTAATGGGAAGACTATCAATAAGCAAACTGAGTAAGGTCATAAAGGATAGAAACACTGCAACAACAAAAATCAGAATAGTGAAGGCGATCGTTCTCCCGTAAAAGTAGGAATATCCAAAGAACAGAACAAAAGAAGATAGACAGCTTCGAGATATGCTGTTTACTACGAGCTCTGAGTGTGTTGTGGACACAGCAAAAATAAACAAGTCTAAAACCAAACACATCTGGCCAGAAGCAACTTCGAAGCAATGATTGTCAAGCAACGTTTATCATACTTTGGCGTGGTAGTGAGGGCAGAAGACTAGAAAAACATTCATGCTAGGTAGAGCGGGAGGAAGTAGATCGTTTGAAGGCATTATAGAAAGGACCCTGATGATATTGTGGGAGCAGATAGAAGCTGTACAAGATCGGCATTTTTTGATACATTGTTTGAGACAAGTGATTTCTCGAAAACAGATTTTGATATGCAAGCTATTACTACCACACTAGAGAGGACAGAATTTGAAATAATAACTAGCGTGATCACATAGGAGCCACGACCTTCTACGTTGAATTTACATTACCTGAAACTTGTAAAAATTTTCCACTGGGAGAAGAAGGATTCCATTTGGTCACTCCAAATTCAAGAGCTTGTAGAATGTGCTCGCCTTTAATTTCAACAATATCGGCTGTGTTCCCAAATGGTAAAACGGACAAAAGAGTCCCATATGTTATAGTTTCTGAAACAGGAGGATAAATGTTTGCAATATGAGAAATGTTGGAGCTATAGAGAAATCTGTCTTCTTTTGACTGTTAGCAATTTAAATAATAAAATAACTCCAAATGAAATACGAGTTTTTGCCGTGGGCATTAATGCCACTATCATTGGCAGTCATAAAAATAATTTTTAAACGACAACTTATGTTTAGCAACATATTTTCCTTACTTTGACTTGAGTCCTTTTTTTGTCATATAATTCTGCGCTAGAAATACTTCAGACCACATAATTTTAGGTGTTTCATATACATAGTATTTCCTTGCAAGAAGAGATTTTCGATTTACCTTGGAAGTTTAAATTGTTCGGGAGATGAATCATGCCCGTCTTCCAGACATGCACTAGCCCCCGTTTTGGGGTCATTGCACATGCGCATTATCACTTGAAGCCTTGGCAGGAGGTTCAAGAATTGTGAGGTCGCAGACAGAACAGCTGTGCGAATACTGTTATGAATGCGCATGTGCTATGACCCCGCAACACTGATTGGTTTAAGACGGTATTGTTTCGAAACAAAGGACTGATAGTTTCGTCTCCCGAACAATAAACTGCTCAAATTTATGACACAGTTCTCCCGAGAAATAATTAAGAAAGACAACTCAAAATCTAGAAGGATTTTCATTATATTCTCACAAGATGAGACATTTATAGTGTAACTTTTATTGAACTAGTAAAAATCCTGAAACTATTTTCATAACCATTTGTAAGGTTATTTATCATACACAAATAATTACCGTTTGGTTTCTTATCGATCGACGTTCGTATTCCGCCACCATTCCACAGAGCAATGCCTACATCTGCCCATTTCAATTCGTCCGGTTGCTTCGCGTTTGTGTGGACAAGAGCATCCAATACAAAATTTGCAAGATTGCATTCCTTGAGACGACAGGAAGTCCTTTCCCCATCTAGAAAGACGTGTGTTTTTCCCAAGGAAACCTGCGATGAAATATCCAAGAATTTATGAGTTTGTCCTTGCAGCGGAGAGGCGATCTAATCCGGGAGCGGAATCATGCCCGTCTTCCAGACATGCACTAGCCCCCGTTTCAGGGTCATTGCACATGCGCATCATCACTTGAAGCCCTGGCGGGAAGTTTAAGGGTTGTGTAGTCAAAGGCAGAACCGTCATGTGAAGAATGTTATTTATGCGCATGTGCAATGACCCTGAGACACTGATTTTTTTAAGACGGTATCGTTTCGAAACAAAGGACTAAAGGTTTTATCTCCCAAACAAGATCTGCTTTAAAAAAGCGTGTAAGTTGGTTGTGTTTTAACGTACGCATGCGCCTAGTGCAGGGCTCGCGCCACAGGGGGCCAGAGGCTTATGACCTCCCACTTTTTCACTATGAAAAAGATTCAAATCAGCTAAAACTATTTACAAAGATTAATCTATAAATTACAACAAAACATATTGAGCCAAGGTTCAAAAGTACAACAGCGTCAACAAAATTATTTGCCACAACGGGAGCGGGGGTGAGTTGTTAAGAGGAAACTTTCTTCCTGGCCCCTCCAGTTTAGAATCAGTGTCGTGGGCCTTGTAGAGGTATCACTGTTGAATGGTGAGATAGATTGCCGATGGCAACTTAAAGACGGACTGTGCAAGAAATGGCTGTACTGACAAAAAGGAGAGAAGAAGAAGACAAAGAAGAAGAAGAAGACATCGTTGATTAAGCTGCATTTTAGAAATCTTCTTGTGCTGGCAAGTTCCTCGTTAAAAAAGTCACTACCGTTCACATCAATATAATCCTATTTCAATACCCTACCTCGGAAAAATTCCTTACAGCACCTGCCATGCCCTCAACTTTCTTAAGCAACGCTGGGTTCTGTGCATATGACCCATCTAGAAGGATTGGGTTACCGTTGTACGAGATCAACTCTCCGTTATCATCAAATCGTAGCTTTAGGTTCCCAAGATACTTTCCAAATGTGAAATCCTGCACGACTGGGATTTTCTTCGCTGGTTTAGAAGTTGGATTTACGATAAGCGGGTAGTTTCCGTAAGGTTTCTCGTTCGAAGGAGGAGTTCCTACAATGGATATCATGATAAATGCAAGTGCTCCTGGGCAGCGGCAATCAATTATCGGTCTAGTCTCATACTAGATATTTGTATATGTGTGATATTGTGAGAATTAAATACTTAAACATAGCTAAACAATTATCGAGTCTTTGGCTACATGAGCAAAGGATTTGCTGGCGGAAGGAAAGCTGCGATATGAAAAACTCACTCCTATTAAGGTAAATGAAGATCAATGGCCTTTTTATCTTTAGTCAATGGTTTATTAGTAGAAATTCAGGGCCGTAAATCCCGGGGGGACGGGGGGGACTGGACCCCCCCAAAAATCTGGAGCAAAATGATTTTTTTATAAATTATCATCATTTTCTTTGAAAAAAACAAATCTCTGGTAGCCGGGTTTGAACCAAACTACGTTTTTCTGTGTTATTGCAACAAAACTCAGCCACTAAGTCATGATGTCAAGTGCAAGATGACTAATGCTGATAGCCGTTATCTTTGTAAGCAGAGTGAATTTTATCTGTTTTTTATCGTTTTTTACCGTTTTATTTTTGAAAACAGAATATGAAATAAAAAGAAAGCAAACTGATATTTTATTTGACCTATTTACCAACTTATTTACGCATATTTCTATTATTTGTTTATTATTTGCTTTTATTTAGTAAATCACTTTCTGTATCATTAGAATGTATTCATTTTTGATCTGTAAACATGGTCTACTTAATACACTGAAAATAAGGAAGACGCACATTTCTGTTCAAGAAGCAAAATTCTACTAATCAATGCAACATCATCTCTACTTTCCCCAACGTCCGTCACTAGAGTTTAAGCATGGCTCTTCCCCTACACAATTTCGCCTAATAAACAATAATCTGTGTTCTTCTGAGAAACGTTGGATTTTTTATTCTGAGCGATCTAATATTTTATTGAATTTAGTCTGGGGGGTGCATTTTTAGCCTTTCTAGAAGGTATAATTTCAAAAATTTTCTTTTGCGTCGGACCCAACCATGGTGGGTCCTCCTACGTCACTAAACCTGATTCTAGCTCCCAAGGTTCAATTTCGTGGGCCGTCTCTGAAAAATTTTATCTATCAAATTATACACACAAGTCAGATGTACTAAGTCTTAAGAAATCCCAAAATCTTGACTTTTGTTTTTCAAGTCATTTGCCCTTCAACTGTTTTCATAACACATACCATAAATTGCTTGGTGGTGCCATGAACCACGGCACACTTTAGATTGATATACCCTACTGACCCCCCCTGTTCACATGACAGATTTACGGCCCTGGTAGAAAACTTTGGCATTGTGTGTTACTGACTTAAAACTATGGTGCTAATGACACCCTTGTGCATTTTCAATGCATTGCCACTTGCTTTTGGACATATTTGTTCATGTTTCTTTTACAAACAAAAATCAATTCAATCAGTTCAATATTTGTCATTATTTTCTGTTTTTTTTCTACATTTCGGTAATATGGTACAGCCATCTTTCTCTTAAGTATATTTAATGTTCCTTTTACTATTTATATATTTACAAGATTTTTATACTTTAGATTTATTTCAGGGTCGAGTTGATTGATTTCAACTCATTGAACTGATGCGATTAAAAATTCTTTTAAAATTTCATTCGCAGCTAATTCCTCTTAAGTTTTTTGCTTTTGGAATGAGGAACATTTGGTATTTCTTGCCTTTTGCATTTCAACATTTGCTGATCCAAGCGTATTCTCATTTTTGTATACATATAATGGTTCTATAACAAACAGCTTTGAACAATTTTAAAAAGAGATGTTAAAACGTACACATGCATCCTAGATCTTTCTGAATCTGCATATCATATAAGTGAATGGCAATAAAAGTTGGTTTTGCTTGCAGACTAAACTACAAAGGATTGTTTAGAAAATCTTTATTCCTACCTTATTTTGATTTTCCTAAAATATATACTCACCAGTGTACATAAATGTGTTCGTGTGTCCGCCAACCACAACATCCACGTCTTCGACATTCTTTGCGATGTTTATATCAACATCTATCCCAGCATGCCCCACTGCAATGATAATTTTCACGCCTTGACTTTTCAGCCTCGCTGCTTCCGTCTTCACTGCCTCGACTTCATCAAGAAATTTGATCTTTCTTCCTGGTGACGAAAGCCTAACGAGCAAACAATAGAAGCATTTGAAATATTGAACATTCTTTTGCAGATAATCAAAGCTTCTAAGAAAATGTACTCCTCAATAGTCGTTATTGTTGTAGTTGCTTAACATACACGTTGAAATATGGGATAGAAATTAGATTTGAATTGAATGGAATTTGAGAATAGATAGAATTAAGGCAGAAATTCACGACCAGTTTTTTTCTGTTAGTTTTTCCAAAAAACTTTTTTACATCCGTTTTTCCATCAGTTTAACTGAAGGCGCGCGTGTTTACACGATCAGTCATAATTCTTCAGTTTTTCAGTTTAGCGACGCAACGTGCTGCAGCTGCAATTATTATTGACACAAACTCAGAACTAAAAAGGAGGAGAAAACAGAGGTCCACATAGGTAAATGTCGTGGGCGCATAAAGAATTCTGCACTTCAATATCGAACAACATAAGAGATTTAAATGAATTGCAGCATTGGACACTGAGGTTATTTGCAGAGTCGGGGATGAACTGCAACTGTATATATTTTTTCTGTCATCGAAAGGTTTTAGCCACTTAACCATAATTACCTCTTTTTCTAACATCATGAGGGTTTTCATTAAATCTAATGAAATCCTTCTAATGGAAACTTCTACCAATTCAAATACTTTGAGCACATCCAAACTACAATCTTCGTTTATCAAGAACGTCGAGGTTCGATCGGCCGAATTGAAAGAACGTTGATTTTAGTGAAGTTGAAAGAACAACAATTAACCAAGCCTTGTATTATCCAAGAAATAAATGATGAGCCTCTGCAATGTAGGTAAAACTTTATTGAAGCAATGACACCCGCTGGAAATCTGATATATACCGAAAAATACAGTTAGCAGTTGAGCATATTGTTCTCGGGAAACCTACCCAGGCCCATGCGCAACTATGCAAAGATCTGATAAATTATTTGGATTGATAGAAATTGATAGTTCATTCATTTTGTCTTACTTGTTCGGGAGATGAATCATGCCCCTGTCTTCCTGACTTGCACTAGCCCCCGTTTCAGGGTCATTGCGCCTGCGTATTATCACTTGAAGCCCTAGCAGGAAGTTCAAGAGTTGTGTGGTCACAGGCAGAACTGAACTGTTGTGCGAATAATGTTATTAATGCGAATGTGCAATGACTCTGCAACACTGATTGGTTTAAGACGGTATTGTGGCCCAGATATTACGTAGAAGTGTAGGAATTCACATTACATTTTACCCATTGTGTTTGTGATATCAGCCTTTGTATAGCAATTTCCTGTTATTGAAAGTTAGATTAATTGACGTATATATTTTGCGACAGGGCGCTTCAAAGTAGCCTAATTTTAAGGTGTGGGTTGAAATAACATGATGCCTTTTTGAACAAATTATACTTGAACAAATTTTGAACAACATTTTTAACCCTGGGAGCTGGCGATTCGTAGTGTAATTGCTACAGTTGTCTTACCATGTTGTTTCCTTGATTATGTATCCAATGACACCCACCTTGATGCCACTCAGGGTAAAAACGTTACTCTTTTTATAGATTGTGTCTCTCTGTGGCCAAAGAGGCTCTTGGGATACATCCATATTGGCACAAACAAGCGAGAAATTTGCAGCTTTGACAAATGGAAGTAGGCCAGAAATGCGATTGTCGAACTCGTGGTTGCCAAACGCCTAAATCGGAGAAAAAATGGCAAGTATCAATGATAAACTAAGGGATTCAGTGAAAATGTAAAACATTTTCTACGCAGATTTTCTTGCATCCACTTATTTCGTAAGACTAGTTAGTGCCTTATCCAAAACCGTTTGTCTCTAAAGCCAATAAGTGGTCTTTCCCCGAATTTAAAAAACGAATCATAATAATGCCATTTTCATCGGATGCCTTTGTGAACGTCTTTTCATGCTAGTCATTGAATCAGTTTGATCATGCGAGACAAATTACCATATACATGCTAATTGGCATCCTGGCAGGCACTTTTGTGTACAAATGATTAAAACTCAATTTGAAACCATTGAACCATAGATAAAAGATTGAAAAATGAAAACAATTCCCTGAGAAGTTCTGACATACTGGATACAAGAAAATAAGTCCTATTGCGAAGTCTTTAAATTTCCTCCATTTGTAAAATCTGCACATAGGCTAAGGATAAGATTGTTGAACTTTTTTGTTAAAATATTTTATTTTCCGCCAATCAATTCTCCAACCTGAAAATTGTAACTTTGATTTTTTCACCCTTTCATCTGATTATTTCACCCTTTCCTAGAAATAGTGCTTTCCTCGGACGATCATCCCAATGAAAACTATGCCGTAATCATAACTAGCGGGCATCTAACACGTTCAATTGATTTCGAACAAATGTTTTGATGAAGCAGATGTTTAAGGTTTCTCACCATTGCATCGTATCCAAGATCATTCATGAAAGTGCTAGCCTCGAGGCCTTTATAAACATTGAACCAGAGTGTTCCTTGGAACTGATCTCCACCATCTAAAAGCAAGACATTTTCATCCGTTTTTCGGATTTGATCAATCGCTGTCTTCCGCCTTGCAACGCCACCAAAGCATTTGTTAATGGCTGCATCTAGGTCGCTGCATTTTCCACCGTACTTGTTGGTCTGCTCGATTCTTGCATGAACATCGTTGGTGTGGAGGATTGTCAAGTTGAAATCAGCAAGCACGTGGCTTGACAAAACGGTAAAAGCTGCAAGCGCCAACAAATGCATTTTCAGAGCCTTCCGAAGCCACAGCTTTAGTGCTGCCATGAACAATATAACATTTCCACCTACCACCTAAAAAGTTTCTACCTACGCACAGCCTACGCAGCAACTCAATTTTCTACCCACAATTCCCTACGAATTTTAAGAAAACCTATTTTTTACCTACGGAAGGGGTTCGGCGGTCTCTGTTTAAAGCTGTAGCTAGATGTTTGCGATTGGGGCATCGTATGATGACAAAGACAAATTTACCATCCATTTTTTATTTTTATATTTGTATCCTATCGTTCTATAGCTGTAGTTCAAATCGCCAAGTGGGGCAAATTTATGGTAGATGGAGGCTACTCTTCCATTTTTTGGCCGCAAAACTTTTTTGGAATAGAGAAACAATACTTTAGAATTAATTTTCGCACTTGCACATAATTTCACACCTTTAGGGTTTCTATGCTAAAATAGAAATAATATTATATCCCCATTTTGAAATTAGCGGAAATATTGCAATTAAAATATTTCGCAAAAACGTGTTTGCTGTGTTGGACTAAACATGAAAGTTGCAATTTAGTTTACCGACATAAATGATACCCCATCTAAACACTCGTGGGAGAAATATTTTATCAGGTGATCCAACGAGCTATCCGGTATAGTAAATACCATTCAGGCAGTGCGAAATCTTTACCCTCAGTAAATTTAGCATATTGCGAAGGAGACAGAAAACCTCCATTTGGGTCCATGGCTCCGGAACAGCATATGGCCAAATATGGTGAGAAGGTCTCACCATATTTGGCATTTTCAGCATCTCTTTGCATTACGCCCTCTTATCGTTAGTATTGATTTAGAGTTGTGCACGAGGCATGGGGAGAGGTTCTCTCTCTTGAGTATATGTAATTACATATAGTCATACATATATATATATATTCTTATTCGAAGACATGTTGCACTCTGTAGTAAACGCCTATGTCCCGCCCAAGTCACAATATAGCATTTGGAAAATATCCAAGAACGCTTTTGGGCATACAGATTCAGGTGAGCTCTTATTTATTCCGAAGTTTCGCTAAAGGAGCGTTACACCTTACTGTGAGTGCGTTTTTAGCTTTTTTGCAATGAAGTGGTGCTTCAAAACAAATTTAGCATTATAACTCGCACATTATATTGAAATACATTATTCTATACTTTTGCCTAAAAATCATAGTTCATTCTGCAGAAATGTCCCACCCCTAGTCTTGCCGGCTATCCTATGTGCTGATTTAGCGCCTGTCTTTTCACAAAAAATATTTTGGAAACATTTCTTAGGCCCCTTGCACAGCCTAATTTGATTTGTATCCTAATTCTGAGTATTCTTAGCATCGTTTATATCGGAATTTTTGTCTCAGCCCTGCTGGCAGTCATTATTTGGGTTCCTAAGCCCCTAGCCCTCTCAAAGAATGCTAGTCTACTTTGTCGGCATATTGAACCTGGATACCCTATCGTGTTCTGTATATCGCCATAGATATATGTCATAGAAAATATGTTCTACGAGTTCTAATCCTCTCTTCAATCCAGTTCTTCAAAATACATTGACGGCATGCAGTATGTCAATTATGCTAATTATGTTAATTATGCTTAAACATTATATACCCGAGTTAGGCACAATTGCTAGCGAGGCCCTGTTTCTGGTTGCCAGGGTATATAGTTAGCAACGATTCAAGCAAAGTATAAAAAGTTATAATTGTTAATCAAATGATGGGAGATTTCTGACATTGTAGTTTATTAAAACCCCATCTGAAATGAGTACCAAATCTTACACATGAACGAGCTCAATCTTTTCAATCCGAGTGAGAGTTGGGGTAGATGGCTGTAAAGCTGAGAAAGAGAAAAACAAACTCAACGTCAGAAGGCATGCCAAGTTGTCAATGTCATGACTGGTAGCAAAATTATCTTTCTTGTAAACATATGTTTGCAACCATATAATATATGCAAAAGTATTCGTGGTAGGACTTACCAGCAGCATATCGTCTTCCACCCAACTTTACCTTGGATCCTCAGTGTGCCATCTACAGTGATGAAACACCAACAGACAATGCAAATTTGGATATTGCCACAATAGATGAGATAAAGGAAGAAGAAATGATACAAGCACACTAATGCCCATCTGTGAAATGAAAGCTTTGCCATTACCATCCACTTTTGCCACAAGATTACTAGGTGCCACCTGCAGAGACAACTTTAACAAACTGAAGGGTCTCACATTCAACATCGCCGATCAAAAAGCACTTACTGATCTGGAAATGAAACTATCAACTATACTCAATGAAACAAGGACAATTATGGAAAAACAAGATAACTTTATGAATGAAAATGAACAACAATTTCTTGGCAAGCGATCGGCAACATCACGTCGACCAAAAAAATTGCTAAAGCTAAAATAACGAAACAGCAGCATGATAAAAGGCAACATTTTCAACTTGCTTTTGAAAAGAATTGTAGGAAAGAAACAAGAGTAGGTGCAAAGGCTGACCATGAACAGTTGCAGAGAAACTCATCAATTGACTTAGAAACTGAAGCAATAGGTAATGATCCATATTATGGCTGTGCATTTCTTTGTCAAATAGATGTCTGGTAAAGAGAAACCCAGAGGGGCCTTATGCAAACGGAAACAGATTAAAAAATTTTCCACATTCTCTATATAAATCTAGTCTGATTTATTAAAAGAAGGAGAGACTAGAATAGTGGGAGGTTAGATCAAATTTGTTGATTTTAGAATGGCAAGGCTATACGTGTTGGAAACTATAATAGCCTAAAACATTCCATTGTTTACAATCTCTGTGAAGGAAGAATAAGTAGACGTCTAGTTTTTCTGAAAAATATCAGATGGTCACTACAAACTGGTTCTGTTAAAATCTCAATAAGTGAGATCAGAAAATCGATTGGCATTTATTATGCTGAAGGACACTTGAAAAACTCACGATGAGCATAGTCAATAGAAATACGCTGGTCTGGAAACTCCGTAATTACAAAGGATGCCGCGAGCGATCTTGAAAAACTCAACTGAGCTGTTTAATGAAGCGTGAACCTGCACACGCAACGCAACCGATCTTCAAAACGAACATGGACGAGAACGAAGTACGTGGCGAGGATTTAGATGCGATTTTAGATCTATTGGAAAGCGATTTTTTTGAAGAAAAGATTTCAACTTTCTTAGATGAAACTGTCGAAGAGGTAAACATTGTTTTAACGACTTAATCTGTTTTATTTTGAAGTAGTGTTTTTGTGCTAAAAGGCCACTTAGGCCATTGAATTCACGTGGAGAGCGACAGAGATATTCAGTTTGAACATTAAATTATTTATGATTTGAAATATCTAGCAAATGAAACATCGTTATAAATCTTTAGGCAGCATCAAATTCAGTGATTTTAAATAAAGGGACAGTCATATTGTGTTTGACAGCGTCAGCTCACGGAGGGTTTCTGAAAAGAAAATAATGCCATTATATTTCCTATGATAATCAGAAAACCCTTCCAATGTTGCAACCCAAAATGGTGTCATTGCCATTTGTTGTCAACATATACATGCCTGCTTAGTCTGTTTGAATGTTAAATCATATCAGAGTTTATTTCCTTGCTCTAAGTTAAATTTAGGCCAGCCCAAGGTTTAAAAAATGTCAATTCTTATCACCATTATCTGAGACTATTTTTAGTTTCTTATTTAAAACAAGAGTTTTCAAGGTATGACTTACTAATAACTTTTATCATTTTACCTTACTTATCACAAATACTGTTTTACTGTAGATCCAAGATGGGAAATTCCAGTGCTCCATTTGCAGTAAAAAGTGCAAGTCAAAGACTGGTCTGACTCGCCATAAAAAATCAAAACATCCCGAAATGGAAGAAGGGCAACCAGAACCCAAAGAATCATTGAGCAGAGAAAGTATAGCCACAATGGTGAATGAAAGCTGCAAGGACCTTTCTGAAGACCTTTGCTTTCCAACAGATATCTGCCATAGTCTGGAATCTTTTAGATTTGTTTTAACAGACATAAGCAACAATCAGGACACCATTTTAAATGAGGTTTTGTTACATTATGAGTTGCTTGTTGGAAAAGGCAATGTTGAGAAGTTTTTTACAAAGTTTTACTCAACAATAATTCCAAAAGCAACTATACTATTTGACCAACTGAGTGCAAATGCAGCAACACTTCTTTGCACTAAGCTCGCTGAAAAATTGGTAGTGTACAGCAAGAAACCTCCAAAAAGTGAAGGAAGGATAACAGAGAAAAAACAATTATCCGAAAGAGAAAAAGCTGCTTTGCAATATCTAGGTGGATATGTGTTGCACAATTTAAACAAGAAAATTTATAAATCAAAGCATCACAAAACACCACTTGGACTTCAACATATTGCCATTTTGCAAGCAGGTCGCAGTGAAGATACTGATGCTAATCAAAGATTGGTTGATGCAGTGAATCGTGGTGGGCTTTGGAAAATTACTGATACTGTTGAAAAACTTTTTACTATTGCAGAACTCTATTTTCTTGCCCATGTAAATAATTCTTCAAAGACAATACAACTTGCAGTTATTGTTGACAAGATTTACAAAGACCAGGAGGTTCAAGGGATGTACCATGAGTGGACTGAACGCTGTGCCATTCAAGTTGATAGTGCTGGAAGTAAAGACCTTTTAACAAATATTTTGTCACTCTATGTGAAGGTGAGATCATTCTCACATGCTAAGGATGTTGTCAACAAATTTAAATTTGAACAGAAAAAAGGCAAAACAAAAGCCCTGAGGAAGGAAATTCAAAGAGAAACAGAAAAGCCAGCTGAAAAACTGAAATGAACAAAGGGTCTATAACCAAAACAATCTATTGTAATGTTAGCTATTAAAAACATGTACTGCTGAAGATATATATGAATTGGCAATCTAATCTTACTCTGGCCTCATTTTTATGTAGTCTAGTGGGTCTAGTAGCAGATAAGGAAGCTGTATGATGTTATCAGTAAACTTTGGACATAACTTTGGACATAGTGTCACTTTAAATTAAGCTATGGAAAAGAAATGTGGGAAAACTGTAGAAACAATTAACAATTACATTAAATTTACGAATAGAATGATGATATCTATTCTAATCAACAAACTAAAGCTGCTGTCTAATATTATAGTGACATTTAATAAAAATTTAAAAAATTTGCTTATTTCATTTATTTCCTTAATTTTTTTAAATTTGAGGTGGGCCAAAATGAAAACAATTGATGACAGCAATAATAATTTTAAATTGGAAATCCTTAAATTAGATTGGAGTTGCTTTACTAGAAAATAGCAAGTTATCGTGTGAACAGAAGCTGTGCAAGTATCTTAGTTGATTAAAAACAATTAAAAAGTTCATTACATGTTGCCTTTTGCTTGTTGTTTCCGCTTCGGGATTGGATCAGGAATGACTGTCTTCCACTTTGTCTCTGTTCTCTTTCTTTTCCTTCCTCTGGTATTTCCCTCAACTGGGGATATGAATCTTTGGATTCGCAATTTGTTATCATTGTACCCAAAGTCTCTTAGACTAGGATTGTCACTTCTGCGACCAAGTCCTCTTTGGTGACCAAAATATTCTTCCACCGGATCTTGGCACAATTTGTTGGATAGCACATAATCTACACCATTGGAAAGGAGGTAGCGAACCACACCAATCAATGAATAAATGCTTATTTTCATGCCCTCGTGTGTTTGCCATGATATAAACATCTTGGCACGTGAGCTTTCATCAAAAGAACCTTCTCTTCTAGTTATACTGTCCTTCCAGGAAGCAAAATACCCTAAGAAATCTTTCTCTAACCACAAAAACCTCTTGTCCTCAACATCTGTATAGGGAGAGATATTATTATTTCTTTGAAAATGACTTTCATTGGTACTTCTGCTATTGAAACAGTCAAAAAAATCATTGACCATTTCACAGTATTTTGCAGTAGCCAGTGTGTTCCTCCCACCAAATTCCTTTAGAACTGCTGCAACAGATTTGCTCAACACTTGAGCAGCAAGGTTCACTCTCATAATGGAATAAGAATTCAGCTTTATGTGATCAAATGTAAGCCTTGGCAAAAGGTGGAGACCATTTTGCTGATCTTGATGATACATGCTTGCAATGTGACCCCATAATAATTCATCACCATTATTCCACAAGTATCTGCTATAGCGTCCAGATCCAGAATTGAACAAACAATTTCTGCATGTCTTTAAGAGGTAGGTGCATCACTGAAGAAAAATATATACCTTTCATTGGCATATATATTTGAAGCCTTGTGAACAACATCTCTCTCATTATGATTGCTGACACCCTCATGCATTTTGAAAAAGCGCCTGTTGGCAGTTGCTCCATCTGCAGTTGCTGCTACAACTGCTAGATTGCAACGTAGTTCTAAAATTGCAACTGCTTTCCAAAATAGCGGAAACAATTGGCAAGATGTGACAGCAGCAGTGGCAAAGTAGCCTAATACAAACTGTAACTTGCTGCATATGCCTCTGACCATAAAAACAAGGGCATGAGTGGCTATGTTGTCTTGGGAATCTAGTGTAGCATAGTTGACATCAGGATCCCCAAGATCCACATATCCAATGAGTTCTCCAGTAGTCTTATCCCAAACAAGTCCACTTTGCACCTTCATCTCATCGAATAACAGAACAACAAACCTCTCTGTAGGCCTGTAGTCTAAAACGATGGTTTCCAATGACTGGATGACATCTGGGTTAAACCCAGTTTTTGGTTTTATAGCATTGCTATAATCTCTTAGTTGTCGCCTGCTAGGGAGCTCTATAGTGCCTGTACCTTTAAATGTTCCTCTAATCTCATCATAGGCTGCAGATGACTTTGATGCTATAGAAAGGCACCATCTAATTATCATTGGATGGTATCTTTGCCCTTTAGGCATTCTTGAAGCATTTTTTTGCTGCTGCTGCCAAAAGAGCTTCATAAAGGGACTCATTGAGCCCCCATGTCTAGAGATCAATTGCAGCAGATCATGGCTGAGGTCTGACTGCACATAAACACTGTGCCTTGCAACCTCTTTTTCCATCTCCTCAACCTTTGACTCAAGTTGCCTGCATTTGAGTCTATTTGCCTGCAAAGTTAGCTTTAATCTCTTGGCTGAGGTCATGCTAACAGGTGCTTTTAGTTTTGCTGGAACAGCTTGTCTTGCAGAACGCCTTGCTTCATCCTTGCAAAACAACCTTTCTCTCTCTTGGCAGTTCATGCAATTTTCTCCTTTTATTAACACCTCACAATATTTTGCACGATAAAAATGTTTTGCAGCATAAGATGGGTTATCTTCATTATCTTCTTCTAAGAAAAGTGGGATGCTGTGCTGTATTGACTTCCCTGAGTGGCTTAATGCACTGTGCCCTTTGCAGATGTTGAGATTTTCAATAATCCGAAGTAGCTCTGATATAGTTATCAGTTTCAACGTCCTTTTAAACTGTTTGTATAGAAAATGATCAACAGGAATACGCCAGTTAAACACATAAATAGTAAAGCAAAGGCTTTCATTGATCTCAACACACAGCCGAGGAAGTATGTAGGGAACTTGATGTTTCTTTATTTCAATTTTATCCTCAGATACATCTACATGCCAGTCCTTGATAGATAGTTTCTTAACCCTGGAACACACATCTTTGAAATCTTTGTAGCAACTTTTTTCCCTGTCTGTAGGGTCTGAATCCTTCACAATACTTCTAGGGGGCCGGCTTTTCTGTGACTGATCTGGAAAATGGTGATCCATTGATTTTTTTGGCAGCTCTTTGGTTGGAAGCACACCAAATTTCAGAAATTTTTTTGTTAGCTTTGCACCATGATCTGCAAGAAAAGTTGATAAAATGATAGCTTTTAACATTTTTCATTGAAAAATACATCTTGTAATAAAAATCACCACCATGTTCACATTGGCTTTCATATGCATTAAATGTCTCCTCTAAATTTAGCCCATGGTTAGATCAAATTGATACAGTTAGATTTAACATTCCATCTTTACCACTATTAATTTTATGTACAAAAAATAACTTTTTCGTGAATAGCCATTACAAATACCCACTTCATAGAAAATGTAATAATACATGATTTTTAAAAAACAATTGAAAAACACAGCAAGTAAATTGGCTACCTTCCTCATCTAATTTGTCAGTGACAGAAGCAAGGCTAATCAATAGATTTTCTACACCCCCATTTTAGTTGGTTATGTTTATCATGGACTTCATTTTTATTGTGTGTACGCCGCATACAGGAACGAGGAACCACTCTATGTGAGAGCTCTTCGGGCCTAAGTACATGGAATGCACAAATGCAAATTGATAATTGAGAAGCTAAGCTAAACAACTTACGTGTTGTGATGTCTTCAGGCACAAAATGCTTCTCGCATATATGAAGGGTATCGTTTGCTAGCTGTCTTTTAAAGCTTTCGTCCTGTTCTCGATACTTCGTTATAATGTTCAATAGTTCCTTTCGCCATTGCTTTGACTTTTCATCCTTGGCTGCGGGAATCTTGAACAATCCGATCTTTCCATCAGGATTATTCGCACCTTTGCGTCGACTTACTCCACAACCATTCATACAACAGTTTTCACCAGGCATATTTGAGCATATTTACCGAAAACAACCCATAATTCGAGATAGAAAATGAAAATACACATTACTGCTCAAAAGCGTACCACAGTGTGCAGGGTCACGCTACGATGAGCACAGAATTTCTGAACAAAAAGATCAAACAATAGGACAAAGGGCTCCTCCGCAAAGATTCCAGACCAGCGTATTTCTATTGACTATGGTGTTATTGATATAACAACTATTTTACAAGTTTTTGTAACAATATGTCACTTATACTGAAGGGTCACGATAAAGCGTCATTTGCCCCTGTCAGGGGGTAAGCTATTATCTTAATAATTTGATGAAAGGGGTAATTTCACGTAATATCAAATAAGGGTTAAGGCTGTTCTTTAGCACTCGATGAATGCAAATTATTAACAATGGTACGTCCAAGAATCATTTCTCCAGAAACAAGAGCTTATATCAAACTAAACAGGACTGCAAAAGTAGCCAAATTGATTGCAGACACTGGAATTTGTAGAGCTCATATTTATCAAATATAGAGTGAGAGTTTGAAAACTAGCTGAAACAACAAGAAGAAATCAATCGATGGGCGACCATCTAAACTATCTGTAAGACACAAAAGGTGACTTCTCCGACTTGTTAAATGTGTCCGCTCTCAGAATCGAAACTGGACAATAAAAAGACTGATGGAAAGGGCAGACGTGGTAGATGATTCTAGGAGGACAGTTACCAAATTTTTGAATGCCAATGGGTATTACTATTTGCAAGCTCGTAAAAAGGGTTTACTAACAGAAAAAGACAAGAAAAAAAGGCTGAAATTTGCAAAATGGATATTGAAGGAAAAACCTAAAGATTTTTGGTGTAAGAACATAAACCTTTATCTGGATGGAGTTGGTATTGTATATAAACGAAATCCTAAAGACCAGGCTTTGGCCACGAATGGACCAGTGTGGAGAAAGAGAAGCGTAGGACTTGGTCAAGATTGCACCGCAAGATTGCTTTCCCAGAAAGACCAGTGTCACAAAGAATAAATTTCATAAACCTTTCTTGAATATTTCCCTTCCCATCTACATATCTTAGAACGAGAGGCATCTGCTCCCTATTGGAGCAATCAGTAACTTCGTCTGCAAGGATGGAGTAGAATTTCGCTGCTTTGATGTCATCGATTATTTCTTTGTTAATAAGATCGGCACAACAAGAAATTATTTCATTTTGCGATGTTTCTGAGCGTAAAGTAGCATTGCGGGGTGCAGTAGAAAAGTGCTCTTTAAGTATCTCATCACCACTATCAATTCTTAAATCCAAAAGTGCTTGAAAGTTCCCACAGTCTTCTGTGTCATAATATTGAGAGTCGTCTCTGTGAGCATGAAAAGAAAAGTTTCGTCGAGCTAGCAATATCATAGTTTTTATTATTGAGGACAATTTCATCTTATTTCTTTGAATATTTTCATCGATCAGACTGTTATTAATTTGATCAATGGGCTTCATCTTATTACTCATAACATTCAAAAAGTGCTGCATCGTAACAAGGGCTGTCTTATGAATTTCACAATTGGCTTCATGGCTCTTAAATTTCTGGTTAGCAGAGGACCAGTTGGTTATGGGGCTTGACATCAACTTGTCAAGCTTTGATGAATTCTGACCAATGCGACGGCCAAAAAGAACGCAAGTTAAACAAAATACTCCATCCAGTTCCTTTGAGTAAACCAACCAAGGATAGTTGGCAAACCAGGAATGATTAAATCTGCGTTTTTCCCACTGTAGGAACCTTTTAAAGGGTAAGAAAAAGTTACATCTGGTCTTTTGATGTTTTCCAAGATGTTAAATTTTTCTTCAACAGAGAGCTCCTGAGAGGTTTTATAGAAGTTAGATATATCCTCATAGCAGGCTTGAATGTTGGTTGTTTGGTCTTGAGAAGACAGAGGAAGAGGGTTGGAAGGAGATGATGTTTGCTCCTGTAGACTATTATCAATAACAGAAAGAGAATCATCAGCTGCACTGACAGGATCTTCAGGCTCCTTGATTGAAATAATTGAGTCTTCTTTATTACCAACCACCCTACTAGAAACTACTTGAAAAGAAATTGTTGACTGCTTCATTTTTGATGGTACAGATACAATTGTTTTGTTCTTGAAAAAAACTGGAGCAATGTGGCTTGGCTTAAATGGCTGAAGGAGATCATTTTCAGGATTATTTGATGACCATAAGAGATGAATTGGTGTCTTAGCAGAGTCAGTATCCTCTCTTGGCTCAATATATGTGTTACATAAATCATATGCAACAGTGCCTTTTGCAATGTTTGGAAAATAAGAGTTAATTGGTATGCCTAATACACTTGACAAAGCAAGCAGGCAAATAAATGGACTCCATTTCTCATCCTGGCAATTATTAAGTGCCACCTGCCGAGCAAATTCAGCATAATCTTCTAGCTGGTGGTGAACAACATTAGAAGGTACTGAGGTTAGAGAAGAAGAAAACATTGTCTTTAAGAGACTGCATTTCTGTCCTTGTGCCAAAAGGGAAAAAAATGCTGATTTGATGCATAGAAATTGCAATGCAAGTATAACTCAGCAGAAGTTAAAGCCCTCAAAATATAGGACAGCTTTTCATTGCCAGTCAAAGCCACAGATGTTGCAGTGTACAGACAGTTCCCATCAGATCTGATTCTGCATGAAGGGATATTTACATTACACTCAAAACACTTTCAGATGAATACATTGTATGTATTATGTCCAAATTACAAGACTCAAATAAAACACAGACAGAGGTAATAAAAGCTCAAATTTACTCATAAATTCAAAGTAGAAAAGCAGTCAAAGTTCATGAACTAAACATAAAATTCAGCTTTGAACTTTACTGTTTTTTTTGCAAAGAAAGTTGTTTAACTGTTCTGCGTAACAATAGAAGAAGTTATATATATGGTTTTATAACATCTGTTTATGCAAATAAGCTAGTTTTAAAAAAAATGTAAACAAACTTGAGACTTTGGCTTTTTTAGGAAATATGATCCTTTTAAGTTATCATAGTTTTCAGGTTCAATGTTTCATTTTTCAAGAAATAAAGCTTTTGCAGTTGAAAAAATTTCTCATTTTGTGCAAAAACATATAAAAACATTCAGAAAATTTTGAGATAATCAAGATGTAATAATGTTAACTAACATGTAAATAATTACTTCAGAGGTTACAAAGTTTCCTGACAGTAGACTACATTAAACCTAATAGCCAGAGTACAAACAGCACAGACTGATAAGGTTAGTTTCTTGATTACTGTCGAGATAACAATCTTTGAGGATAACAATCAGCAAGTGAATGAAAACCTATACATTTTCAACAGAGATAGCTTCTTGCATTATTCCATATGTATACAACAATTAAGTGCAAGAAGACAGGTTTTGGATGCTCTTGTGGCTTTGAGTTTAAAGGCTAAACCTACGGGTTATAAACCTTAACAAAATTTTTAATAAATGGTAAGCTACCTGGCAGGGAATGCAAATACTCCACTTTTGATCTTGACATGGTCAGGTAAGAGGACCTCCGCACAATTATCTTTAACCAGATCAAATTCTGGGCAAATTAAACTAGGCCTAGGCATACTTGTGCGAAGCTTTGACAGCTCGTCCACCAAAAGTTCTTTCAAAGCTGCATGGTCTCGCGATTTAATGAATTGTTCTACTTTTCTTTGAATATCCATTGCCAAAGCAAGGAGAATCTTTACAATAAACTTTTAACTCAATAAAATTCTTACGTGCTGAATCGTCAGTTTTCTACAGATCGAACACGTTTTGTTTGTTTCAAAGAGAGACTTATTAGGCACCCAGCAATCACCGGAATCACCTAAGCAAGTTTATACTCGACAGCACATTTTTTAAATATTTGTGCCACGGTGCCACTTAATGAAAGAACATACGGAGCCTCGATGCAATTGATTTCAATACACATTTCTCGGGCCTCAACAGAAGCATACAGAGCCTCGACCGTGGCACAAGAACAAAAGCACAGCCATTTGGTCTCAAAACATATTGTTTAAAAATGTGCGCGCATATTTCTATTTATATCTAGTGTGGCACGATTGTTACTATCCAAATTTGGTAGAGCCAATTATTCTGTGGTTAACAAAAGGCAAACAATAAGCAAGTATCGCAAAATGAACCGTATCCTATCACAATCCTATCACTGAAATCGTCAATGTTTGAGAGTCAAATCCAAGATGGCGTACTTCTAAATTAACAGCGGAGAGGGGGCGTGGTAGATAGACGCTGGAGCGAAGGGGAAGTGTTAGACAGCAAGGACCATATTCGGGATATTTAGAACAGTCCATTATTTTCCAACAATTTAAATTTGGAAATCTGACCGTGGCACGTGCCACCGGTGCCACAGTCTGAATCCGCCCCTGAGATAATTTTTGGTCTCGATGGAGACGGGAATATCTTGCAGATTTACAAGAAGTACATAGATCGAGTCATGGAAATAACCCTGAGATGAAAGTTGGAGATATCATACTTATCAAAGAGGACAATGTAAAACGAGGTAATTGAAAGATGGGATTGGTTAAAGAACTGATTTCCAGAAAAGACGGAGTGGTAAGAAGTTACGTATTGGAGGCAAGGGTAAGCCAGAGTTTTTGAATAGACCATTGCAGAAGTTTTATCCATTTGAAGTTAGATGTGCAGACGTAGGTAGTCGCAGGCAAGAAACAGATCGTGAAAAGAGAGAAGAGGATGGGGGTGAATACTTACCACCTTCCAGGGCTAGGCTTTTCTTCTTGTTAATTCATAGAGTTGCTTGCGTAATTAATGTTTGTGTAGGTATCCGTAATAGACTTGGTTAACGGCGTTTTGGGCTGACTCAAGCTATTCTGTATTATTAATCTGTATATGCATTTTAAAGTTATTCATAAAAAATCGTTGAAGTAAAATTTGTATCCTGTTTTTCTAAATGCTGATTGGTAGACATATTTAGTTCGTGTAGATTAAAAGTATATAAATTGTCCGATTGTAAGGTAAGAAGCGATAGAAACGGCGCTAGAGAGATAGGTAATCAGTACCGAGGTGTACAATGAAGAAGGTCTGGATACAACTGTTGTGTTTCCTTTAGTGTTCTCTTGGCACTTTAACATTAAATCTCTGAACCAGCAGATAGTTCTGGTGTTGGTACACTAGATAATTTCTACATACATCAAACTA